TCGCTGCCTTAGCTCTGAGTCATTACTGCTGAATGTACTGTGGAAAACCTGCCGGTGCCAAAAACATCGTTATACCTCATGGTAAATGATCTAATGAATTCGGACCAGTGTCAGTATTTCTTTCTGATGCTCTCTCGTACACCTTCTGATATCATGACAGTTTCCGGTAATCATCGATCATCCGATGGAACTTGGGAGAAATTGTCCCAGGTTGCTGTCAAGGGAGCTGAACACGATTCCAGGGAACGCCAGCCCCATCCGAAATGCTTGAAAGGGACCCGGGTGAACCTTCTTGACTACATCTACAGATTATTAGACAAACGAGACACGAGTCAACTCGTTTGGCTGCATGGCACGGCCGGCGTCGGAAAGTCCGCCGTCGCGTTCACTGTAGCTGAAAGGATGAGATATCTGAAAGTGACAGAGCAGACGAAGATTGAAATGCGGCTCGCAGGAACATTCTTTTTCTCCCGCAAGCACACGAAACGCTGCACGACTGGTTATTTCTTCCCAACGCTTGCCTACCAGCTTGCGAGCAGGTTTCCTAGCGTCCAGGAGGATGTGAAAACAGCTATCCTGGGGAATCCTGCCCTTTTAGACCCAGATAAGTCTCTTCGCGACCAGATGGAGGGGCTGTTTCTACGACCTCTCCGGAGGCTTAAATTTAGGCTGCGTGGATGTCCGCCTTTGGTGTATGTTGTTGATGCTCTTGATGAGTGCACATCTGAAACAGAGCTTACCGATCTCATCCTTCTCCTTGCACGGGCTCTTCAGGAACCTGATCTTCCCGTCATCCACATTCTGCTCACGAGTCGTCCGGAAGCGCACATCTGTAAAGCCATCGAGAAAGAAGAGGTACGCCCACTGGTATGTATGATACCAGTGAATACTTCCGGGGAGAGCGTTGCTGCCATAATCTCGCTAGACGGCGCAGATGTTGACAATGACATCTACATCTTCTTGGAGCATTCCTTCAGAGAGCTTCAAACTCGTCATCCTGATTTTCCGCAGCCACCGAGAGATCAACTGGAGCGGGTAGCGAGCCGAGCGGGCAGGCGTTTCATCGTGGCGTCTACGATGATGAAATTCATCGATGATCGTGACCATGATCCTCGGGATCGGCTTCAGCTCATGCTCGAGCTAACAAGTGCACTGCTACCAGGAACAGAAGTACACAAGTTGTACGACTGTATCCTCTCCACATGCGCCGATCCGCAGCGGGCATATATGCACTTGTCTATTGTTGCTGCCCTTGGGGACCCTCTGCCAATTTCACAGATTTCGAAACTTCTTGGTCCTGGCCAGGGCAGGGACGTAGAGACAGTGCTGGCACAGCTACGGTCTTTCATGGATACTCCTACTGACGGCAGTCTCCCCGTGAATATCTATCACTCGTCCGTTCGTGACTACGTTTCCGATCCATCGAATTGCGCACTCTCTCAGACGCAATGTATCACACCTCACACCCTACTCGCTCAGTCCTCTTTTCGCTTGATGATGCAAGAGATTCCGGAAAGCACGGCCCTCCTCGATGTGCTCTCGGATCTGAAGAGGCAGAGTCAAACCACGCCACTCCTCTTCCCGCAGCCGAGCCTAGAACGACTATTAGCCTTCATTGTCCAACCACCGGAGCCATTGCAAGTTCTTTTAGGTTTTCTGTGGCTTCGGGGAGATTGCAGTTCCGATTTACAACCTTGGTTAGAGACCCCAGATGGGCATGCCTGCCTGCAGACACAAACGGGGAAGGTCTGGCTGCAGACACAAGCGGGGGAGGACTGGTTGCAGACACCGGGTGGGAAAGCCTGGTTGCAGACCGGGAACGGGCAGTGCTGGATGCAGACCCGGAGATGGCGAAGATGGTTGCAGATCCCGAGTGAGCCAGGCTGGCTGCATACTCCGTTAGAGTGTCTGCAGACCTGGTGCGAATGGGAGTGGCTGCAGACCTGGGATTGTCGAGAGTGGCTGAAAGACCCCAACGGGCGAGAGTGGTTGCGGACTACAGGTGGGAGAGAGTGGCTACAGGGCCCGAGCGGGAGAGTCTGGCTAGAGACCACGAGCGGGCAACAGTGGCTGCAGATCCCGAGTGGACAAGAGTGGTTGCAAATCCCGAGCGGGCAACAGTGGCTACAGACCTTGAGTGGGCAACAGTGGCTGCAGACCTCGAGTGGACGACAGTGGCTTCAAACTCAGAGCGCAAGACAATGGCTGGAGACCCCGAATGGACGACAGTGGCTGCCTACTGAGAATGGGCGCGAGTGGCTCCAGACCCCGGATGGACGACAGTGGCTGGAAACCCTGAACGGACGAGAGTGGTCAGAGATGCAGAGCGAGCGAGAGTGGCTGCAGAGCCTCAGCGGGCGAGAGTGGTTGCAAACCAACCAGGGGCAAGTGTGGTTGCAGAGCCCAGGTGGACGAGTGTGGCTGCAGAACCCAGGCGGACTAGATTGGCTGCAGACGTCGAGCGGGCGAGAATGGCTGGGGACCTTGAGCGGACGAGAGTGGCTGGAGACCATGAGCGGGCGAGAGTGGCTAGAGACCTGCCCGCGAGAGTGGCTGCAAACCCCGAATGGGCGAGAGTGGCTGCAAACCCCGAATGGGCGAGTATTGCTGCAGACTCCGATTGGGCAATACTGGTTGCAGACTTGGAGAGGGCAAGAGTGGCTTCAGACTCCAAGTGGCCAAGTGTGGCTCCAGACCCCGACCGCGCAGGAGTGGCTACAGACTTTGAGTGGACAAGAATGGTTGCACAACCCAGGCGCGCGACCATGGCTGCAGACCCCGAGTGCACGAGAGTGGCTCCAGCAAGAGTGGCTGCAGAATCAAAAGGGCCAGCGATGGCTCCAGACCCAGAGCGGGCAAGAGTGGCTCCAGACCCCCAGCGGACGAGTATGGCTGCAGACGCAAGGCGGGCAAGATTGGCTGGAGACCTCGAGCGGGAGAGAATGGCTAGAGACCCTGAGTGGGCCAGAGTGGTTGGAGATCCTGAGTGGACCAGAGTGGCTAGAAACCTGCCCGCGAGAGTGGCTACCGACTCAGAGCGGACGACAGTGGCTGCGGACCCCTAAGGGGCAAGAGTGGCTACAGACCGAGAGTGGGCGAGAGTGGCTCCAAACTCTGAGTGGACGAGGGTGGCTACAGACGCAGAGCGAACGGCAGTGGCTGCAGAGCCTTAGTGGGCGAGAGTGGCTACAGACCCTGATCGGGCGAGAGTGGCTTCGGACACCGAGTGGACGAGTGTGGCTGCAGACACCGGTCGCGCAAGCGTGGCTGCAGACACCGGTCGCGCAAGCGTGGCTGCAGACCGAGAAAGGGCATGCCTGGATACAGACCCTGGGTGGGAATGACTGGTTACAGACTCAGAGTGGGCGAAAGTGGCTGCAGACACAGAGTGGACAAGAGTGGTTGCAGACACCCCATGGTCGAGCATGGCAGTCGACTCCCGCAGCATCTATCTGGGCGACAATGGAAGAATTCGCAGGCACATTGGAAGCAGTCCGGGCGTACACAATCCCAGTTTTTCCTTTACTGCCAGTTTTTCAAGCAATCCAGCAGTTCAAGAGTTTCCCACATTTCTTGATGTTTTCGGTATTCCTGGCGTTCAAGCACCCGCACCATTCCACCTCCGAAGTACCACAGGGCCGCCTTTTACCGGACAGCGAGCTAATCTGTGCCATGAACGCCTTTGCGAGTTTCGCAAACAATGCACGGGAACGAAGTCGATCAGCTCCCGACGCTCTTAAATATGCATGTCAATATTGGGCCTTTCATCTCTCGCGAGCTCCGAATCCACGGGACGACTCGCTCAACCACATATTCAAACTTTTCTGGGATCGTCATCTCCTGTCCTGGCTCGAAAGACAGTGGTCTTTAAAGGGCCTGCGTTCTTGCCTCGTTGTTTTATCCGAAGGGTAGAAACTTGCAAAGGTGTGTGTATCCTACGCTATGCGCGACCATTTATCTGACCTGCGCATGTTTTGAGCTTCAGGGTCATCTCGGTCACGAGCGTGTTACTGCTATTGCTAGCTCTAGCTCTAACGACACAAGGCCTTGATCATTGGCTATGCATTTTACTGTGATATAATTTAGTTGTATACACACCGGAAGCACGAATAACTGTTGGCTCGGTGGTGATTCCATTTACGATGTTGTGCTTTGTTGCTCGCTGTGCGTTTATTCTTGTTCGTTTGTCTCCTCTTCTTTGCATTCCTTCCTTTCTTCCATCCACACGGGGCCTCTGCAGGGTGAATAGAGGGGAGCACCCACGACGAGGAAGAGTTCTATAGTAAGAATGTATTATCTCAGTCTTCGGAAAGGACTTATTGTACGTGTACCAGTAGCTAGTTGGAATACATTCCACACGACTCGTCAAAGTAAGGGAAAAACCTTTGTTCACATCTCAGTCGGAAAAGACTGAGATATTCGTACCGGACGGGCTCGAATCTTTAGTGAGTAACATAGACTCAGAGATGAGAAGAAATACTTTCCTGATTTCAACAGGGACTTTTGGCTCCTTCAATGATGGCGTGATTGGCATTCAGAATGGCATCAGATATCATCACGCCATCAGATATCATATTGGTATTCACCCCCACTCCCGATGGTGGTGATCCAAGCTGATCTTCATGTCATTGTTTGCATACTAATACTAATATGTAGTATACCCATAATCATAAGTGTTCACCACTGACGAGGTGATTCCGGGAGAACGTGAATAAAAGGATAGTGAACGAAAATAAAACAAAACGAGGAGAATTGAGCATGAATGACAAATAAAAGTAATGCGCACGGGGAATACGTCGGAATAAATGATGGAATAAAATTCGTCCACTCACAACCAATAAGATATATACCAGAAAGTCCCGCGAAGCTTGTAACCATCTTGTTCATTTCCGGTAAGAAAGGCGCGCCTAATAAGATCGCGCAAGTCCTGCTCTGCCTTTCTTTCCGAGGTCTCCAGCGGGATTAAATAGACGTCCCGTACCAGCGTGCATGACATATTGCTCGACACTTATGGGCGGCGCTATTCGCAACCATTCAGTTCATTGACCACAACGGCGACCAGCACCTCATTCCTGCGGGCAAGCTGTCATCGACCGCTGAAGCCGAGCACTTGTTCATGATAAGGTCGTGCAGAATCTTGCTTGACTGTGCAACGCGACGAGTAAGGTCTTCTGGAATGCCTGGATATTCCTGAATCGTTGTGACGCATGCATGGCCTGCGAGATCCATGGTGTTGAATATCTCCTTGTGAGAATCCCACCAGCTCTCCATGGGAGTCTCAGACTCCAATCCTGTGACGACGACGACGATTGGGACTCTCTTCTTCCGGCAGGTCCCAGAGTAAACAGTATTGTAGGTGTCAAGGACGGGGCGAGGGGCAGTCGTGTAGTGCATGCAATACACCAGAAGGTCGATACCATCCGATGGTGACTTGGGGCTCATGAGCTTGTTCAACAAGCTCTTCAGCTGCTTCTTCGCTTGCTTGTGTGGCACCGTGCCTGCACTCCCCTCGTTGAGACCCGCGGTATCAAACAGGGCAAATTTCTGGCCGGAAATGTCTACTGAGTAGCGTTTAGATTCTGGGGTACATCCCGGTGCATCATTGGAGGTCTTCGCGATCTGCTTTTGCGCGATAACATTGATGATTGAACTTTTGCCTGAGCCGGTTTCGCCGAATATGACAACATTTTTTTTCCCGCGGATGCGTCTGCCTACATTTTATCAATAAACTTTCTTTGCGGTGATGCTAGTCAAGAAGTAGAGCACGTACTTCGAGCTTGTTCGATGACAATCGCACCTCCGCCGCCAGGGGGTGTGCAAGTTGACCATTCACGACGCTCTGAAAAGTCGACTGAATTAGCGGTGATCAGTAAGGCCTTGGATCAATTTCATACCTCTTTGGACATCACCCGTTTTCAATTTGAGGGATATGCGCTGATCGTCAACATCCGAATAGTAATGCTTCGGAATCGGTGTCAGCAGACGATGACATTGCTGAAGGTGAGGACTCACTAAACTGTCCGTCTTCCGCGAGTAATTGTTCGAAAGTCGTATCAAACGCGCACACAACCTCATATTGATCGAGCATTAGTCCAGGCTCATATGAGGCGCGAATTTCGAAGTGAACTGCTTTAGATTTGAAGATGGACCTGAGCCACTTGGAAAACGTTTGAGGGCGTTCATGTATGGTGAGGGTCTGGTTCCAAGAAACGCTGCAGTCGGTCATTGCCGCCTTGATTATGGTGTTATACTGGCCATAGGGAGTAGAGACATGGACATAATGGCCGGCGGGCATACGATCAGGCGGCATGGAGAGGCCCGTGACCTCGATAAATGTAAGTATCATGGCTATTATATGGGGCGCTACCTTGCTTAAAGAGTGACAAGTGCCAGCCTGCCTCAGAGTTGGTGAAATAGAGAAGAAGAAAAAGCGGGATAAGTCTGGTTGGCATTTGTAGTAGGAATTAATGGAGCTTTATAACGCCAAGGCTGCGTCCAATCAAGTTTGGGTGTTTGTACGCGGCAGTACGAGAAGCTGGTCGGGTAACCTCGGCTGCCATAACCCGCTACGCCGGTATGTCGATACAACCGTGTCTGCAGTGCTCGTAAAGTTTGGGCTTGCACTGCCTAAGCGAGTCTCCCCTGGTCAGACCATATATAGAAGGAAGATAGCGTCGTTCTAGATCCATGATCAACCTACTTGCTCATCTTTCATCATCTCATTTAGCGTTGATTGCTCTCTTATGATATGCAAGCTGCAGAAGACGGTCGATGGTCGAATGCTTGAAAATACTGGATACTGGTAGGAAATACTACGAATAAAGGCTTCTAGCGTCCGTGACCCTGACCCGCAGCTGTGCAATCCATATCGGTACCCCAGTTCGTCATTTACATATCATTGGCAATCATTAATCGCCTCTCCCCATATAGTCTCCGCGATCTTGCCAGGCGGTACCATTGATGTCATATTATTTCAACTGCATGGTACATTGAGGCCCAGACTATATGGAGTACCTCGGTACCGCAGCCCACCCCGTCTAGACCTGCTAAATGGACTGGTAATGTGACACCTACTTGCCAAACCATACTAGTAGCGCCGTCCCTTTAGTCCCTTCAATGTCCATGCCCATCCACATGCCCATCTTAAATGACTCACACGACCAAAGCCGGTCCCCAATATTTATCTGCCACCCAATTACTACCGCACTCAAGTAGAGACACTTATATTTGCTTGTATGTATCGCGGATAAGAGTGAGTTGTTCTATGTGGGAGGAGCAATCTTCGGCCGGAGCATCAACGAATAGCAAAATATACGAGCAAGGATGGATTATAATGACATATGATATCCACAGGCGCATAGTCTAGAGCTATAGTTGTGTCTCAAGGTGAATTACTTACAACTTGAGGTCCACTATCAGATAAAGCTTGGAACGTTGAACCAATAACCCAGGGATGTGATGCGCGTCTCGTGGCCATGACTCAAACTGGCGCCAGAGTGCAGTGACAGCGATGCCAACCGGAGCATTGCACACCAACAGCCTTACAACGCGCCCATTGACGTAGTTTTGGATAACATTAGCGCGCTGAAGACAAGAAATTCGTAGTCTCCTGTAGTCACTGGCAGGTCAGGTTGAGAGAAGCAAAAACCATAGCCCACCGCGAGGGTCGAACTCGCAGCCTTCAGATCACAATCGCCTAGCAGTAAGAGTCTGACGCTCTATCCGATTGAGCTAGGCGGGCGGTATGGGGTCGCTTGCCCTGTCCCTTACGAATGAAGAGGCTCGGACTAGGAATGGAAAAGGGACTCAGTCTTGGATTAAAGACTCGTTTAGCCATGGTCCTATGGATACCTAGGGAAAGGGACTAAGTGGGGTAATAGTCAGGAAAATGTATGTAGAACTGTGTATAAGAGAGTTCACCTCAGTCTTGGATCAAAAGACTGGAGAAGAATATTCGACGGAGAGAAGAATTAGTATGCTGATCGAGACGGAGAATCAAAGATGAATGTGTATGAGGCGTGTAACAAGGAGCGATTGCGTATGTAAAAGAAAAGGAAAAGGACGAGTACGTACGAGAGTGACATCGAGAGTCATATCTCGGTACTGTCAAATGATTCCTGAGACCAACGTGTTGTAGAAAGCGACCTGGACAATGGTGGAGAAGGAGAGCGGGCCCTTAGCTGCAAGTGGCAGAAACGCTGTGGTACTAGCAATCGTGACGGCGTGGGCGCCTGTCCCCCTCCGTTGACAACTTGAAGTTGCAGGATGCAGCCGCCTATACTGCTTGCACGAGCCTGAGGATAGTGTTGACATCAGATTCAGAATCACATACTGACCGTGATGCCTACACTAGTCCAGTGCTAGTGCTAGTGCTGCTGGTACGTCTGTTGCGAATCTGCGATAGCCTTTTCTGCACCAAGTCTACGTGACAGTTAACATCGGCGCACTGAAAACCAGAAATCGCAGGCCCAAAAATCAGACCATTGTGGTAGAAAAAAGAAAAAAACAGTAGCCCACCGCGAGGGTCGAACTCGCAGCCTTCAGATCACAATCGCCTAGCAGCTAGTAAGAGTCTGACGCTCTATCCGATTGAGCTAGGCGGGCGATATCAGGGCGTCTATTCAAACCATTAAAAGCGCCGCCACGGCTAATACCGAGCGTAGGACACTGAACCTTATCTCAGCCACTGTACAGTTTTTCCAAACACGGCAACTCTGCTATGGCGGGTGATTTCTGATTAGCAAGGCCTTCAACGCAAGCAACAGTCCGGCAAGGTAAGCCAAAGCCTACACCTTCTCACTACGCAATCCAACCTTCGTTTTAGCCTCAAGCAAAAAGTTTTAAAATGACCCACGACGCTGTTTGGTTCTCTCGTCCTAGAAAGTACGGAAAGGGTGCCCGCCAGTGGTGAGTTACGCAGCGTCGTCTACATCATGGGTTGATGAGTGATGGATATCTAGCCGCCTCTGTGCGCACCAGGCCGGTCTCATCCGCAAATACGGCCTTGACTTGTGCCGTCAATGCTTCCGTGAAAAGTCAGCTGCCATTGGTTTCGTGAAGGTGAGCGCCATAGTGTTTGAGCGTGTTGCAGCAGCTCATGTTCGACGAATAGAACCGGTGAAATGTATCCTGTCGCGCACCTGCATCTTATATCATCATTCTCTCGTCACGCTTCTTCATCTTGCCAGATCATTTGGTCGTCTTGTATGCCACTATGATAATATGCCAACAAGACTTGCATGAAATGCACCTACCATCCAATGCGAAGACGTGACCTCGTACCACTGAGATGCAGGTTCGATGCTTGTTGTAGCACACAAATGGGTCATCTTATTGGTTTGAACAAGCACCGCTGCATCGAGTAGTTCAGTGCTTGACGTAAGGGTATCTAATACGTGAATACACCCTTGGCTGGGAACATCAGCTCGAACATAAAACCCAGAAAACAACGACGTCATAGATTGGACAATAAGTACAGAGGTAGTGCTGCGACGGTTTAACCATTAAACAGACATTGCTTTAGATGACGGGGAAGATTAAGGCTATACAAATGGGGTGTGGCAGATAAGAAAGATGTATCAGAAAGCAACTAATAGCAATGAGGGGGTTGGAATATGCCGGTGCGGAAGTACAAATGCGCAGTGGTATGATAGAAGTCGGCCCTTGCTCATGCTTGAAAAATCTCCTGGAAGATAGTGAGATCGAGCCGACGTGCTTGTGAGGTATCGAGCGTCGAACGCAAGGACATAGAATATACATTGAAACCATTAAAGAGTGAATGCGCAGGTGCGCGAGGAACGAAAGAGCAGAAACGTCCAAAGCGGCATGTAATATGCCCGCTCTACATGCCATAGCCGTAGCTCTGATAAGGATCATTTAATGACCCGGCAACACCGACCGTGCCAAAAGGGCTCACGTTAGCATATCCGGCAACGCCCGTGTAGCCAGAGGCGTGGGTATGAGGGGGTGTCAGACTCGCACTATGAGGAGAGGTGCCTTGTAAGACATATCCGTCGATTGAACGCGCCTGAAGGCCGTGCATTTGGGGGCCGAGGTGAGAGTGGGAGTAGGAGCCCTGGCCTTGCATGCCATACAAGCCTCCCTGGGCATAAACATCAGCCACACTAGTAGGGTGCATTGCTTGAGGAATGTGCCGGGCCCCTGCGGAGTGGTGACCGTGACCATGATGACCTGGGTTGCCACCGTGATGACCCTGGTTGCCCATGGGCATCATGCCCTGAGGAGCATGGTAGCCGAAGTTCTCAGCGTTGGCCTGTTCCCGCTGCAACTTGTTTTGGATCCGTTTGCCGTAAGGAGTGTTGCGAATTAAAGGAAGGACTGGGCGAATGCCTTCAACAAGGAGCATACGCTGCGCAGGCTCGGCATAGTCTAGCGCGGTCTACAAGAATGTCCAGCCCAAATCACAAATGCGCGAAATAAAAATAGTACCTGCACACAATAGTTGCCATACGAGTCACGAAGAAGTTTCTCCAAGCGAGAGCGATTGAGTAGCTCTTCAATCAAAATTTTCCTGGTACTATGTTCGGCCACACGGATGCACTAGTCCCAATCAACATGAGAACGATCATTGAGATAAAAAATACTCACTTTCTCAATGACATTGGAGCTAAACTTCTGGACAGAAAGCGCACAAACGTTGCCTGTGAATTGCCGAATGACGGCATCACTAAAACGATTGTCGTTAAGATCCAAGATATATTGGACAACCTAGTAACGCTAACTGTCAGGTATTATAACGGATGAGCAACGGGGCACTAACGTAGTTGCCGTAAGGATCTTGAACGAGCGTCAACGCATTGTAAGTGATTTCATTCACAAGCTGGACGCGCTGGTGGTCCGAAGCATGATCGATGCAGCGCTGCAGCACGCAGCATCCGTGGCGGTGGGTAGCGACCTCTACGCAGTTGGCAGCCACTGCGTTGTATATGAACTGCCGCACCAAAGTCAGTTTACCAACACCACGGTGCAACACCGCCACACTCCTCACCTGGTTATCTTCCGGTGCAAGCTTGTTGAGACATTTTTGAATAACGTGGTTTCCGTTGAGATCCTTGATGAGCACTACAACATGAAGGCTGAGCGCAAGAATGATAGAGTGAATCTGAGTGTTGTATCTATGATCAGTCTGTGCTCTACTGTAAGTCTGGAAGATGAAAATCCGCTGAAAGCGACTTGCCTGGCGTCTAGTGGACAAGAAATCAATCATTTTCTGTACTGCGCGCGTACCGTGCATGTTCAACGAAATGTTAACGAGATCCTGAGCAACGGACTCGCAAATGACATTTCGTTGATCATCTGTGGAGAACTCGAGGAGCTTTTGGCACAGGTAGTTGCCAAAGGGGTCAGTCATGAGGTCCGCAAAATGACCAAATGTTTCGCGGAAGATCATGTCCCGATGTTCAGGAACACCTTCCTCCAGCTTCTTTTGCAGGTAACGGCAGCCATGCTGGTCTTTGCAAAGTGTGGGTATTTCGCCCTGAAGGTCTTCAAGGCGTGTGCCAGCGAAACGGTTCACTACTTGAAAGGTAAGTGAAAAACAACTAGCTTGAGGAGACAAATGGTCTTACTATCCATGTCACCCCTCTTGTGCTTTGGACCGTGTAAACCGTTCATTTTTCCATCAGCGCCATTGCCACGACCAATATGCAGTCCGTATCGCGTCCCATTGTGGTGGTAAAGGGCGGTCGAGCCGCTCGCACCATTGACGCTGTTACCGGACCGGGTACTCGAGTCGAGTTCATACGAATTAAACCGACCGCTGTCCATCTGACCGTTCAACCCATAAACATCTTCGACGCCGTACTGTTCGAAACCCATTGAAACATTGTCGTACTGGCCGGATGACATGCGAGAGAGAGATGGTTGGATGTCACTCTTGCCAGAGTCCTCGATTATCGGGTAACTACCTTGCGAAGAAAGTCGTCCGCTCAAAGCCTGAGAATCAGGAGTATGAGGAGTGCCAGGAGTCTGCAGAAGATGCCCGTTGCTACCGTTTGCCATAGACAGAGGCGTAGCTGGTACTGAGCGCGTCGTGCTCATGGCAGGGGAGCCCCGCCTGGAACTAGGTGCTTGCCCAGTTGAACCAAGAGACGCTTGCACATGTTGGCCTGCATGTGGGGTCGCAGCGCCGCCAAGGGTCCCAGCAGCGGACAGATCGATAGGCGAAGACGTCAGCGTCAAAGTCGGATTGGTGACAGTGCGGCGATCGTTACGGGAGCTTAAGCCGTCGGGTACACGTGGGTTGTTGGAGAATTGTGGCCACTCAGAGTGCTTGTCGCCTCTTGCAGAGAATGAATTCCGTGGGGATGTCTGGGAGCGATGAGCGAGATCCAGAGCAGCAGACGAGGTGGTAATCTTGCATCGCGATGTCAGTCTAGAGTCACACAGAACGCAAGTAAAGTACCCTGTTAGCATAGGATGCGAATTTGTCCTCGTCGGAGGTTGGGAGATGCCTCATTGCGTCTAGAAAAGATGAGAAAGGCAAACCAGACATAGACACCACTCACTGTGCATTTCCTGATCCAATTGCTCGTCAAGCATCATTCCCACATTATACTGCTGGCCGCGAGGACGCTCCTCATCACTGTATCTCCCGCGAGTCAAAAGCGAATGAGCCACGGCGCCAGGGCTAGGCGTCGCTCGAGATGGACGTTCTCCAACTAAGGAGAGACCTTGCAAATGACTAGCAAGCTCCTCGTCGTGACTGCTAGCAGAAGTACGACGGCTGGCTGGCATGCTTTTAGCTCCAGCAGGTCGTCCATAATGACCATTCATTCCATGACCAGACCCAAGTTCTGGGGACCGATGAACGGAAGGCGCATAAGTGACCGACTTTCTTTTATCTGCAACCGCAGAACCAACAGCCTTAGAAAGCGTCTCCGCATCCACAGAAGAGTGTGAGAGAGCTGCCCTAACAAGATTGTCGCCATTCAAAACCGCGTTCACTCTTGGAGGGGTAGTGGGTGCAGAGACCGCGAGGTGGGCTGAGGCAGTGGGATCATAAGGAATGCTAAGCAACTCCTGCGCCTGCTGTTGTTCGAGTGCGCGCATTTGATCCTCAAACATTTTCCGTTGCAATAACCTTTGACGCTCGTGCTCCAAGCGTTTCAGCTCGACGCGCTTCGGGACGTAAGATTAATTACAAGGAAAAAAACAAGGGTGACGATTGTGAATAAGACTCACAGCCGACATATCAGGCATGTTAGTACCCAGTCTCGCAGCCTAGAGGACACAATAATAAAAAACGAGACAACGGAAAGAAGAAAAATGGACTTACCGAGTCTGCGAGATCGAGGAAAGCAGGAGGGCTCTGCTTTCTCCCGTCTGAGGAACGATTATCGGTGGAGGTATTAGTGTTTTCAGCGGTAATCATTGCGAATAACAAAAAAGGTCGACAGCTTTTCTTCCAAAGGTGTGAATGACAGAAAACAGATCGAGGAAAGCGACGAAGAATTAGGAAAATAAGCCTAGTTGCACACAAAGATCCTGAATGAAGAAAATATAAGTCAAGCAAACCTAATGAAAGTAAAGCGCGTCGTAAATACCGACCTGCAAGCCAATTTTGAGCCTGTCTATTAGGATTGATGGTACAAAGCTACCTAGTGGGCTGAATGATTCATAAGTTAGAGAGCAAGTGGAACGTCGTGTAGAATGAAGACAAGCACCTTTTTTTCAATTCTCCAGTTTTTTTGACAACTGAAACTTGAAAGGGAGAACGGTGAAGTTTGAATTTGAGTAGTTATGAGCAGCGTATTTAAGGCACTTCGCTAGCCGGCGTGGGTGAACTGGCAGAGCAAAAATGAAGGACCCCCGTTTTTCAAAGTCCGATGCGAACGGCAGCGAATTCAATCTTCACGGCACTAACACCTAATCTTGCGTAATCGCCGATCCTCCAAAAAGTTGTTCAACTGAGTCCTTTCAACCAAGTCTTCCTCGAGTCCCAAATGTATTCCTTCATAGCACAATCATAAGCCCGGGATATGCATGCTAGACGTGCTTTGTTTTTTGTTTTTTATCTTATTTTATTTACATTATACAAGCGTTTGTTCGGTCTCAGTCCTTAGAAGCTCGACTTCCATTACCTGGACCCTTTACGACGATCGAAATATACGCTTTTGCTAGACCAAACGTAACTTATCCCAACCGCGACTAGGCTCTTCTGCCGTTGTACAAATCAATAGAAGGGCTCATATCCTTGTTTGCCGCCCGCGGTCGCTTTGCGGAGGTCGGACCAGCGTCCGACCACTCACCTGTCAAACTTTTGAAAACAGCGCGCTTGGCAAAACGAAATCTGTCCATTAAAGTCCTGTAAAAGCTCGCCTTCATTAAGATATCAAGCAATCATATAACGCATCGCAGCATCTCCACTTCCCTGACATCGCCTTCAAGGCCCTATCATGAAGCACGCGAAACAACAGTGCAAGGCGCAGTGGTAGAAGCACCGTCCATAGTTTTCTCCATCGGCTCCTTTGCCCCTTCACTAACACTCACTTCCCCTGGCTCAACACCCTTATCCTCCTCACATTCTATCATAACACCCCGAATAGTCCGCCGATCTTCATCATCCCCAATCCTCAAATTCGGAGCCGGCAACCCTGATGTGGCACCCTGGACCCCATCTTGCGCCTCCCAAGCGGTCTCAGGGTCCAATCTTACCGACGCCCGACCGATAGCAGAAGCGTTCCGCGAACGTAAAAATCCGGGCAGGGGCGGGAAGCCAATTGATAGTTTCGAATACCGAGAGAAGGTACTACCTTCGGTAAATGGTACAGTTGCCGTAGGCGTAGTCGAGCCGCTCTCGGGTGAAGTAGTACTCTCGGCCTCTACATCCGCAGGTAACTCACGCGGACTATGGTCAGCTTTTGGACTGTCTGGCGTAAGCACTAGGGCAGGAGGCAGCGAGTGTGCCCGTAGGGGTGTTGCAAGGCCAGAAGAAGCTGGTGAATCGAAAACTCGAGAGTTGCTTTAATAAACAGATCAGGTAGTGAGAACAGGTTGCAAAGCCTCGACTCACTTAGCGCTTGCACATTCACCATCAGTAAGTGTCAGGAGCAAGTTTTTCAGATTAGGTAGCGTGTGTCGCATATCCAGCGCTCGTAAATCGCGATCTGCCATGAGCTGCCACCGTCGGTAGGGTCAGATATCGACAGACATAGCCTACAATCGAGCTTACCATTTCGATATCTTTGTTAAGCAGGAACACACCATACTCAAATCGATATGTGTCAACGCCCTTCGAGAATAGAGGAAACCTAATTTATCCAGTCAGCTGATAGAAATGCAATGCACGAGGCATTAAGTTTACATTCTTGGACCAACCATGGCCGAGATGTTATCTCTGATCAGACTCCGACTCCCTATGCAGGTGATAGGATACGTGAGGCCCTTGCCCATATAGATGGCAAGGAGCTGTACCAGCTGGGCAACAAAACCTAATGCGGTGGCTACTGCATCTTCAGTCACTTCCTTGTGCGAGGCCAGCGACAATGGTGGCGCAGGCTCTGTAGAGTTGAACGGAATAGGTAACGGAACGGTGAGAATCGTAAATAGCAGCTCTAAAGAAGAAAGCAGTTCAATAGGATATACCCGTGACAGCGTTGAGATCAGGGACGTTCGTATAACCAGAAGACGAGCCCGAAGGATGTCAAGACACCGCCTATACATTTACTGATCAGCTTCTGCTCACGTTAGCACGAAGGAGGACAAACTTCTGCTCAGCAACTTCCACAACAGTCTGCCGGAGGTTGGCCTGGTCTTCAGCATACATCGACCTAGCAGTCGCAAGTATGTCTCTCCGCTGTTTTAACATCTTTCGGCGAGAAGCAATATCTCCGCGTACTATAAAGTAATAAGCACGGGATACATATCGGCAAGCGTAAGGGTCTCACACAGACATGTCCGTTCCAAGATCTCTTTCGCTTCAGATTGTCGATCTTCGATACGCGCTTCACGTTCCGAAGCCTCCCGATTCTATTGAATCTCATTTAGAACCGTTCGCGGGAAACAATCCGACCATAATGCACGCACCAATATCGCAACGACATCGTTGTCCAACGTGGTATCTATTTGCCGGATCACATCCGCAAGCGACTCCTCGTGGTCGACGATGCATGACCGGAGCGTAACGAACCTGAACGGCGATGTTAAAAGGAGCATAACATTTCAATCATAAGCTATACTGACTGAAGTAAATCTTGCAAACTCGCGGTTCTGGCATCTGCCCTGCGTGATCTGCGCGATCTGTTAGGCCGTTCAGAAGGCGTCCGGGTGAGATGAAAATGTGCCGGTGTAGCCTGGTCGGCAAAGTGTCCGAACTTCCGAATTCCTATCTCCGGTTCAGAGTTGTACGCAGACGGAGAAGGAGAGCGTGAGTGTGAATGGACTCTCGAAACTGAACGAGTTGACAAGTAAAATGTTTCTGCGCAAGTGGAAAATGTTATGAAAAGGGTGTTGGACGGGAGGCGTGACGGATGGGCCTCGAGCTAATGAAGCAATTAGAATCAAAGAGTGGACAGGCTCGATCACGCATACCTCAGGTTTCAATGGAACAAGGTCTGCAAGGGTGACATTCCATTGCTCGAGGACAGTCCACTCGGGTCCTTCTCTCGTAGGATCAGTCATTAACTCCTTCTGCTTTCCTTTGCCTTCGAGTGGAGCTCCGTCGGTAAAATGCCCACAAGTCTTCGCCCATAGCTCAATCTTCACCGTATCGGCACTTAAATCTGTCCACGGAGCAAACTCAAATCCTGACCGTGCATCAATCACGAAAGAAGGGTTCGTCGAGGGTTGGTGGATGGGTGATATGTAGTTTGGCACGGTGCGAAGCAGAGGTGGTTCTGGGGACGCTGGGGAAGCTGGAGGTGATGGCAGCTGGCTCGCTGTGAGGATGCGTGGGACAGAAGCCGAGGACTTATGTGTTTTAGGGACTATTCGTGGCGTAAGGGACGCTCCTGCTGTTCTGACTGGCGGTGTACCTTTTCTGAGGGTGGTGGAAGAGCGGATTGAGGAGGAAGGTTCCGGTCGGGATAATGATGCAGCCTTGGGGGCCTCCGCACTGTTCGGACGTGACGTTTTGGAAACTTTGCGCACATTTGCTACCGAATTAGGAGGTACAGGGTCATTGAGTGTGGAAGAGCGTGCGCGTGGAGCACTTTCAGCGTGAGTTCGTTGTATGGTGGGCGAGGAAGACGTGAACGGAAAAATATCTGGAGTGTCTGGAACAGTGATTGAAATGAAGGTCTCCACAAGACGGGATTGGACAACTTTCTCCAAGGTCCTCTGCGAATAATCGAAGAATAATGATGAAGACAAAACAGTAGTCAAGGTCGAAGGCGCCTGCGTATTCGAGGTCGAGGAAGGGGTATTAATATTGGTCGTAGATACACTGAGGGACGAGACCATGGAGCTGGTGCGTGCCCGATTACTGGGTTTTATCGTAGGTGTGGTAGCACTGGTTGAAATGGTGCGGGAGATGGCGTTGCTCCTTTGCGTGGGCTCTGCGCTCCCTCCTGAGAAACTTACTTTAGAGTGGGTTCTCCGACGACCTCTCCCATCGCCATTGTCCAGTATTGGTGCATGATCATCTATGCGAGCACTACGAAGGGTATTGACAGAGGTTGTGGAGATCCGCCGTGAGCGTTTTCGTGAAAGCGTTATATCAAGGTCGTCAGAGAAGTTTCCCAGAGGCGTGAATTGAGAGTGTTCAGCTGGGCGAGCGAGAGCGGAAGCAAATGCATCTCGGACAGGAAAAGGCGTTAGATTGCGAACTTGGATGGAACTTATATGACGCAAACGTCTTTGGAAACATTCCTGGTTGTGCGACGTTTAGGGAAGAAGGGCAAGGAATATCTATAAACGTACCTCGTGTTCGACGTTGACGCTGTTTGAGCTCGTCGTTGGCGCTATATCGTGGACGCTGTGTGACATATCCTGTAAGTATATAAGGTCAATGAGAGCGCTTCCGTCTATGTGACGAGTCGGAGTACTTGTCACTACTAGGCTATTGCTTGTTCAGACTTTCCAATTTGGTGTAACATATCAAGCTTTGACCCGTTTCACTGCCTTCAGATCAGAAATAGCACAGAGCGCTTCTCATGCCGCCAAAACCAAAACAACGTAAGGTTGTAAAGGCGCCAAAAAGCGCGTCTTCCCAGTTCACAGAGTCAAAAGACGCTTTATCAGTCTCTGCCATGCCTCCTCCACCCGTGCCACTCAAAGCCATGGCCATCCTCGAGCCTGAAATGAATGCGCTCATGGATTGCTTAAAGGTAAGTTATAAACCTTTTAGATTGCGACTAATACTATTCAAGTCTTTTTGATAGAACGCGGTGGTAAGAACCGGTCAAATTTATTCCTTTCATGCCGATTCCCGAAGACTGTGTGTGGCTCAATAGTTGTCAACTATCACAGCGTACTAACTATCCGCAGTGGTATTAACAAATATGCTCCATATCCACCACGTTCTTTGACAGATTCACTCGGACGTGAGGTCGAAAAATTCGATCAACTTTATGATGCGATGGAATCGCGTTTGGTGAGTTACCACCTTCTTCAAATCGAGGTGCGTCTTCCAATAATGTCCAAAGCTTCGAGCGATCGCTGTGCTAGAACGAGACCTAGCCCGTGAGCAACGTCGCGATCGCGAAGCCGAGAATGCCGCGATTGCCACCCGCACTCGTTCTAAATCCACATCAGAATCTCCAACCACACGCAAAGTTCCTTTACCTCCACTGGAGGCCAACACAGATGTCGTCATGGGTCCACCAGCTCTTCCGGTTCAAGCATCTCCTCCTCAAGGTCTTGCGAATCCTACTCGCCGCGGATCAACTATTTCCCTATCATCCCTGCACCGCCCTCCATTCCCTCTCAAACTAGACCTCTCCTCATCCTCCCTCCGAATGTCCGCAGAAGAAGCCGCTTTATTTTCCCAGAGTTTACCCTCTCCAGTATCCCTTGCGCCCAAATCAGCTCGTCCTTCAGCTCAAACGGAGTTAGACCTCATGGCTGCATTTGCGTCCGCAACTGCCGGTTCTTCACAACACGTTGACATTGACTTAACTGTCGAGGATGATTCTCCTCTACCTCCCATCGACGCGTCCCTAGGAAATTCAGTAGACAAGCCAATTGAGCTCGATCTTGACTCCATCGACATGGAAATGTCAACCATGACAGACCTTTTTGGAGATGGAACTGAAACAGGTTCGGGAGAGAACAGTGGGGTAGAAGGCATATTTTCCCCTGTCGTCCCTGATTCCGGGGCTTCAAACCCCGCAAAAGAGTCTCAAGAAGGCAGTCTTGACATGGAAATGCTCGGCGCACTATCAGCAGTGGATAACAACAACCACAGCAATGACGTGTTCGGACCATCAGATTCTAATGGGCTGGAATCTGCACAGCATTCCACGCTTGGCGTCCAGAGCGCGCATCCTGGAAATGTTGCGCCTTCCCCCAGTGCAATTCTCGCAAGCTTCGCTACTTCTCAATCAGATGGGACCAGTCACCAGCTTCCGGGTGGGGACAACAATTTCGATTTGTCCACTCTTGATCTTGCCAACTTCGACCCTACCTTCTTCCATCGGCCCACAGATATAAACTTGATGGATATGGACGCGTTGCTGGATTCCATGGGTCAGGGCGGGGGCAACTCTGATGGGTCAAAACCATCATCATGAACTCATCACGAGTAGCTCTTCACTTGCAGTTAGCAGCTTGCCTAAACCTTCCAAGTTAATGATGACATAAGACGTGATTCTACAGCGAGCTATCGGAATGGTCCAAGACAAGCTTTTGTTCATATCGCTAGCCACCACTTATCCTAATGAGTGACCTTCTTACCAGTTAGCCACACCCGTTGATTCACACATTTCGTCACCTCACTCTAGAACTCGTAAGTGTATAAAATAAAATAATGTCCGGGCTCGATGTTACAGCAGTAGAACCAAAGCGAGTCTCCGCGGACGGTCATGGTGGTCGTTCGTTCGTTCGTTTATACTTCCCTGTTGTGCGTAGCGAACCTTGCGGAAGCAACAGAAGGCCTTCATGGCCTTCAAGTTCCTGGGTCCTCTCATCGACACGTAGCTCGTCATCTAGGAAAGCCGAGGCAATTCGGTCAGCCACCAAAGGTAGCGAGGTCAGTCTGATGCCGCGTCTTCTTCCAGTGGTGTATAACGGTGCAAACGAAGACATGCATCTGAGTCTTCTGCTTCGCAAGCATTCAGTAGCAGCGGAATGTCGACGTTCGGATCCAAGGCGGTCGCGACGCCTTCGGCGTCTCTCATATCTTCCCCAGGTGTTCAATCTACGAGTTCTATCACGTCCGCCACAAGCGCACCTGCTAGCAATCCAACCCAAGCACTAAATTCAAGCACCTTACAAGACATCGCCATCATTCACTCTCGAAGATTGGACACAATCATAGACAGCATCACAGGCACCCCGAGTGATATAGCAACTTGGTTCGTTGCTCTCGCCAAGCTGCCCGAGTACGCTGAAGCCAACTCCGTTTCAGGATCGCAGATCTTCAGGGAGATGGTAAATGGCCAGACTCTGACATCGATTACACAGCTGGCTGTGATGGTCGGAGAGCAAGCTGGCCAGCTGCAAATCATTGGGTTCGCATCAGTCAGTTGCCCGACACCCAACTTGATGTGACCCACACTCAGTGTACACATCCTTCTCCACAGGAACGATGGCTGCTGCTTGGCACGGGGGACTCAAAGGCTACGATCAATACGTCAACAGTTCGACGCTATTCACTGCCATAGGCAACGCCATGAACTACTGGTTCGATAATGACTTTACGAACGTCGGCTGTCTCGTTGAAGGAGGCACCGGCAGCTGTCCATGCGGCACACCTGGTTACTGGAACACGAACTGGTATTCCAACGTGCGTCTAAATATTGATACCAGCTTCCCGAGGCCTGATGATATTGCCACAGGTCATCCTCATCCCCGGTCTCGTTGCAGAGTCGTGTCTTTTCCTCAACGACACCCTGACACATACACAATTAGGCAACTGCAGCAATATCTCTCTACGTGCGTATGGCGCGTTCGATCACGGATACAGCTTTGAGGCTGGAGCAAACATTTTGGACATGGCCAAAACCGGTTTGGATCAAAGTCTTCTTGTGTCCAATGTTTCTTTGCTCTCGGACGCGTACAGGAGAGTTCATGACACCATCGTCGTACAGGAAAATATCAGCATAATGGCTGATGGAGTAGGTATTCCAGAAGTCCTAGTGTATTCGATTTCTGAACGAATATCTTTGATAGATCCAATCGGACGGCTCCTTCAGTCAGCACCGCGGGTTACTTTACAATGGAAACTACGGGAATGACTTGTACGCACGCATTTTCGTTTCGTTTTGTGTGCATGTTTTGAATTTACTGGATAGCACCAACGACGTTCTCATTTTCGAAACCGCAGCAGCCGGGACTGCATTCGCGGCTGGCATTAAGGCGAGGGCTGCCCTCGAGACATTGATCGATGGAAACCAATGGATGATAAATTTTAATGTCGAAACACAGGTTCGTGCATGAATTTTCTGCCCCAGCAAAAGCTAAATGGTCATTTTAAGGTGTTGCACTGGGATCTTGTAAGTTTCAGCTACGATTACTGACCATCTCTCATGGATACATGTAGAGCCCAGTGGGTCGCTTCATAAGCTCACCAGTGGCCGCCGGCCAGTAGGTAGTCGGTTTTTGATGCAGTCCAACCTCATTGACCTCCTTTGACATAGAGCAAGTTCTGGTATCCTAACGAACTTCTCAAAGGTGGAAGAGCTTGGCGAGCAATGGAATTCGGACGTTCTCGTTAACTTTGCGAGAAGTCTTTCGTCGAACACAACCAATGCAAACGCGGGAGGATTACTCGGAAACCGTATGTTCTATAACAATGATTACATGGTAGGCCGACCAGTACCTAAGCACCCTAAATTCAAATTCAAAAACTCCTAGGTTACTCGGGGTTCTGGCTATGTTACATCTCTCAAGATGTACTCAACAAGAACCCGGAATACAGAGTGTACGAACTCACAGAACGTGAGTCCTTGCCCCCCCCATCAAAATTATCACACTTACCCCCTGCAGCTTCTTGGTTTCCATCTCGCCGACGGCGTCGTTTACACATACCTCCAAGGCGATGAGTATGAAGATATAGCCGCGGTCTGGGACTGGAACCTCATCCCAGGTATCACCGTCGACTACAATGCCACGGCCCTCGACTGCCAACATACCAACTATATCGGAAAGGAAGCATTTGTCGGTGGTGTCAGCGATGGACAAGTCGGCGTCGCAGCCATGCGTTATACCAACCCTATGACCGGGTCCTTGTCGTGGCAAAAGACATGGTTCTTCCTCGAGGACGACATTCAATACGTGATGATCGCCAACATCTCCTCAAAGACGGATGCCCCTGTGTTTTCTGTTCTCGACCAAAGACGTTTCAGAGGGCCTACCGTATTTGTCAATGGTATGGGGACTCTCGGGGGGAACTTCACAGACCCCCACACTCTGTGGCACGGTGACGTCGGGTACGAGTTCCGAGGAGCTAACGAAGCATATGAACTGTCCCTTGAATGGGGCAAAAGGACAGGTGACTGGTCCAGCACAGGTATATTTTCTGGTCAAGAAACAGTCAACTTGTTCGCTGCTCGGTTGCACCACAAAGACCTCAGCGCCCCCATCTCCTATGCTGTTTACCCTGCAGTTGATTACGGCACATTCGCTCTCAAACACGCATTTACTCACTTGACGGAGGTCCAGAATGACGCTTCTGTGAGCGCTCTTTTGGATGAAGACCACTACACTGTCTTTGGTGTCTTCTGGGACGCAGCGGGCGGTTCGTTCACATTCACCGACGAGGTTTACGGATCCATGAAGATCGAATCAAGTGCTCATGCCGCTTTCATCTACCGCATAGACACGGGTAACATCACTGTGGTTGATCCCTCACGAATGTCATCGCACTTGACCCTCAAAATTTCCGTGGATGACGGACTGGGAGGGCCTTGTGAATGGGGAGGGGAGAGCAGTGTTACCGTGCATTTTGACCTGACTAGCAGCGAGTTGGCAGGCAGTAGCATCAGCCAGATCCTAAATTATTGATGAGAACTCTCTACATACATATCTGCATCATCAACATATACTTACCTTCTCGCACATAGATATTGCTGGTCATTAGTGCACCTGGATACTCATCATGTCATACCCCAATTATACGCTGTTGTGTTTCGAGTCCACCTGTTCGAGATCAAGCTACAGTGATAATAAATCTATACAGTCCCCGTCAATAAATACTTATCCAGCCTCTTCCGAAGAGGATGTCCGTCGCGTACGCCAGTAACACGCATTGCGTTTGCAAGTTCTGCCACTAGTCTCCTCCTCTCCTCCACATCCACATCTTGCTTTTCCAGCAACTCCCTGACAGCTCTCGCAAGGCGCCCTTTTGGTAAATTTGGAGCGTTCCCATTATGAGCGCCTGGCTTCCTCCTTTTATTCCCTTTCAATTTGGGGACAGCCAGCAGAGGTTCCATAAGTTCCGTTCTAAACCGTCGAAGCGCCAGCGCAGACAGTGTTACGACACGGTCAAGCGGACTTGCCGCCTCCGCACACGACTCAGCATGCGCAAGCTGCTCGCTCGTCCCCCCTTCATCCCACCCCCACTTCTTCAATTCCTCCGTCCGCCTCTCCTTCAACTTATTCGTAACCCTCTCTTTCGTGTCCCCGTCCTGTATAGCCTTCGCAACAGCATCAAAAATATCGCTCAGAGTGAGCCAGCCTCTGTCTTCGTCAACGGCGCGTTTCACATAGTGTCTGTTCACATAATTGAGGAGACGGTTCACGGAGTGTGCGCCAGCGGCATAGCGGTTGAAACACGGGACGATGTACTGTATCAGAGATGAATCATCCTCTGGGGCCCCGAGTAACAGTTCCCGGGCGACTTCCGCATAGTACTTGTCGATATGCTCATACAAATCCGTCCCGCTTGGTGTAAGTCTTTCGCGCTCCTTGTTATTGCTGACAGCTTCAACTTGCATAGTGAAATAGTTGTAGGTTGCTGTGTGTATACCCATGTGGTATGAAATGTCGATAACGGGCGCTTTTTCAGTCAAGTTTGTGGGCGAGCGGACGATGTGGTTTAGTGCTGGTAGTAGATATCCCCAGAGGGAGGATAGAGATGCAGAGGGATTAGCACTGCCTGCAGATGGATTGGGCATTGGCGGCAGGAGCACCATAGGCTCAACTTGCTTGCCTTTGCCTTTGGACATGATCGCAGTTCGGATATAAAAACTGAAGATCTGACACCCGGTCCCTGTCAGTCGGGAAGCCGCCCTGGTGTCGGAAATCACGTGATATTCGCCGAAGTTCTACCGCTTTGACATTGGCAGGGGCCACCGGGAAACAGATGTCATAATGATCATTAGCATAACTATTAAGTAGATGCACTGTTCCATACCGGACGACGATGGAACAATGCTGCTAACTTAATACATGATATATCGGAAGGAAATATACGTATTGATAGCAAATATAGCAATGTACATAAGAGAAACGCCTCATAAACCCAGGGACGACCCGAACTAGACGATGCCCAGAACAATGGTGGCGCGAAGGCTGCTCATTCTTGGGGCTGGAATTATCGGCTTGGCAGGTTGCCCGTCAGGGCCAACCTCTAGGTGCTCAGTCCGCAAGGAGCTCGACTTCCAACCCCAGCTTTGACTGACTGAAAACACGTCCGGAACGCTCGTGAATCGCGTAATAGATGAACCAGTAGAGCTGGCACAAGAGATAGTGAAGTAAGCTGCAACAGCAGGCCGGGGGTCGCGATATGACTGCACTGGAGCAATGGGAGGCGATGTAGCCGGAATGGTGCTCGGAGAAGAGGTAAAGGACGTAGAAAGGCCGGATGATGTCGGTGGGGATGAACCAGGCGTCGTGCTTTGTGATATAGGGTGAATGGAGGGGGAATAGTGCGTAGCCATAGAGGGTGAGGACTGCGATGCAGAAAGTAGTGGTAATGATGGCACTCTGTTGTTGTGTGTGTGTCCTGTACGATTGAGTGACAATGGCGCCGAAGCGGCAGGGATAGGATCGATGTTCGATTGTCGGTGAAGATAGATTCCAAGCTGAATCCCCTTCTTCCGAATAACTTGCACGTATACATTGAACAAGCTTCCTGCGTACCAAATCGTCTGTGAATGCAAGCGGGACTTCTCCTTCAGTGCGTCGATATCCCAGAACTCCACTGCAAATCTGAATGGAGGGTAGGGTGACCACCGCGCTTTACCGGTTGCGTCAGATGCTATACAGCCTGATGCGGTTTGTCTGTTTGACTTAAGACCGAAGAAATCAGCCTCAGTAGTTGAGGCACGAACAGGCGCCTTGCTGTCTGTGCTCGGACTTGACAATGGTGGAGGTGATTCAAAGAGTTGGTCCATAGAAGCACCTTCGATGCTCCCACTATCGCCAATGCGTACGGATGAATCGTGTCCGACGGGATAATATGGCTTGTCTTTGTCATCTACTGAGTTTAGTGAAGGGTTCGAAGCCGGCAGTCGAGCAAGAATCTCGGCAGTCGTAATGGACAATCCAAGTTCCTTCTCTCGCGAAGGTGGAGGACTCAAGGATGGAGATGATGGAGGAGAGGTTGGGTTTGGTTTGGTTGTAATTTGACATCGAAGTAATGACTGACCCCAATGAGCTTCCTGTAAAACATAAAGGGGAACAAATGGTCGACCAGTGGTAGGAGAGATATGCTGCGATATTGCAATGATATCGTCCATGAGCTTTAAGTCGTAAGTCAGTTTTTGCCACAAAGAACGGTTAAAAGAAATATCTTTACTTACCAGATTGGTATAGTAGATGCCTTCACGGAATAACATTTCCCAGTCTTTCTCCTCCTCTTCATCAATACCCTGCCGTCTCCTAAGCTCGACGATAGTGCAAGCCATATCGTATCGTTCTTTCTCCCCTTTCACAAACAACAAATCGGAGCCTAAAATCTGTCGCACCCACTTCGAGTTTAAGCCACCCCTTGCCCAGATGACGGGAGTTACATGCGGTTCTGGTACGGTAGGCTCACTGGAAGGTGAAGGTTTGGCAGGCATCGTATCGGCTCTCTTGCGCGACGACACGTTTTGCGCAGGAACGGGAACTGGGGTAACAGGGAGTCCTGGACCACGAGATGCTTTCTCTTCGTAAATAAGCATATCCGCGCCCCACCTGGCGATCCAGCATGCCGCGGCCTCGCCAATCTTGTCTGATAACAGTCCATAATGGAAATGAGGTTCGCGGATTGGCCCATCGCCTGGCTCAGATTCTACCTCATCAGATTCAGCAGGATCCTCCTTCTGTACATCTAGATCCAATAATTTATCGGACAAATCATCGGCAGGATCCTGCTTGGTGCTTGATGTGCGTAGAGGAGAACACGGTGTACTAGATGCGCGACTCTCGGAGGTAACTAACTGTGCAATGTTCTCCAAGCCCACCGCTGCTTCGGCTTTGCGGTCAGGATGAGCTTCGATAGCTTTACCAATAGAGAAATTGAGGTAAGGAATGACGGTATACGGTCCGACCGTGTTCATGATGCAGTTGACGGCCTGCGATGCCATGGAGGGTATAGAAAGGTAGACTGCTGTGGCCAGAAGTGAGAGCAACAACTGAGGGCTGGCAGTATGATGCCCCTTGGGTGTATCGAAAGGTATAGGGGGGCCAGAAAAGGAAGGAGTAAGTGGATGAGATGTGCTTGGGATGAGGGATGTTGGGACATATAGGGGCGGACCACCACCATATAGTCGTGCGACGCATATCCTGAAAGTTGTCAATCTAAGGTCGCAAGGTACTTGTGAATAACCCACTCAAAAGCTGAAAAGTCATGAGTGTGGAGCTATCGATATCCATGGAGGTTAAAACGCACCTGCACGAGTGATGTTGCGGTCATCGAAAATAAGGTCAATTTCCTCAGGTCCTCGTAGACGGCTACGTGGTTTGGGTGAGGACTCGAGGAAACCTGCTGTGAATAGCGAGCTGAAGAACTCCTGCAGGTGGTAAGTTAGTAAGCAACTTAGCCTGGAGACGAGAAACGAGCGCTTTACAAACCGACTGTATGAGGACTACTCTGTGCAACTTGTAGATCGCTTCCCATGTGCCAGCGGACATGCAAAGAGACATCTGCAGTGCGAGACTCTAGTAAAGAGTTATAGATGTGTTGCTGTAAATCGACAGAGGAGAATGCTACAGTGTTCATAGGCGGGCTGCCACTGCGTCTCAGTCTATGGATATTATGGGGGGATGAATAAAGGTCTGGGAGAGAAGGAGAGGCGTGTAATACACGAGCTGAGGAAGCCTCTGAAGTTGTTAGGAGTGTCATGATTATGTATCAGGAGGACACTCCACTGCTGAGCTGACTTGGCAGACCGCCAAGCACGTAATTACAGCCGAAAACTGCAAGTCACGACTCACTAGTCGACCTCATTCCACCATGCAACAGCCTCATCCTCGTTTTTCTGTTCTATCTGGTTCTTCGCTCTCTTCTGCAGAACATCTTTCTCCAACTGCAAGCTCAACACGTTTCTCTTTACCTTCTGCGACATCCATAAACACCGCTCTTGGCACACCAAAACCAAGCCTTAGACCTAATATTTACGACAGGAACCTTAATAAAACACGGACATCAGAAGTCTCTACTTCTGCTTTCGCCTTCCTTTTCTCTGAGGTTGTTCAATATACTCAGAAACGCGTAAGTGGGATCAATGATCTCGAACGGCGGTAAGTCCAAATTGCACTTATATTATGTTCCCTTGAATAAACTTGGTGTGGCGGGGCTCAGATTAAACACCCTCGGTTATCGCGCCGGAACTCGAGTCCTTGAGCTCATGGTCTGGCGGGCAGAGTCGTCATCCAAAGCCCCCAAACGAGAAATTCGTTTTCTACCTGCTCTCATGTCCATTCACACACAGGTGTGGAGAGCAGTCTTTGGACGCCCCGCAGATGCAATAGAGAAGAGCGTTGAGAATGAAGATGAATGTATGATCACTTCATTCGTCTTATTGGATTGCTGACTGATTTCCGTCTCAAGACATGATCATCGACAATGATCCTCCGATCGAACGTCATATATCTGTACCTAAAGATATGAACCAGCTTAGCTGTTCTTCATTCACTGCTGGGGTCGTAGAAGCCGTCTTGGACGGACTAGGATTGGCAAGTATTTCATTCTCGGATAACCTCTGTACTGATATGTGCGCACAGCCTGCACGAGTGACAGCTCATCATACCCCTACACAGCAGTTTCCGTTGCGTACGACTATACTCATTAAACTTGACAAGTCTGTACTGGAAAGGGAAGAAATCCTCAAGTGAACATGTACTGCAGTCTTCCCATGTTCCATCCTCTCATCACGAAGCACGATAAGTATTGGTGTGTAACCGATCAATAGCAATACCCCATACTGAGAAACCTGCAATGATAGCTCATCATTGAATAAGTTGCTGCCCCTTCACGGGTCCAGCCAGAGGAATGTATTCAGATCCATATCGTGACTCGAACTACCTCACAATCATCAGCAAAGAGTCCAAGAACATCATTCGTACAGCTCCTCGAGCATCCAAACTCGAGCAGATCTGCACGAACATCGTCAGAGATTGTCTCAAGGCTGCATTTTACTCCCTTTCGTTCAGCACCTTGTTCATGTCAACTTGGGGCGGCAAGAACCATATCATCAACAGAATTATCGTTCCAAGATCGCTCCGATGGTTCGTGTCCACCAAACACACCATGCCGAGTTTGATTACGGGTTGAACGTCAGGTGGAGGTGTAGACAGCTTGACCGTTGCATTTTCTCGTTTCTGACTTGGTTCGGGGCGTTCTCGGACCCAGTTATGGTCTTGTATTCTCGAAATTGGTTCCTAAAATGCATAAACGAAAGGAGACAATGGAGCAAGACACATCGTTGGCTGGCGGCTCCCTTTGATGCCTTAGGATGGTATGCCCTCATTTGGCACTATATCGAGCCGTTGTGGGAGAAGGTGAGAAAGATAATCAAAGAAGATACTCGAGAGACAGCTTGGCAAGGGACAATAGCGAACGGGCACCGAGAGTGCCATTGCCGAAGGAGAAGAGGTTGTCGAGGAGCCAAATGGACTGCGTCCTTGACTGATCAGCTCATTGATGATAGTTTTTTTTCATAGCTATGTACTGGCATGCATGCGGTATATCTCTGTTTAATTGGTAAAGTCTTATCAAGCTTATCTCAAGCCAAGTCGACCGCTTGAGGCAGGACGTCCATAATAATAGGCACTATCATGGTCTTCTCGACTGATAGTACTAACACGGAAGAAAGTGTCGATACGCTTAATTCTATTTGATCCAAGACATCTACTGATCTTGATAAGATACTCGATGGTTTTGATTCGCAGCATTGATGTATCACCTTCCATGGTGAACTGCTCATGTGCATGGGCATCAGACTATCAACAGCTCAGTAGACTGTACCACTGCCCTTATACAGGTGCTGTGGTCACGAGAACAACCACTTTGGACGGTTTTGAAGAAGATGAAAGCCATACTGTACGTACTGCAGACAAGGTTCCAATAACCTTCCATATGTCTGACGAGGTTGATCGCTCAGGTAGCTTTTATGAAGGATTCTCTTTCGTCCCTCAATTCGTACGGGTATTCCCCCCATCCATTGCACAAATATCTCGCATGGATTCGGGAGTTCTTAGGAGAAGGACCGTCTCCCAAACCGTTCATAATCAGCATCACGGAGTCTAGCGCCGAGAGGCTGTCTGAAATGTTAGTTGCGATACAACAGTTCCGCGCGTCAAATTCTACATGGCGTTCCCGCATCGCTGTCGAGTTTAACTCCAGCTGCCCAAATATCAAAGACCATCCTCCACCCTCATACCACCTCCCTTCTCTCAAGCCATATCTTGACGTCTTCGCAAAGGCCTTCCAGGATGACTCAACGCTTACAATCGGGCTCAAGCTCCCGCCGTATATCATAGCAACCCAATTTCGTGATGTCATCGAATGCATTTCGTCTTACACCCGCACCGATTCTGATAGCCCCACAAATCCAATCGCCTACTTCACGTGTACAAACACTCTCGGAAACAGCCTTGTCTTTGCTGATCAGACCCCCACCCCAGATCCAGAAGCAAAGACGGGCATGTCCCGGTTTGCCGTGCCTCCAGGTTTGGGTGGGCTCGCAGGCGAGGCTATTCATTCCCTCTCCCTAGGGAATGTGTACACCTTTTCACGACTTCTTGCGGAGTCAGATGACCCGGCGATGCGGGAAATTGTCATCATTGGCGCTGGGGGCGTGACATCCCCAGAAGCTGTTCAGCGGATGAATCGTGCCGGTGCCCAGATTGTAGGTTGTGCGACCTTGTTGGGAAAAGAGGGCGTCAAAGCCTTTGAGATCTTGTCTAGAAACTTGTGAATAGGTTTGTTGTTGGTAAAGATTACATTTCGACATCTGTATGTCCATCCACGATGGTTCGATGTGTATCAGAGTAAAGCTAAAAGGCTACAGATGAATGCGAGAGTGATTAGGATGGATCTAAGGCGTTTGTTGGATTGAGTGGAGTAATGGTATTGCATCACAAAAAACGTTCAGTAGGATGGAAAAGTTGTGTACAAGTGAGACGAATTGGTATCATAGCACGACGTTGAAAATGTGTCCCATGAAAAGGCAGAAAAGTCTGGAGGGGAGGGAGTAAATGCGGAGATATTGTCGCCATCGTTCTTATCTGTGTAGTCTATGAACAAGGTTGAAGGGTCGCTGTAAAGTGCCACAGGCAGTGGTGAGAGCCTGGCACTTTGGTACAGAGGATAAAAATCAGGCTGGGTAAGGAGCAATGGGTGCGTGGGAGAAGTACTCGACGTTGGTTGATTGGTATCATATGGTGCTTGGTAAGGCTGCTCGCGACATTCGTGGGATTTTGTAATGGTCTTGACCATAGTGAGCTGCATGGAAACGATGAGATGATATCAAATATCGAGAGAAAATATGCGCACCGGTGGAGAAAACTGAGTGGCACCTGTAAAGTCGTAGACCGAAGGACTAGTTGACTTGGTAGTAGGTGGTAAAAGAGGGCTGCGGAATGGTTGTATCTCGCATGCGTCAAAGTCACCTTCACAAGGAGGTTGTATGTCCTTGGATGCTGACCAACTTCTTGGATCAGGGGATGATGTGGAAGTTGTGGCTTTCATAGTGTCGTCGATTTCCTTGACTGCGACCTCAAGTTCTTCGCCATGCTTGCCTGCAAGAAGGAGTTCGGCGACTTGCTCGCAGCGTCTCTTGTCTTCCGTGCCATTCCTCTGAACTTTTCGTTTGGTAGGCTTTTTGGCGCGCAGGACAGGATGAAACCTGTAATTTGGGTACTTCATCGCATGGACGGCCTTCTCCGTTGCAGCCTTATTACGCCAAACCTGTTTCTCTGATTCGGAGAGGCGATTCCAACAGTGGGCGATTATGCGCGTGATGTGTCGATTGTCACGTTCAATATTCGTTCCGATTTTCTGTGCGGCAGAGAAAGCAGAGCGGAAGAGCATGAAAGCATTGCGCGGACGTGGGACGTGATCTGGATCTTTGCTACGCGAGTAGCCACGAGAACATGGTATAGGCATGCTCGCAAGAGCGGCGGAGGAAGGAAAGGACGATGGGAAGGGAAGTTCGGAATTCAGCTTTGCAGAATGTATATCTGGTGCCGAGGAAGTGGAAGCATATGAGGAAGACACTGATTCTGGAGGAGAAGGTATGCGCGTCGATACTGACTCAACTCGGTGCCATTGAAAATCAAGGGGGACCAGAGGACTCTCAAATTGGGGAGGCGATAAGAAATTATACGCTGGATCACCGTTATGATCCAAGAGATCTGATGTATATGCTAAACTATCAGTTCGAGAGAGCGAAAACCACCACAGGGTTTATTGTACGCACCGTAAGATGAGATGGAGTTCAAATCGAACTGAACAATGTGCGCGTCAGGAACTGGCATCTCAGATGGTGGGATCCAAGTAGGGTGTTAAAGTGTTTGGAAACCATAGTATCGATATCAGCCCTTTATAATCAGGACTGTAATATTGGAGGTGGCGGAACTTGGAGGTGAAATTAATGCTCACACTTTCACAATGTCACATCGTGATATCCGAGTCTCCATTTGAACCGACATCCCTCGTTGTGATCACAATTAGTGTCCGCTTATAGAATATGTGATATCTAGTAAAGTAGCGTTCGCTAGATGCCGGGGGCACGTTGCACATCGAGTGTAAGGGTCATCACGCATTTGGCAAGGGCCAGTGAGAATTTCTGCTCCACATTGAAGAAGTCCGGGAATGGGGCCGGTCTTGATCAGATCTCTTTACTCTCTAGAAAGCCATTGTAGCACGTTTTCACCGTGTGGTCCGGATAATGCCGTTCCATGAAAACATATAATCAAGCCCAGGGACTTGTGTGATTTGTTTCAATGGACTACAACGTGTACTGAATATTCCAGAAGATGGCACCAGTAATTCACGTTTCGGTCTCGCCACCGAGACAGCGCTTCTAAATCAGGAACGACCCCTATATCACGTGATAGGGCAGGTGTCGGGATATGACCATATACGTGTTCAGGGCGGTGTAGAGCGTGGTCATGGCACCGTTCCACACGCGCTCACTGACTCGACGCGGTGATAGGGGCGCATTATTAAAACACCTCCGTTCCACTCTCATTATTTGTTTTTCTTCCCAAGTTTGCCATGCCTCGCAAGAAAGCTGTCCCCTCCACCAATGTTGCAGACATTGCGAAGCCAGTGTCATCGCGGTCCACTAGGGCTGGCACGAGGCAGGCAGCAAACGCTGCAGCTGCTCCTACTGCAGTTTTAGCAAAACCCGTATCCCAGCCAGCAAAACCCGTCTCCAAACCAAAATCGTCCAAGGCGAAGCGCGTCCGCAACGACGATGAGGCAGACTCGGATGTTGTCCCTTCTAAAATTGCCAGGCTGAACAAGGACGATGACACCAGTGACAATGAGGCGGATAACGAAGTGAAAAAGATGGTGAGTATCGGATGCCCCGTGGTTTATACAGCGAGATGCTCACCTCTCAATTTCCAGGTCACTGTTGTGAAACGAGGTGCTGCTCCGGTAGACCCAATGTCTGGCCTCGTTAGTAAGTCTTGTATGTATGCGTTAAGAGCGTAGAAATGACCGGAATGTCTAGACACACATCAAGTTTACTCGAGTGCTGAAAGTGTTTGGGACGCAATGCTCAACCAAACAGAGGTTGGCTCTAACAAAAATAAGTGAGCACACGCGTGCATGAAGAATTTTTTATTCTTATCCAAGCACATAGATTCTATGTGATACAACTCCTGCATCCTATTGGAAATGACGCCCAATCCTCCCTCTACACGCGTTGGGGTCGCGTTGGTGAGAATGGTGCAAGTCAAATCAAGGTTGGTCCCAGCATTTGGATTTTGCACCAGGAACTGATTATACCAGGGACCATGGCCGTCTTCTTCTGCTATTATCGAGTTTAAGAAGCAGTTCAAGTCGAAATCCGGCGTTGCGTGGCCCCAACGCTTTGGCATGGTGGCTGCGAAGGGTAAGTGAATGTTTTCTGGCAGTCCAACCCTCATATGAACACCGGACAATCAGGAAAATATACATGGTTAGGTAGGTGCATTCGTAGGTTCAAACGCGATGGTGTGACCTGATATATTCTCCAGAGCGTGTATTCGAGGATGAAAACAACAAGGCGGAAAGCAGTGGCAGCAACTCTAAGGAAGACGAACCTGTTCCGGATTCCGAGTTACTACCTGAGTTGCAGGTAATTCAAGAAAAAAATCTCCTCATCTGCGCTAATACAACCAATTATGGCAGGCATTCTGCAACCTCATTTTCTCATCCAAGTAAGTGGCGTAGCCTAAATCCTCAGCTCCCAACTGATCAATCTAGACTCATCGATGCTCACCTGTCGTCGATGAATTACGATGCCAATAAGCTTCCCCTGGGTATATCACGTTCTTTGATGTGAGTAGGTCAGCTACTTACAGTCTTGCACCAAACTAGGCAAACTCGCAAAGTCAACGATTCTCAATGGATTTGCGGCATTGAAGGTTCGTTCATCACCAGGAAAATATTTGTCTAGAGTCAATTAAACGATTTCAGAAACTTGCAGAAGTGGTCGAATATCCGGATGGCGACATGGCGAAGTCTCTGGGTGGCTTCCAAACCGCCTGTGAAACGCTTACTTCGGAATACTATTCGTGCGTCAAGTGGAAATGTAATCGTTCATTGCTCTGATGCGAGTTTCTGGCAGCATCATCCCCCATGTATTCGGGCGCACGAGGCCCACTGTAATCAGCAACCAGGAATCTTTTGAAAAGGGTAATACACCCGACTTCTTCACCATTTTCATTGCTTACATTTACACAGGAACTAAATCTTGTCGACGCTCTGGGTGACATGGTATGCGAACCGTATTCGTGCATATTCATTTGCTCACCACACGTCATCTCAGGAAATCGCCCATAAACTCATAAATACCTCCACCAACTGTTGACGACGACGGGAAGGCACTTAACCCGCTGGACGCGCACTTCCGTTCGCTTGGTCTCAAATCGATGGACCCTGTCGTTCGAAACAGCTCGGAATTCAAGGCTCTCACACGTTACATCTCCGACACGCATGGACAGACAGCATCACTTCAGGATCGGAGGTTGTACATGCATTTAGAGTGGAGAGGGGCACAGAGACTTCCGCATGGCTCGCGAAGGGGTACGATAAGCTTCCTGCTGGTGATCGGATGCTCTTGTGGCACGGTTCTAGGACGACCAACTTCGCTGGTAAGAAGTGTGCGAAACATACCGCAGATCATGGATTCACTGCTTTACTTTAGGTATCCTTAAACAGGGCCTTCGAATCGCCCCTCCGGAGGCGCCTGTTACGGGTATGCTTGCTGAAGAGTTATTCTACACGTACAGTGTACTGACGTACAACTCAGGCTACATGTTTGGCAAAGGTGTCTACTTCGCGGATGTGAGTGACTTAGTATTCTTATTTCATACCATAAACTAACCTGTTTCCTAGATGATGTCAAAAGTAAGTTCGGAAGGGCATTCCTGAGTGTCAATTTTCAATATCCGTCCTATTTCAGTCTGCAGGCTACTGCTATGCTAGGTGAGTAATGCGGCATTCTCGAATGGCGTCTCACTAAACTTGATGGATAGTTTGAGTAATCAAATTGGCGTGTTACTCCTCTGCGAGGTGGCTGTAAAGCCGTTCCTCGAGATGAACGATGCAAATTACACTGCCAATGAAGATTGCAAGAAAAGCAAGAAGCTGTAAGTGCAATCTTCACTTGTTCCGTATGCATGCTTCTCATGCTGTTCGTGACGCCAGGGCGACGAAAGGGGTAGGGACGACACAACCTACCAATTGGCAAGATGCTGGTATGGCGCTTGGCCACAAAGAACTTGAGGGCGTTTACATGCCCAAGGGAGAGGCATCGATGGTCAACCCCCCTGGTGCCTTTCTTATGTACAACGAGGTTCGTGATCGCGGCAAAACGTTCCCGCGTTAGCTCACATTTCGCTAGTACATCGTCTATGACCCATCCCAGATCCGCTTGCGGTACCTGCTCATGGTAAAGATGCATTAAATCAGGAAATAGTCTCACTTTTCCCCTGTTTGGAACTACTATACTTGATGGTTTCTCGTAGACGTGAATTCATTGATTTCCCTTAGCAAGAGTCCAGAGCTATCGAAAGAAGATTTGATTCCTTTGCATAGTGTTGCCGTCTTCGACAAAGAGATAAATGAAGATTATTTGTTCCTATTTACGCGTCCATAATAACTCTCGTCACGGTCATCATGTCAACTATACTTGCGACTCAAGTTCGCAAACACGCATCAAAGCCAACGCGTGCGGCAGGCAGATATTGGAAGGGTAAAGCGCCGAAAGGAGCTGCTGAATTTCCATCCGACTCAGATGAAGACGATGAGGAGCAGCTCGAGGTTCAGGAAGAAGGAGACGTGCTCATTGGTGGGGAGCAAGACATCGTCGAGAATGATGAGGACGAGGAAACGACGCTTCCAGTGAAGATGGGACAGGGCAGAGTGGTGAAGACTATGAATCTTACTCTAAAAGATGTCAATATCTCGAAGGAAGGCAAGGTCATTGTTGCGGGACGAGAAGAGTCTGGACGGACCAAACTGGAGGAGGGTGCGTGCCATAGTCTTGGTCTGACTCATTTTCGTGCTTAATGATGCTATAGATCTCGTGTCGGAAGAGGAGTCGGAGGAAGCACCGGATGAAGAAGAGGAAGAAGAGGATGAGAGCGAGGTATGTTTACTTAAGGCATATACTATTTTTTTGAATTATCTCCAGTCTAGTGAATCTGAGGAAGAAGTTTCAAAGCCATTATTCCGACCTGTTTTTGTTCCGAAGTACTTTTCAAATACACTTTTTGTTGAGTCACTTATTCACGTTCCTACAGGCGAGGCCGAGAGACGATTGCTGAGCGTGATGCAATAGCTCTGGAAGCCGAGGAAGTAGAGAAGCGGAAACAAGAAACTGCTGAAGAACGGAAGAAGCAGAGTCATGACCTTGTCGCAGAAAGTATACGACGAGAACTATTGGAAAGTGCGTTCTTATACATCCGTCGCGATTGTTATACTCACATACTTTGAAGAGGAGAAGGAAGAGATAATACCTGATGTGGATGATACGGACGGTGTGGATCCCACTGGGGAATTTGAGGCTTGGCGGCTGCGAGAGCTTGGACGAATCAAGAAGGAAAAGGAGGAAGAACTTAGACGTGAAGAGGAAAGGGAAGAGATTGAGCGGAGACGTGCCCTTCCAGAAGAACAACGTTTGAAGGAAGATCTTGAACGGGCTAACAAGCTACGAGAGGAGAAGCCTAAAGGCCAGCAGAAGTTCCTTCAGAAGTACTGGCATAAGGGTGCTTTCCACCAGGTATGTCACCTTCTTTCATCTGTGTCGTCCCATCATTTTACACGTTAATTAGGATGACGCAATCCTCACACGACACGACTACACAGAGGCAACTGAGTCTACGGTGGATGTCTCGATGTTACCCGAAGTCATGCGAGTTAAGAACTTCGGTAAACGCAGTAGAACCAAGTATACCCACCTTATGGATCAGGACACGACACAGGGGAGCGGAGGTTTTGGAGGCGCCGGTTCTGTACAAACAGGGGGTCGATCCACAGAAGGGGGTGGTTGTTTCTTATGTGGCGGTCCGCATCTCAAGAAGGGTGAGGACATGCGTGTTGAGGGGTCCTCCTATCAGACTCAAAATTTTTGGCAGACTGTCCTCAAAATAATCAATTACCTCCAGGGGCCCGCAGTTCTTTAGCGTCTGGTGCTAACGCGGCCACTGGCAGATCACGCGCATGGGGCGAGCAATCATCGTGGCGAGACCGGCCCGATGATAGAGTTGATCGTCGCCGCTCAAAGGAGGGAAAGCCAAGCCGGGAGGACTTCACCAGTGACGATAGATCGCGGGAGAAGAATCACGATTATCGCAATTCTGGCACTGGGCGCCGAAGATCACGGTCAAGGTCACCTTATCGCAGTCGTTTAGGCCATGATAACAGACGGAGAACGCCGCCGGAAAGAGACCATGATGGTTTTAGGGAGAAGAAGCGGCGTCTGGACTAATTTTCTACCTGATCGTTTGGTACATTGCCCTAATACATATACGTTATATATTGAGTCATCATTGGTAGGAAAGGGTCTGAAAGGGTTCCGCAGCATTTCACGTGTATAGCATGCTGTGATTTATTAATATCTTTAATCAGGAGTGACTCGCAACACTTATATACTAGTACTGCCGATGCAGATGGCCAGCTGATAGCAATCATCTTATCCCAATCATATCCCCGTTGATACCAATCGCACAAGGTGATTACTGGCCAGTGAGCGATCCCAAATCATCCCACCTTGTATTAACCTGGACTATGTTAGATGGATATTTTTTTGAGAAACATCGCCTTTGCAGTTACCCAAGAAGATTTGACACTCGAATTCGCTAAGATTCTTCACAAACCCCCATTCCCATCCGATCCACTTCTTAATTTTGAAATCCAAATATTCTACAAGACACACCCAAATGGAAAGCGAGGCATCCTTGCTCTCCCCACAGTGGATGCTGGCATCACTCTCTTGCGTGCTTATGGTGATACAGGGCTTGTCGTCAAAGGCCGCCAAATCCTCCTCAGCAAGAGCACGCAACCGAATAACAATGCCCGTATTTTGAGGTTGAATACTGTTCCTTGGGTTGACCCAGTGAAACTGCGAGAGGAGAAGGAAAGGCTTCTACAGCAATCGAGGCCTTTCCAGCTCCTTCGCTACTCATTTGGACGCTTCACTCGGGATGGTTCTTTTTCTTCGGAATTTAGCCTTCCTGGCACTGCAAATGTCTCCTGCGATCTAGAGCGTCGGCAAGTACGCTTCACTGTCACGCCTTATGATGGGAATGACGACCTCCTTTGGACCTCGACGTCCATTGCGTCTTATGCACAATTGAAAATCGCAGCATTAGTGGGTAACCAGGATGATGATACCCACATTCTTTTCATTCGTGCCGATGCGCCCCCGGTGTTCTCCATGGATAATGACATCGGTGGACTTGGACTTACAAGCCCTCGACGTCTGCCGGGCTTGACGCATTACCATCCCATGCCTCCCGGCAGCCATAGTCTGATGCTGGTATTCAGCAGCCAGTCAGATGCGGATACATTCATGTTCGCATGTCGCAATCGCCTTCATCTGCGGTACTCCCCAACGCCCCATGTTCGGATCCATGACCACACTTCCAATAGCAGCCCTGTCGAGGAACTCCACGAATTTCTCTCCGAGATACCATACGAGCTCGGGTTCCAGGTGGAAAAGACCGTTGCAAATTTTGTTTTTACTCCAATGGAGGTATTTTCGCTGAAGGAGGCGATTGTCTCGTTGCACACTGAACATGGCCCTGATGCGCCAGAAATTTTCCAGTCCTTTGCAACCGAGTACGAAGGACACAACGCGGGTCGTAGACCACGCCGCAAACGCCGGGCGCAGTGGCATACCAGCCAAGAAGATTTAACTTCTCTTCTTGGCCAAGTAATCCACGAGTTCACTAGAGAGCATCAAAGGCCCCTCCGTCTTCTAGCTCCGGCACCGCAGAGTGGGGTATACCAGTCCTACCATCTTATCCTAACGCCAACACGATACATCTTAGAGGGACCTCTCCCAGACCAGTCCAATAGTGTCTTGCGCAAATACAAAAATCACGAGTGCTTCCTGCGCGTTACTTTTCAGGACGAGAATCGATCCAAGCTTCGTCGGGACCTAGAGTCTTCCATCACCGACCTTCTGAAGGAGCGTTATCGCCCAATTCTACTCAAAGGCTATCGCGTCGCTGGACGTCAATTCCAGTTCTTGGGATATTCAATGAGCGGTCTCCGAGATCATTCGGTGTGGTTTATGACACCGTTCACGGATGACAGCGGGACACTGCTGGATGCAGATGCAATCCGGCGCAACCTGGTGAGTCGCTAATGACCCTGGTCGATTTTACCGAACGCAATTGTTAGGGCGATTTCTCGAAACTCGTCAACCAACCCGCTCGCTTGGCTGCAAGGTGGTCTCAAGCCTTTTCTGGCACTGATCCGTCTATTACACTTCTTCCCGAAGAAATCGATTATCACTATCCTGACAGAAAATCGCCCTCTGACAATGTTATGACAGATGGGTGTAGCCCCATATCTGTCGGGCTTGCAAAGGACATATGGAAGTCTTTGCAGAAAGGCAAGAGGCGACCCGCCAAGCTACGCAATGTTCCATCCGCTTTCCAATTTCGTCTCGGTGGTGCCAAAGGCATGGTCGTCCAAGATCCGACAATCGAAGGCAACCTCGTTCGCCTTCGTCCATCGCAGATTAAATTTGATGCACAGGAGAACCTCACTTTTGACGTTCAATCGACATCAGCGAAACCAAAAGCGATGTTCCTTAATCGTCCGCTCATCGTACTCATGGAGTTCTTAGGAGTGGACACCAGTCGAATTATTGAACTGCAGGACGACGCGATTGCCAAAGCTCAATCCGTCCGATCGTCATCCCTTGATGCCTCGAAAGTTATCCAGCAACACGGACTGGGAGGATCATTCCATCTATCATCTCTCTTCAGAAATTTGTCGTCCATTTTGCGGCTGGATGTTGGGAATACGGAGGACGAATCGTCTCAGTCACGGTGGACAAGCGAGCTCATAGAAAGCTCCCTGCATTGCGCCGAAACGCAGATCTTGCGAGAGCTGAAGTATCGCGCACATATAGAAGTGCCGGACTCGTATACTTTGCTTGGTGTTTCCGATGAATGGGGCTGCCTTAAGGAGGGAGAAGTTTACGCAGTCGTGTTTGATGAAAGGACGGGATTGAATGAGCAAATCCTGGGCGATGTCGCCGTAACCCGCAGCCCGCAGATTCATCCAGGCGATCTGCAGGTTGTGAGGGCCGTACACCGCCCAGAGTTGGCGCACCTGAAGAATGTCATTGTGTTTTCGTGCGAGTAAGTCTTGTTTGATGGCTCGCGACAAACGCACGCTGACTCATATCGTCGACAGGGGTCAGCGAGCGCTTGCATCATGTCTAGGTGGGGGTGATCTTGATGGCGACGATTTCAACCTAATCCGTGATGTAAGCCTGAAAATTTTAATACATTCAACATGTCTGAGCATTCTGTAGTCAAAACTGCTGCCAACGCATTACGGCGAACCCGGAGAGTATCAGGCATTACCCATCAAAAGGACAGAAGCCCCATGTACCATCTCCGATGTCGTGGATTTCGTATTTGACTATGTGAGTCTCATTCGGATTTTCAATACCTGCAAAATTAATTATGAAATGTAGATCGAGGCGGACCTTGTCGGTCTCATCGCCATACATCATCTCAGGTTTTCTGACCTGGAGGATCCAGGTTGCGCAGAGTGTATGGAACTCGCGAAATTGGCCTCACACGCAGTCGATTTCCCGAAGAGCGGCACTCCTGTCAACTTTACCCAACTTCCGAGGTTCAAGTCGAGGAATCAACCCAGGCCTGATTTTCTTGCCAAAGAAGGCGCTGATCTCCACAGCGACCAGTACTACAACAGCAAAAAGCTGCTTGGACAACTCTACCGTCGGGTGCCAGTGAAGAAGTGGATTCCTCAAGATTGGAACGAGGACTACTCTCCATCTGATGGAGCCCGTGTGGAGGACGCTCTCTCACACGTGAGCCTCCGTAATCTCGGTCTTTCGGGATTACCCGAATCAACTCAAGAGTTAGTCGAGGAGATGACATATCTACTCGAAGCATATTGTGACCAGCTGCTGGTGATCGGGCAGTCGCACACAATTTTGAAAAGCAAGGACAGCCACGTTTCGGAAGCGGAATTGGTGAGCGGGACTATCATGGCAAATTGGTCCGACCATCATCGTCGGCGGGACGCAGTCACTGCGATGAACTTGCAGGTAAGCTTAGTGCTCAACATGTGCCACAAATTCTTAAACGATAATCTCAGACGCATGAGCTCGTCCGTGCGGTCAGGGCAGAGCTCCTGGTTAAAGATTTGGCGACGACGGAGACAGAGACGTACGATGAAGAAGAAGAAGATTATGATGACTGGACCTTCCGCGAAGAATTTGATGACACGGAACAGCGAAGTATGGGAGAAACGTTCAAGCGCTCTTGGGCAGCGTGGTGCGTTGCGGAAGATACGCTTGAGAAAGAACCGAGGATGTTTGGAGCTCAGAGCTTTGGTTTAATCGCTCTGGGCAAGATGCTCGAGATTGTGAAGGCATCTTATATGATGTGAAGGATCGAGTACCAGAAGCTGGCCTTCATACCAGTGCACTGTAATGGAATTGTATACCATAGGAACTCACAGTAACTCGTGTAAATGATAGTCATTTGAAATTGAAAGCGAAGTCAGAGTGGGGGACGCGATTCTGAGCCATGCGTCTTCATGGTATACTAAAGAACGCAATTAAAAGGACTTCAATTTTCAATGATACCTTACAATCTGAGATATGCATGACCTGATTTCGAATATGTAACCTACAATAGCAAGAATTACTCGGCGAAGCGAAATAATGATTGACAAATTATGATCAAGCATCCAGGAGCTCCCTGGGCATGTCCACGAAAGCAGCAGCCCCATTGCCAATCAGAGCAAGCTGCGTGAGGGACGCTGCACTCTGGCGGTATATCCTCTCCAAAGCCGGATGGGCAGGACGCCCTTGTGATACTACGGGAAATAGTGAGAATACAACCGAGTCAATTCGAGGACAAACTCACACAAAATCGCCTGGTTCACTTCTGTTGCAAGACTCACTCTTGCTGCCTGCCCCGCTACCTCCGCTGCATCCCCACCGGCCCCAAGCGGATCCTCGAAAGCCACGATTACGCTCGTGCGCTTGAAAATGGCGCGCATCTCCGGGCGGTCTTTGTACTCTGACTGCAACTCCTGTCCGTACTCAACCGCACGCTCGAGAGCGGTCCCATACTTGGCAGCAGTAACACCTGACAAACCCGAATGCGAATAAGAGGCGAACGATGCCTTACGCTTGCCTTTGATAGGTATTGCACTGCTGCTGCCGCCGCCGAAACCATTCGTCACTTCAGTACTGGAGATATCCGCTTCATCGTCAACGTCCATCCCCATCCCGTCCGAAGTTCCTTTGTCTTCTCCATCAACCTCTACATTCATCTCTGCATCTTCTGCGCACTTCCGCTTTTTCAGTTCTGCCGCTTCCAATACAAGCTCCACAAATTTACGGCATCGTAGTTTAAAAAGCACGAGTCCTGCATCCGCATCAAGCGCTCGAGGAAAATGTGTTCGTGTGTCGGACAGCGCAGTATCGACATCACCAATGAGCACGGCATGCACGATACGGGTACGGATCTCGATATCATCTATAGGTGCAGGTGCGATTGTAGGGGTTTGGGGCACGCCGTCCATATCCATGATCTGATCATGGTCGGGCACACGACTCGTGGAAGATGAAGGGAACATGCTTGACAATCTCAATGTTGACATTCCTCCTCGAGCGGAACACTGTGCCTCAAACGCTCGTGCCGTACGTGCGTATCCGTGATGCGACAGGTACGAAAGAACGAGATCATTGATCTGGGACTTCACGCGGGTTTCTGCGGTAGATGTCGATGCTGAAGTAAGATCTTTGTCACCGTCAGCTACTGGCCACGTCCAAGGCGCAGATTGAATGCGCGACCATGTAGTGTTTCGTTGTTGAAGCACGTGGTCCTCGATGTCAAACTTGAATGGATCCTGGCCAAAGTTAGCCCGCACAGATTCTCCAGGATGGCAAAGCCCGACTGCTGGATAAATATCACAGTCCTTGCCGATATTGTCGAAAACAGAGCCTGTGGGAATTCAGAATAAAAGAAGTCCTCGGAGGGAAGAATGCGCACCAAGTAAAGCACCGTTCTTCGTGTAAAACGCGCGGTTCTGGCTAAAATCGATACCACAGCCAATGACATCTCCGGCTAATTAGTCCAAAGTGAGTTAAGATACTCAGGTGCATCGTGAAGTAAACGGACCTCCGAACTGGGGACCATATGGTGTGCCCGTTTTCTCAGCCGCAAACGACGACCCGTCATCACCGTGATATCCCCACGAGTTCTTCTCCCACCCCGGTAGGCGAACCAATTTAAAGTCGCGACTCACGAGACTACAAAGGGATGTCAGCGAAATTAATTTCAAATCATCGAATTTTAATCGGACCCAACACTAATATGCCTGAATTTGCGTTTGAGTATATAGACATCAGAAATTCCGTACACAAGGCACTCACCCCTTGTTGCTGTTTGCCTTGCTGGTTACCTCGACCTCGTAGTAGTATATGCCGCAGGCAGGAGGAATAGGGAAAATCGTACGCGCAGCCGCAGCATCTTTGTCGGAGTTGCTTGGAGATCCTGTTTCAATGAGTGTAACGTGTTTGGTAATTCTGCTGCCTTAGCATGACTGACCTTGATAGGTGAGATCCCTTCCATCTGCGGAAACACTTAACATAGAACTTCGATATTCCTCACTCCACCTAGTTGGGAGGCGCAAGAGGGCGGATGACATTAAAGGATTATTCTCTTGCTGTTGCCGGGAGGACATTTCGCCAGGAGGACTAGTGTCTTCTTCATCACTATCAGAGCTAGGAGATCTCTGTGCCCTCCTCCTTCCGCCAGCATACTCAGTACGGAGGACAGCAAGATCAGGCTTCAGTGACGAGGAAAGTTGAGGACTGTCTGTCTGTAATAGATGCCGCAGCGCGGAATGGTCAAGGTACGCCGGGCGAGGAAAGGGTGCTGGGTCTGCAGGGAACGGGCCCACGCTCGAGTGTGCCATAGCTGGTCTCTGAGCACTGGGCGCCCTAATGCCGGTTGCACTGGGCCGACGAACACGAGAAGGTGGAGAGGTTGGACAAGTGGGGTCGACTCTGATTACGCGCGGTTCATAGTATGTGTGAGTTGGTGTAGCTCCTGTGCCTGAAAGGAGCGCAGAACTTGGCTGTGTGAATGATCGAGCTGTCGAACGCATTGGAGGGCTGGACGCCACAGCCATAGAGCTGGATCCACGGATACTACTGATACCTGTAGTAGGACTACGTTGCGGCCATCCCGGATTCACAAGGCGAGGACGGGACTGTGGGGAAGGTGCAAAGGGGATTGAGATGACTGACTCGATATTCCGAACGGGTGAAATACCTCCCCGTGGTGGAACGGGGATGCTAGATGACCTCGCGGGTCTACTGCTCATCTTGGAGTGTAGATAACGTTCCTAGCACAAATGCAGGCACTGAGTATTTAGTGAACGGGCCTGGGTTAGACTAGAGCTTTGTATCCGATAACTGTATCAGCAATGCAGTAACAAGCGAACTGGAGAAACACACATATGGTGGGCGTTGACAACAGGAAGTGATTCGTTCGCAAGCTGGCCTACTTATAGGCACTCGAGCTGGATCATCGTCACCGACTCGTTCTAGTGCATCAAGGGTCACGTTGTGGGGAACGTCACAAGACGTGACATGTAGTTACCCTCGTGACCACCTCCCTGTCACACTGGCTACGCGTACACACTTGCCTTCAGACCACTACCATGGTGCGCGTTCATATCGTTCGGTTGACAGATCAAACTAATCTAGTTATATAGGAACCTTCGTACCGCGTCATTCCATCTTCACAAATCAAAACTGCATCCATAAATGATACTGCAGGCAGTCTAGGCCTCCATGACACCCTCCGGTATGGAATCCGTAGCATCGCTACTGAGACGAGAGGGGGCGAGTTCGAGAACCGTATTGCAAAGGTGTGCTCGAATTCCATTATAAAATGCGTCTCTTTCTGAAGGCGTTCATAGTGGGAAGAGACGCAGGACAACGCGAGGCTACACATGTTGGCCAATCTCTACGGTCCCAGTGCACCTATGAGGTTACTTATGGAACGCCAGATTGTGTCCGCTGTGAGTATGGACGCGTGTGCTAAATATATGCAAATTGAATTTCTTTCAGAGCCCTCATATGCCTGGCATGTCACAGTCAAACATACATCTTGACATCCTGATGGGTCGGGATGAGACTCTAGACTCAACCGACTTCTTCCTCGGTGCGTAATTTGCCAGATACACAAGTGATGTAATCTGACTCGGTGTCCTATAGGCATGGAGAGTGGTCCACCATTAAGCATCCACAACGATATGGAAAAGAAACTCCGACTGTAATCCTAAACTGTTGTAATACCTGCTATCCCGTAATGTCATAACTTCAGTGACTTGTAAGGATAGCGCGCGGACGACGTCAATATGAAAGGTGAGTGAGGAACTCAGATGAATGTTGTCATCTATGCATTGAATATACGTGAGGTGCGTATGGTAGGGATACACTGAATGCGGTGTGTAAATAACAGTAATACTAACAGATCTAAAGCACGGAAAAGTATGTTTGGTAGTAATAGATATGCTTCGTATGCAATACTATGCAACAGTGAATGACTCTCCGCATCCACATGCGTCCTTGATATTAGGATTGTTAAAAACGAATTTGGAGCTACAGGAATCAATCGTGTAAGTTCTACGGTGAAGCATCACCTAAAACGGTGAACGACGTACCTTAACGCATCCTCCTTCCAGTCCATCTCACTGCCTATTATTGAGAAAAGTGCCTTGCTGTCTATGAGCACCTTAATTCCATCTTGATGTACCACTTCGTCAAACTTTTCCGGCTTCTCCACATAGTCAAGGTGGTAAGACAGGCCAGCACAACCCTTGTTTCGCACACTTATACGAATTAATTGTGGTGTCGGACTATTAAGCAAGCCACGCAGCCGCTGTATCGCAGTCGGTGTCTGCAATGAATGATAAATCTTATTGATACAGATAGAATCCATCGTCAGCACATACCATACTTAACACCGCCTTGGTGGACCGAATAGTTGGCCGCGGTCGCTCTGCCTTTGGCACAGGTGGTGGGCGAGCAGCTACTTGCGGAGAAGCTGGTTCGGATGATAGCAACTTTGCAGTGGGTACAACAACAGGTGGTGAATCTTTGAGAGGCTGCTTGGTGTTGGAGCTGGAATGCGCTTCCGGTGGTCTCTGAGGTTGAGAGCTTAAGGCAGACATCATCGCACGACGATGAGTGGAATAGATGGCGGATGCGCGTATTGAGTGGACGACATTGTGTGCTGAACACGAACGACCTAGTGAAGACAGCATCATGGGCGGTTGGGATGAAGGAGGGCAGTCAATTCATCGGAACAACAAGATCTTCCTGTGCTTGGTCATCTTACATATAGCCAATCACGACATCCCATTATCGTGTGTCACCAATTGTTTGTATGTAAGTTATCCGACTGGTCGATCAAACTTTTCAACGTTCAACGTTAACGCCGAATTCTTTGCCCCGTGCCCTCATCTTCCATGTCCTGAGCCAAAGTTTTAGCCACAGTTCTCATCGCTATGCGAAACGGTATCGCACGTTTACTATAACTTATAGTTAAATGATGTCTCATTATCAGAGTATGATCATGATGGCCTGGATTTTTTTAAGATCGGCAAGTGAGACGAGAAGCGGGACCGACTCGGCGCGAATGCAAGACTGACGCCCCAACACGAGGGCTTGGTAGCATATTCCAACAAACAGGCAGACATTTGACACCGGCTCGCGTCGCGCTTTGGACTGCTGCCAGTGAGCCACTTACCTTCCCCAGCAGTCCCCTCTGCAGAGAATACAAATATGTATGCGGACAGCCAGTGTACTCGGGAGCATAGCCTGCTAGGGACTGGTGATGAGCGCGTTCTAACTTGATGCATTACGGACATGCTAACGAACATTGTCAATGTAACACAGCATAACATCATCACTATGCCCGCTCAAAACATGCTGTTTGCAATGGCTTACGCTGCTCAACGTAGCAACACCGAGCTTATAAGTCATTCCCGTGACGCTGGCCAATGTGTTCAGATTGCATAGTATGTATTGTCTCTGTTTCTCTGCGTGGATACCCACTCGTAGTCGTCTAGTCCAGTTTCCACAGGCTTCCGCATCCTACCAGGCAGAATCGCAGCATACTTAAGGCGGCGGCGCTGTTTTTGGGAGTGTTTTTGTGGCTTCGCGCACGAACATCCCACTCCAGTACAATTTGTCACTTCGGCGACTGGCCACATACAGGTTGTTTGTCACTTTCGAGACAACCGCTGCAAATTTTCTAGTATGTTTAGCATTTTTGTTGCTTCTTACTACTTGCATCATTATTTTCAGTCAACCTTAACGAGATACGACATACGGCGCTGCTCGAATCATCGTATGATGACTTCCCAACACGAGGTAATTCTTTCATTCGATGCGGAAGGCATGAATTTCATCCTCCCCTAGTTCTAGGAGATGTTCCCAATATCTTACTGACTGCATTTCGAACTATCATTGCCGGTCTACCGTCTGGCGATGCTGAGATCGCGCCATACGTCATTGATTATCTTGGCTCACACTCGTCGATGCACCTGCGGCCACCTATCATAAATCCAAACCTATCACCCTCCTCCATCCGTGAAGTGGCGAGAAATCGCCGTCGTTCTGGTACGAAAACTCTACATGTTGTTTTTTTTAGTTTTATGCTTAAAGTAAAATATACAGCATTTATCCCAAGACCAAAAGATATCCTACTTGGTCGTGCACGACAATCAATTGGACGTGGAACCGATGCGCCGCCGCACACACATCTCTCACTCTCGGGAATCGGGCAAGGACATATGCATGCGCTCGCTGCCGGCATGGGTATTAGTCGCTATGATGCGATGGGACTTACTGAAGAATGTGATGGTTGTGGTAAGTAGTTTATGGCGAGCGCTTTGAGAGGGCACATCGTGAGGGGATGCAACAAGAGATAGTGCCACATATACTGTACAACCGAAGGTTATATTTATCGAGTACGAGATGTGTCGATATACTTTGTGGGCGCTCTTGTGCAGTTGCGTAAGTAGTGAGAACGAGAAAAAATGTATGCTTGGTTACAAGCAGATAGTGTTTCGGGCGGAAGCCCCGAAGGGGCAACCCAGCCCCTGGACCGATAGTAACCCCGACCTGTGCGAAAGTAAGCCGAGGTGAGCTGCGAGGGGCCGAGGGCGGGTGGCCAACCACCTGGGCCCAGTCACTAGTAGGAATATGACTATGTAACTAAGGGACTCGAGTATGAGTATGTTAGAAAGTTGTAATATATACTGCGAAGGAAAGGGAGTGGTGAGTGGGGAAAATAAAATCCGAAAGGTGACAGGCTGTAGACAGGGCGCCGGAACTTACTGGAGTGTAGCCTGTGCACTGTGTGGTAATAGCCGCTGCACGATGTCCTTAATCTAACCCTACACTCGTATCTCGCTTGGGGGTAGTGGCTCACTAGAATTCCAATTATTGGTGTCCAAACTTCGGGGGCAATGAAGGGAACGGAGTCAGCTCTGAGCGCCTGATCAATGTTGCGTGTAACTGCGTGTTGATTTCAAAGCTTTAGAGATTAGGTTGATAATTCATCATCGGTATGTATCATATTATTAGAATCTGACTTTATCCATATTCATGCCTTCAAAGAACACCGTTGTCAATATATTGTCGCTGCAGGAACGATCTGCTTATTGGTCAACGGAACCGGTAAGCCTGACTTTATTCTTGCATACTTCCCTTACAAATGTGCATGATGCCAACGCACCTGATAGACATGGTGAATCAAGCAATATAAGTTATAACTTTGGATACAAATGCCGGACGACCTCATGATGATGCCTAGAACAGCAAAGACTTCGTCGGTTGTTTTGAAATTAGAAACACCAATAAGATCTGCTAAGGGCAAATTCACTCATGGATGTGAGATAATGACGCAGCAATGATAACATCGACTTATTCCGATCGGCATTATTGAATATCGGGAGGATACACCGATGCGATAATCAATGGTTCAATTGTTGTCAGCGGTTGCGGCAAAGGTAAGTGTCTCAACGCGCCCCTTTCCTTTGCACTCCTTCTGCAATAGTTCGTTGATTGCGCGGATTTGCGAGGGCTCGATAAGCATAACCTAGACAACCTCGTCAGAGTCTTCCGACAAGGCGACGGAATAATACATACAGTTTCCCAGGATTCCCCCTTGTCTTCTTTCTCGACCGTCTCAGCCAACGCACGGAGCTGTTCCTCCAAACGCTCTCCTTCGGCAGCCGGGAGAACGACGCGCACCCGCATCCTTGCACGTTGAATTGGTAGTGTTGAGTGACCCTGGATGAGTCGCAGTGTTTCTGCTACCTAACGCTCCTTGATGAGAACGTAGCGTACGATGTCAACGAACGATCACCCACTTGACTCTTAGCATTCTTCCCCGCTTTCACACTCACACCTGCTTCAGCCATGGCCTTTTCGATCATTCCGACAGGGTATGGACGTTGAGTGGCCGGATCGACGCATTTCTCAGCGACTATTGTAGCAATCTCCTTGCGGAGGGTAGCAAGATCGTGTTCACGTTCTTTCTCTGCCACTTGAACTTCGCCTTTCTTTAAGATCTGCAGTACCGATAAGCAAGGGACCGAGATCGTTGAAAAGGACAGACCTCCTTCACAACATCATCTACCGTCGAGGTACCAAATGCTTTTTGGAGATCGTTAGACTTGGCAACCTCGCCTTTGGATACATTCATGAAGACGTTCGAAATTTGGAGGACGTCATCTAAACTCGTCTCACTGCGCAAGGATCTTGCATTAGCTACGGAGCTATCATATGGATATGATCACATACACTCCGTTTCTCCATTCCTGCACCTTATTTTTGTAGCAGGCAATCTAAAGCTAGGCCATTAGACGATGTTAGTATGTCGGATATCCACACTGTACCTCGAACCGTTTACCACCCTTCTTCAAGCGTACGATAGATACATTTGTGAGCCTGTGCTTCACGTTGCGTCAGCGTAAAACCCCAAGACATTGTCAGCTCAACACTGACTTTATTTGATTTGATGGTTGCTGGATAGGCATCTCGATTCAATGATACAGTACGTTTCAATGTATATGTAATAGGGTGATATAAACAAGTGATGGGAGCAGGCAGAATGCGTGACAATGACGCATTGTATCCGTTTGTTTGTTCAGCTTCGGTGTTGTCACGCCTGTCACCGATCAGTGTCTGGTCCAAGATTGGGCGGTGCACCACAACACAACCCACCGCAGTACTTCAAAACGCCCTCGGAAAACTCTTCTTCTGTCCAAAAACGAACTTCTTAGCCGCATCAGGACAATTCAGGAGCCCGATAATATCCATATCATCACTGCAAGATGAAAGGGTTCACCAAAGCAATCAAGCGGTAAGCTCATCCTTTTTCGGTTTTATGCTAACAATTGGTGGCGTTTGTCGCATCTTTCTGCCTGAGCATCGGCGTGGAGGGAGATGACTCACGATCGTCTACAGCACGCCCCACCTTGTCACATCTAAAGTTGGCTTCGCGAAGAGTGAGATCTAATCTTTGTGATCAACCACTCACTCAAACTATCTACTGTTTGCCAGAGTCTTCTGATCCCGAATTCGACGACTACAATCGCCATTTCATCAGCCTCGAGCAAGCCACAGAGAAGTTGCTTAAAGATACCAGGGCATTCTCGGAAAACGTCATATGTGTGTCAATTATGTCCATCTCATCTATTACCGCATCCTCACGTATACTCTCAGCCCTCTTCACTTCTTCTGCGGGTTTTGCCAACCATTTCAATTTTATATTCTCTCCATTGGCTGCCGAGTATAACTTGCAAGGCAAGCATCCCTCCTGCGAGGCAACTATCACAAACACTCCTCCGTACGCAACTGCTCTCGACGAACTTCGTTCTGCGATCTCCCCTGAACTCGAGCTCATCGATTCACGAATTGTTGCGCCCGTGAAAGAGTTCCAGGGTGTCCTCAAGCTGATCAGGAAGAGCATCACTAAACGCGACCATAAGCTGGTGGATTATGATCGGTTCAATAACTCACTTACTAAATTGAGGGACAAGAAAGAGAAGAGTTTGAAGTGATGAGAAGAACTTGTTCAAGGTAGGTGCCGGAGTGTCTTCTTGTCAGTGACACGTTTGACATTTGTATGATCAGCTTGAGCAAGACTTCGAGATTGCCACAAATGAGTATGATTACATTAACAACGCGCTCAAGACAGATCTCCCGCGGTTCATGCAACTTCGCAACTCATTTCATCGACCCTCTTTTCCATTCATTCTATTATATGCAGTATGTCTTTAGCTGTCGGAACCACCAGTCTTTGCAAGTATTTTACAATTCAACAGGCTTAACGTTTATTATCTTTTCCTTGAGAAAATGAATTCATTCGCGGAGGGTCGATACGACGTTACCAACGCCCCTGGCGCTCAAATCCAGGCTGACTATGAAGAGAAGCGAACGGATGCATGGAGTCAAATTGAGGATCTTAACATCACCAAGCGCATCATATCGACCTGTACGCTCAGCTCTCACCCGTCATATTTTTCACTCATAATTTTTCACTACCAGCGAAATTTGTGCAAGCTAATCGCGCCACTGGTGGCAATTCGTTGACTGTTGGTTCTTCCATCGGTCGCTCACCCAGCATCGCAAGTGCTGGCAGTGGGAGCAGCCGCTCAATGCCACCATCCCGAGCAGCGCCTACATCTTCCTTTACCAAGAAGGCTCCGCCACCACCGCCAGGCCAGACACCCGCACCTCCTCCCCCATACTCTGCGCCTTCAAATGATGTGGGAGCTGCAGCAAAGAGGCCGCCTCCACCTCCGCCGGTGAAACCCAAACCAAAGCCAGAGCCAGCAGTAGAGTACGTTACAGCCTTGTATGATTTCGATGCCCAGGTATGTATCCATTTGATCTCTTGAATGGATGTCTGCTTACCTCTTCGTTTCAGGCTGAAGGAGATCTTTCTTTTAAAACTGGCGACCGCATCGAAATTATGACCAAGACAGAGAGTCAGGAAGATTGGTGGACAGGTCGTCTTAATGGCAACCAAGGTGTATTCCCAGGCAACTACGTACAGTGATATGAAGACGGATATTGACGGTTGAGTATTAATTGAGTAGTAGCTTACATTTTCGGGACATTCCTGCTAGGGACAGCCGCATCAGGCATCTTGCCCAGCCAAAGGGGGCTTCACGCTGACAGTCTTTCCCGTTACCCCAGGTTACCCCTTATCTGCACTTCTGGCAGGGTCATATCCTTTAAGCAAGCGTGCTCCAGCCGATCGTTACTCCGATCTTCATGGAGATATTTCTGGCTTGCTAGATTGGCGCTGCATTGCTCTCACCTGCGGATCCAGCATGTGACATGCGGAAGGAACTTGAACGTTACAATTGCATTGGCGAGAATCAGAGACAACGCATAGCAACTAGGCGTTCGGTTGCGAACTTCCGACGGTTATCTGATATGCAGTAATTGACCAGTGCTTGAATTTGGATTTCTGCAATTGCTACAGTTTTAAGTTTCTAGATCTAGGTTACTTGGTTTTTACATATGATGTTCATATCAGGTGACTGACAGATTGACCTTGCTCCGCAAGGTGACGCGTGACGCGTGACGTTTGAGGCCACTATTGTCGCCGTGGCCGAGAATTGCCGGTATCCTGAGTAACGGTCGTGCAAGGCAATGCATCTAGGAACAAGCTGTTCTACGTGTCGGCTACATCACGCGCTATGAGCTGCTCTGCTCACCATGTGGACAGTGGTACCAGCAATATTCTAGCAGTGGTAAGGTGGCCGTCGCAACGTTGAATATTTTGGGTGACCATACGCACCACCGCGGAGCACGTGCGATGACATCAGTATGGGCCTCCCGACGTCATAACCTGGTTGGTGCGGTATATCATAAACGAAGCAAGTACTGTACGGTCACTTCATTCACCAGACCATCATGTTTCGCAACGTTATCGCCCACAACGCGCGCGCTTGTACTGTATCATATACCCGTTCTATCCATGCCACGCCCGCTGCTAGCACGGTCACCGAGAAAGTGTCTGAAATAGCTGACAAGGTATATATCACCGCTCGCCCGTTTGTCCTCACAAGCTTATTTGTTTCAAGGTAAATAAGAAAGTCGGCCAAGGTCTTGCATCGGCCATTGAGACGGGCGAGAAAGCAGCGGGGAAAACCAAGGAGACACTCGGTAAGTAAATGTTCAACGACGCAGAATCTGTCTATAATGGTCCTGTACTAGGTTCAACAACTGCTTCGGCAAAGCAGAAAACAGAAGACGCAAAGAAAACTACCCAGAAAACCACGGAGCAGGCCAAGCAAAAGGTCGACCAGGTGAACTATTCGCTGCAGTACAAACGGGTTGTCAGTTACTAATCTCTGTTCAGGCTGCTGCTAGCGCGCGAGAAACTAAAGATGACGTGAAGGGTAGGATGTCAAAGTAATCACACCACCGCTGCCCCGCTGCTGTTCCGTATGCATAGTCAGCACGTACTTAAGTTAGGTTGAACCTTATTCACACCTTAATGATATCTATCCACACAAGAGCATGGCGCATGTACACAGGAGTTGTCGTCCACCCCACTTAGTAACATTGAATGTTATGGATTATGGATTAATGACTCAGTTCTGCAAACACAGTAGAGTTTCAACGCACTGCGACAGAAGAAAACATTAGTTCATCTGCATCGTGGAAGCATTTGGGTACCTACTAATTTGGCGGCCAATGTGACTAATCCTTCGCATCCGGCATCCATCAAAATGCAGCGGTCTTGTGAAGAGACTCAAAGATCACCGATCGGTCAACGTCAGCGATAGCCTTGGGAAGTCTTAGTAAGTTTGAAATTTGAAAGCTTGAACTGTGACGCGTCGCGTAACTCGAGCAGAAGCGACCAGTTCACAGTATCATGCGAAAGTCGGATTCCAATCACAAGGCGCACCACAATATATTCAGTCTGGAGGTGTAGGGTGTCCCAGTAGTAGCAGCCTGAGGGTGACAAGATTAGAACTAAGTGGTAAGTGTGACGGTCGCCGACCCACGTTCTGACAACGATGGTGTTCGTGCCTTTGACGTGTTGCAGCGACACGCACGGACTTGCGCACAGGCGCAATATATATGCCAGTAGTATAGACGTTACCTGCATAGTATTTTGTTGACCGGTCAAGCTTTCAAGCTTAAGTTCAGGTCCATTTTCCGTGTGCATGTGCCTGATCAAGTCCATATTCGTCATGAACAATGATTTTCAGTGGATCGACCTCTTCCAATCACAACACAACAACTTGAACTGGGACCTACCACTGCACATTCCTCGCAAATTTTGCACAAAATTGCTATAAAAAATGCCAACAGCCCGCTCAGTTGGAAGTAAGTACTTACTATTCATCGTTGCTTTCAAAGTTGGTTTTGAACAAACTGGAGAATCTTCGGGTGGGAAAATTATGTTCGTTCTGTGTGAGGGCGGCAAACCAGGACAAGTGAATACCGGTCGCAAATAAGTCCCCTCGGATTATCCCAAAGAAAAGGTTTGTAAGAATTTTAGGACTCTCAGGTACTTATAATTAACTCAAAGGCCGCTCCCCAACTAAAAGTCTTGGAAACCTCAATTGAACCAAACACAGCTCATACTACTCACGGAGACTCCTATTCGTGGAAAACTAGAAATGAAGGATTGGCAAGAAATACAGCAAGCTGCGAGTTCAACCACTGAAGGCCAGGGAGACCTCGCTCATAGTAACAATCCCATTCAATGTGGCAAGAGTACAACAACCTAAATTTGCGAAGAAAAGACTGTCTTCTTTCTATGGCCTTTGCCGCAATCTAGGATCCATGAATCGAGGAGCTTCCGTCAGCTATTATATTCAAGGGAATCACCCAGGTCGATTCGCAATAGCTGGATTCTCACCCCATCAGGAACGGTGCACGCTTGATGCTCGAACTTAACTTCATTGACGTGGAGTTGTTGTTTTGAAAACCGCTACACAATATGCTCACGGTCGCTTGGTACTGGTCACATCACTGTCGCTTGCCCCTGCTGAGCTACACTGCCTCAGGCTGATACCGATATGATCTTGCCCAGTCTCCTGCACATGTTGTACTGACGTCTTGATCATCCTGTGCTTTGATAATGAGTCGTTGAGTACCGGACAAATTTGTTCCCAACGGTGTTATTGCCCTGAAGGCAGTACATACTGACGCCCTTTCAGCTTTCTTTGTAAGATTGCTTGTATCATCAGTCGAGGGTGTTCCATAGTCTGGCCTAATATCCAGACATACCAGTCCATATATTTCGGGGGTGGCTAGCGGGGTAGTCCTAGGTGCCAGATCTCAGCCCTCCAGGCAACCTCCGGAGGCGGAAAATGCCTGGGGCCTCCAGGCCCGTCCGTAGGCAGTAAATCTATCCAAGGACACCGCCTTCAGTGTCCAAAGCTCTGGTACGACACGCAAGAATAAACAAAAAGTCCGGGGGAGTGATATTTATCTGGTTACGGTAAGCTATACTCAAGCCCACCGGGGGAGACCATGTACGCATTTATCTCTCGGTGCCGATTGTGAGCTTGCTGGAAACTGAATGCGCGGTTTTGCGCACTTCAATGAGCCGGTAGTTACTAGTGTGGGTTGTGGGGAAGCTTGAGAGAATTATATCGAATGCCGCCCTAGTAACATTGGTAGGTTTAGCTCGGCTCCGTCCTTGGTGATGGCCTGTAGTGGCTTGGCGGGAGCACTAAAGCGGTGGTTCGGAAACAAAGCAACTTTGGTAACTCTTGGTCGTCGTGATGCCAAGGCTAGGCAGACAAAGACGCACTTGTAAGATGGTTTAAACCCACTCTCGAGAACTTAGTGGGCCTGAACAGCAAGTACATGGCACCTGCCTACAAGGAAGGTCACCAAGGGACCGTTGTTCTCCCAGATCTGCACAAAGCAGAGATATCAATATCATAGTACCCCAAGGCACCTGTTACACGCCGAAATGAAATACAACACACTGAGCAACATCATCAGCTCTATGAGACCTCAGGCTGAGTGGTGGGCCAATCAGACTTCGATATCATCTGAAGGACCCGCGGATTTTTTTTGTCAGTGTTTATTGTCCGCTGGGTCCTTGTCCTATGGTACACAGTACACCCGCGGAATTGCTCAGCGGTGCGAGGCTAGAGGCAGGTTATGGGCAGGAACGGAGGCGTTTGATGCAAATGTCAGGGGCGCCGGACTAAAGTGTAGCACGCTGGTGATTTTCTTACCTCGCTACATTGTGATCTGCCAGGCAGCACCAGCAAACACTTACCCTTAGTTCGGTGGAAGCCCTCGCTCTCCCGCCGGGCCACGGTTTTGGTATTGTCCCGGTCCCGAATTAGGTGGGTACTAGTAGGCTTGACAGTGATGAAAACATGTATATGGTACTTAAGAGCGATTTGGATGAAAACACTCACATACATATATTCACAGAGGAGCTCTGACAAGGAAGTTCACAGATTTCATTCGGAAAAACTACAGCTATGTGGTGTGGGGGAATAGAGTTTAACTTATTTAAGTCGGAGATATCTAGTCACGTCAGCTATATACCAATATTAATGCGAATTTATTATGACAAGCGAAAGTCGAAGTTCTGCGCCAGGATGCCGATATTTAATAACCCCACGTATAATACAATGCTGGGCCAGTAATATTTGACTCTCGAGTCACGCGATATTCAAGTGCAACGTCGCAGCTATCCTACTAGAGTCGCGTACCTATGTGGTACGGGTCCCGCCGGTTGGTACTTCGGTGTAAATGAAGGCAATTATAACCCTGCTCAATAATTACAGTTTATTTGCTAGTTTATTTCATATGTGAAGTCGTCGGCAAGATGTCGGAGTGATTGTGTGCCGAGCTGTGGAAGTGCAAAGATTACAAACAAAGAAAACATACCGATATCGAGCATGAGTGACTATTGGAGCGAAGCTGGACAGCCGAAGTTCTCAAGATCTCACTCGCCAAGAGGTTTGTTGTGGATTCTCTCATGTTGCTTCCCTGGCGCTGATGTTGTTGATGCACTGAATTACCGCGTATACTGGGTTTTCCTTCGCGGCAAGTCGGCTTGTATTTCCCTCTCCGCGACAGGAACATCACACGAACTTTACCTGACAGTGGAGAAATAAACTGTTATTGAGTAGGGTTGATATAATAGGGACTGACTAGACTTGATGAAGTCGAATAAGAGGAAATAAGTGATCTGAAAGTACTAATGAGAGAGTATGGGAGACGAGACTCCAATTGACTCCATAAATATTATTGGCGCTTGCCTGAAGTTGCCTGACCGAGGCCTGGGTATATATCATTAGACACTGGTGAATCATACAAGTGGCGGTTGACATTGACGAGAAAAGGTACATGCTAATCTGAGCGCTTGGACTAGATGTCAAAAAATAGAGCATGATGTCTTAGATATGAAGAACTGCCCAAATTAATGCATATTCCATAATATGACAAAATGTGTGAGCGGTGAGAATTCAAGGAGCTGACAATGATGAAACTAAACTTGAGCACGAACGTGACCTGTTTATTATACTACGAATGGTAATGAAATCCTGGTACGAGTAGTCAGCCTCCTCGGAATGTATGATTCTGGACACGGTCTGTCCGATGTCCATCCAGGCCATGGAGATATGCTATTCCCCGCGCTTGGAATGGAGATGCCGTGCTTGACTACGATCCATTGCAAAGCCGCGCTTAGCCCGGGCCAACGCGGCGGAACATGATCTAAATGTTCCCCTATGCTCCCTGTCAGATCTTTGCGAGGCCATAGATCCGAACAAAGCACGACATGATGTCTAATGCGGAATTCCGTTCATTAACGTGGTGCCTGTGTGTGGTATAAAAGCATGCTGCCAAATCCCTGTCACTCTAACCATCTGGTGCCAATCGACCTCCTCCGCTAAACACTTCAAACACTTCTTTGTTCTACATCTCTTCTGAAAAATGCCTGGACCTTTCGCATCCTTGAAGAGACTGTCCATAAGCAGCAAGGTATGTGGCTCAGAAATTCGCCGAAGTACGCCCCACCAATGACATTCCGGCCATTGCCAGCTCTCTCGTCGCAGTAGCTCCCACAGTTCCAAGTCCACCCGTGATTCAATTCAGGGACATCCATCACCCATGGACATCACATACGCTCTCGTACGTTCTGTAGTCGCTCTTCACTTATCATTTTTAACGAGTGCATCAGGCGTTTTCTCCTGCAGCGCCTTCCTACCCAACTTTTGAGGAGACCCCTGCTGTGGACGGTTATGTAAGTTCTATATCTAGCTCCCTCGGGAAAGTAACTCATACAATTTTGTCATTAGGCCGAAATGCTCGATGACGACAACATGTCGTGGGGCGTGCGCCGGTCAGGGCGCCGACAAAGGTCTCTCTTTTAAAGGGACACGTCATTTTGCATATTCAACCACACCTAACTTAACGGTATCTTATGTACACTAATGACGAGCAAGGGATGTACGATCAAATACGCAGAGGAATAAAAAAAAATTGTCATTAGTACCACAAGTGGGCAGCTGATATGTGAGATACTCTCTAGAGAATGGCGTTCCGCACGACGAGAACGGGGATAGCAAAATTCTTGCTGACATACGCGTCTAAAGAAAATCATGGGACACACCTACAGAGATCAGGCTAGTCGTATTGCCGGTGTAATCCAGACTAGCCCAAGAAGAAACAAGCTTGTGACCTGTTGGAGAGGTATACCCGCGACTGTGTACCTGCGTATCAGTAATCTACGGTGCTTACCCCCGGGATTCCCTCGGACACTTCAGATAGCGCTATTCAACATACCCTCTTGTTCACTGGTCTACGAAAACATGTCAATAGTTAGTATGACACTCACTGCGTTAGAGGTCAAGATGTTGACTGGTCATTTTCAAAGTAGAAGGCCCAAGTTCAGAATGTTCAGTTCTGACAAAATTTCCCCAGGTCTAGAAATGACGTTGATACCCCAACAATATCGGTTTCGTCTGCAATTTTAGTTCCCAGATGATCTAAATGAGTGAGACTGTCTTCATAAAGACTTTTACTCGATGAGAGTAAGAATTCGTCAGCACACAAAGTAGTCTAGCGGAGAACTGCGCACAGTAGTCCAGAAATACGTACCACTTCGCGAGAATGCTCCGAAGCTGGCAAGCACATGGAATTCTGCTTCGCGTCTACATGAAATTATTATCAGCATGGCTCGTGACTCCGAGACAGGTACACGAACTCGGATAACTGAGCATATGAGGGAAATAGATCAGCTAGCAGACTCGCTGCATGTCGCATATCCATATTGTCACGAGGCACCGAGGAAGAATATGGTAACACAAGGCAGAACGCGGTGAGAAAAAGCGGGAATAATACTGTAGCCTGAGACGGCGCAGTTGCATGCTGTACACTCACTCATCTATTATGGGCCACGGAAGGGCCCCGGTATTCAATTTTTTGATGGGATATAAGGTGGCACCTCTTTCTCTTCGAACCCTAGATCACAGTGCAAATCAAGACTCTCTTCACGAACCGAGTTGATAGTGCATGACTTACTTGCATTAACACTCCACGCCATCGGCTTACGTCTAACATACACATCTATTTGATTCATTGTCAAGTTTTCTCTCTGCACTAACTGTCATGCAACGAAAATATGTGCGTAGTAGCCAGAGCTTGTCGATAGTGGGGTGATGGCTAATCAGTGACAGAGTAACGATTTCCACGCCAGCCTTGTTGAACATAAAGTAAAAACGAAAAAGCCCCGCCTCTTCAAAAAATCATAGGAGCCTTCAAGTCATGTTTTGGATACGGCTTTGATAGTGCTGATACTGTTTGTCCAAGCCATAGTATACAGTTAGTGAGTTTACTGACATGGAGCATGTTCACAGCCTTCTAGAAGAGACTACCTCAGAAGACAAAATGCCGCAACTGGATTTGAAGGCAGAGACATCTACGGCGTACGCTGCATTTCATGATCGTGTAACTCACCTTAACTAACTATCCATTAGGTCCAAGCAGAATATCTTGATGAAGATGACATGGCTTGGGGAGGTACCAGCCGCAAAAAAATCGTCCAAATGGCAGAAGATGGGCTAGGCCAGGCAAGTCTACGCGGACCCAATAGAAGGAAGAATCATTCCTTTCATGTTATGTGATGCAACGATTTGAGGGGGGACCTGGTCCGCCTGGACATTTAACGGACATGAAAATTAGCATTAATGAATATCCTCATGACCACAATAGTTTAGTACGTTACCGATCATAGACGTTTAAACATAATGGCATCGAAGGACTATGTAGGAAGGACTCCAGATATCGTAAACAGCAGCGTTGGTACCCGTATGTAGGGTGAAATTTTTGAGACAATTTCTTTCGCGGTGATTGGGTGTTTGCAATTGGGTGTTGAGGTTGATTAACGTTGATTGGGTGAGAATCATTGACACTTCGGCTTGGGTATTTACCTATGTTTTGATCCGTCACGTGTGCGTTGACAATGTCACTGGCAGTACTCTCCTTAATACTAATAGAAGTCGAGGTTCTATTCGATGCCCTTACCACCCGTCTTGTACCACTACTTCTCCACACCGCTACCATATACGCGAACTCTCCTGCTCCAAGAAAAGATACATCAGCTTCAGCTTGCTGCTCGTCGTTCATCATCTCATCATGACATTCTACTTCTACTCGAGCACCGCCCAGTGTACACATCTGGACGCCGACAAACAGAACAAGAACTGCACGCAGAACGTGCACGTCTGACATCGATTGGCGCAGAATTTGCCGTAGCAGCACGCGGTGGACAATTAACATATCATGGACCCGGCCAGCTCGTCGGTTACCCACTTCTAGACCTCGCTCGCACATCTCCGCCGATTGGCATCCGTGATTACATTTGCATAATGCAAAAGATGATACAATCTTACTTGCTGCGTACGCACGGGATTGACCATGTACCCTCGGACCACACTGGTGTATTTTTGGACCCTGTAACAAAGATAGCAAGTATCGGCGTCCAAGTACGCCATCGGCTGACGACGCACGGATTTGCCATGAACGTCACAAAGGAGCCTTTGGAGTGGTTTGGACAAGTTGTGGCGTGTGGATTAGTTGATGTCAAGGCTGGGTGCATAACGGAAGCGAAAGGAAAGAATGTGCGGGTGGAGGATGTTGTGCCAGGTATTGTTGATGCGTTTGGTACATTATACGGGAGAGATATGGTGAAATTATACCCCCAGAACGCTGGTGAGCTTGGAGAGGCTATTCTTGCACTAGAGGAAGATGCACTAGCTGCTGGGGAATGGTTGAGGGCACCTTCCCCGAACTTATAGAAGCGGAAATGTTCATTGCAGACGACCGGGAGTTCTGTTGATCGTTTCCATCCGCCATGCACTATGACATCTACAAGTGCGTGATATCGTCTACGTATGCTGCTAAGCAGCCTGCCAGCTGAAAGTATATTGTGAGTATTGAGAGCTATAACTTCTCCCAGCCTCGCAGTGCAATGCTGTTAACAACCTCAAGCCTACTCGCTGACGGTGAATGAGTTGACTTCGGAACTCATCCGTACCGCACAGCGAACACCGGTTAATTATAAGATGGTATTATGAGGGGCATCTAAGTGGTATCAAATAGCTGGGACCTCAGGCCTCAGGCTGAGCCGTTGTTGAGACAGAAGTCGAATATTTATTCGCGGATTCATGTATCCAATGGGTTTCTCGCCGAATCACACAATTGTGAACATAACCAAATTCGTTTCAACTCCAAACTCAGAACTGAAACGCGTTCAAATATGTTACTGCAACATCAGATGGCTTCATTTCGTACGTCCATAGGGAGACCGCTGCGGAGTGGAGTGGACCAGAAATAGTATCGCCACTGCAGCTCCACCAGGACCCACCTCATCATCGACATCATTTGCCTTCCCTTTCAAGACTAGTGACGCAGAGGATGATCCGATGTGGATACGTAGTTCCACTGGGTTGGGCTTCGAGCGGTCTCGCTGACTCAGACCTCTAAAAACGAAAGAAGATAGTCGTTCTTACCCGCAGCCCACCGTGACGATCCTAGTGAACCTTCCTGCCAAAAGGTAGGTTGATCGGAAAACTCTGTGTAACTCGAGCGCTCAGTTTACCTCAAAATTAGATCTTTGAAGTAGACTGTCATGCACGTCTTAATTTTGGGAGCAACAGGCGCCGCAGGTGTGCTTCTTATCCAGGAAGCGCTCCTAGCATCGCACACCGTGGTCGTATACGCGCGCACCCCAGAAAAACTCCCTGAGGAGACCAAGCATGATCCCCGCGTCACAATCCATAAAGGGGAGCTCGATGACAGAGAGGCGCTTTCATCGGCCATCATGGGCGTTGACGCCGTACTTTCTGCTCTGGGCCCATCGGTCTCGCGCGGACCTATGCACCCGAAGGGCACACCTCTTGCGCGGGCATATTCTCTGATCATTGAACTTATGAAAAGCCATCGTGTGCGTCGGCTGCTGGCCCTCGGGACACCAAGTATAACAGACCCGAACGACAAATTCAGCTTGCGGATTTCCATAATAGTCAATGGCGTAGCCACCCTGGCACGTACGGCATACGAAGATGTTGTAGCCATCGGTGAAACCATTCGGACCCAAGGAAATGATCTGGATTGGACGATCGTTCGCGTACCTATCCTAAGTGGGGCAAACGACAAGAGATTTGTTGTAGGTTATGTGGGAGACGGGAATACAGGGATACGGGTAACAAGAGCAGGGTTCGCATTATTTGTTGTGCAAGAACTCGAGAACAACGAGTGGGTGAAGAAGGCACCATTGATCACACTGCCTTGACCCTATGAATTTTCAATCTTTGCATGACTAACGTAGGACTATCCCTATGATCGTAAATCTTTGTACATCCATTGCCCAGATATAACTCCATGATGATCCGAATCTCTGCGCGATAATGTTAGCAAAGATAGTGTCATTCCTAGGTAAGACGGGCATGTTCAAGTAGATCCGCCCAATTGAACTCCTCGGGGTGTTCGTGGAACTGCCTGAGTAGCTTTTCAGCGCGCCGATCTCCCTTCTCACTACTATCTGCACTCTCATCGCCCCACAAATAAAACTTTTGCACGCCCATTGCAAGCAGCTGAGCATCGATCTGACTCAGCAGAAAACGGGTGGTTGACGTATCTTTGCCTGGAATAACGGCCGCCGTAGCTGCTGATGGTGTGATCTCGCCACGAAGTAGCACTATTCCGTGTGTCTTGGCGAAGTCGGGGTAGAATGTTAGAATGAGATATGGGGTAGCGAACGACTGCCGAAGCTTGTACTCCTGGAGCGGTGTAAACAAGACTGTCGCCGTCTGGGGCAGGGCAGATGCGTTACTAGTAGGAGGGGCGCGAGAGAATGGGTCGGGACCAGTGGCAGATGGAAGCAACGGGGGAGCGTGAAAATCCCATTGTAGAAAATAGAATTCATGGGCGGCCGCACTTTCTCGATCTTCAGGTAATACAGCTGAAGAGCCCTCCCGGGAGACAGGTATGACAAACATAGGATATTGTTTTCCTGTGGTAAGCATTTTGTCATAGAGTTTGATTGGTACTGATGCACAGATAAATCCCCTTCCCGTGCCTCCTGTGCGAGAGGCATGATAAGTCGTCCATAAAGCCGAAATTTGCTCCGCGGTGTGAGGGGTTGACATCAGCCTTGGAACATTTATGATCGACTCTAGTGCCTGAAAGTAGCGACAAATCAATCCCGCGCGGGAAATTATGACGCAGGTAAGACTTACTTTCACCGGAGAGCTATCTTTGCGGGTACTTGAAGTTCCTGATACCTTGCTTCGAACCAATTCTGAAGGTGACTTGGCCAACCTTTGCGGATGCGCCTGCGACAGTCGCGCTGACTTGACACTGGCTACCTCCTTACGATGAGCTGCTTCTTTTGCTCGCGTTCTCAGTTCAGATAATTCCAATCCCTGCCTGGTGATGCCAGCGAGCGGTAACAATGGCGACATTCCCAGAATCAGAAATCCACGTCCAGGTAGACCCGGGGGACAGAACAGGAAGGAAAAGTCGGATCACTTGTCAGTATATTGTCACGAAATTGGGCACAAAGGAGGACACATCTCACTCTTGTGCTTTTGTTGAAGCTTCTCTGCATATTTAGATTCGTATGGAGGAGTCGACGGTCCTGCATGAATCCATCTAGCCACAGAAATATACCTGCAAGCTGATCGACTACAAACAATGGCACGAAGGTGTAAGGTGGCTGGAGAACTCTGGAGCCGTAGCATGGTGTACTGTAATTGGACTGTAAAGTTTTACGGTGGAAAGACGCCCACTACCGCGTAATTGCCCGATGGGGATCAGGCCTAGGCACAATAGGAAAGAATAGCTTAGTATTGGCAACCACCTGCAACCACATATGGGACAAATAATTGCGATAGGCGTGCGCATTGTCTGGCAACTGGGCGTACCATCTCCACATCTCTTGTTTTCTTACTATCATCATCTAACGATACCAGCTCATCCGCAAGATACCCCACTCATTCAATCTACACTATCGTCATGAACACCTCCCCCGCACACAACTGCAAAGGCAGCTTCCTCACTCAACTCTTTGCGCTGCGCCGCAGGAATCAAAACACGCATGTCGAGCCCTACATTCATGATCCTGCCGCTGATGCACCACCACCTCCTCCTCCCAAAGATTACAACCGGGCATCAGCGTCTACGCGGCGACCGTTCCTGGGAGAAGAATACATCAACGAGAAGCCCCTCCTGTTCGATGTCGATCTTAACGTACTAGCGCGGTCACCGCAGCCTGCCTCGCAGCCAATTCCCGTCGTCCAGCAAACACCGCCACGGGTCCCTGTCAAGGCATATTCACCTCCTACCATACCGTTGACACCCGAAGAGAAAGCACGCCGTAGATTAGCTGCGCAGCGCCAATCCCAGTTGGAAAAAGAAGCTATATTGAGGGAAGAATACGAACGCCAAGAGACGAAACGACGTGAGAAATTGGAGCAAGAACGCCTAGAGCGTGAGGAAGAAGAGGAAAGGAAAGCAGTGTTGCAAGAGGAGCTGCGGGCTGCGGCGCTAAGAAAAGCTAGACTGGAGAGAGAGGAAAGAGAAATAGAAGAACAGCGATTGCAAGAGCTACGAGAGAGGAAACAGCTAGAGAAAGAGCGGAGGCTACAATATACGAAGGAAATGGAGCGGTGGCGAGCAGAGCAGATGCAACGCGCCGAGTCCCAATGCAGTGAAAAGGAGGAGGAGCGTAGAAGGTCAGTGGAAGGGAGACGCATGAGAGTTGCTCGCATGAACGAGGAAGTATTCTCCGCCAACAGGGCAGATAAGATGGTAGGTTGGGTCACGGTACAAGCGCCCAACATGCTGGCGTGGAAGAGGCGATATTACAAATTTGAACTGGGCCATGCAGAATCCAAGATGCTGCTATACGGAAATCCAAGAGTGAGCTTAATTTATTCCCATTTCGTTCTAATTTCACGAATGTCTAGGAGGTTGTTAAACCCCTCGACGCCCTCCCTCTGGACGGACAGATCGATTCGCTTGCAGAATGGTACGAGGGTTTCGAGGAACTAGAAGCGATCCCCCACTCGTTTGCTCTGCGCTTTGTTGATGGCGTCGAATGGCGGATGTTCGCAGATTCGGCAGAAGAGAAGGTACTAATCCATACTATTTGAGCTCGATTCTGGCTTACATGATAGTTAGGATCGACTGCTGGTGCTGCTGAGCGAGGCGGCAGGCATAATTTTGTGAATTATCTGTGAAATTTTTATTTGTTAACTTACGAGACACGACGAGGGATGATATAAATGTGTATTCCTAGCAGCAGAGCCCATATGTAGTTTTTTCTAGTCCTTCAGCTGGATATAGAGGTCAAATGACACATTCAATGTGAGCAAGGTGAATACTGACATTCCAGTAGCCCTTACGGCGAGCTTGCAAGTGGATGCGGGGATTAACACCTAAGTGTTGGACCTTCTAGTCTTAACTTGCACGCAGAGCCTTGTCAATGATATAGCACCTCCGATATCAGCATTAACGCGCCAAAAATGAAATTTCGGCGCTTGCTCGAGGAGTCGAGGCATTCCATGGCTAGCGACTTAGTAACACAAGAGTTCTGGCATTTGATCGTCAAAGATTAAAGGGAAATACATGCTGAATCTCAAGTAACGTTTTGCAGTCAAAGCAAAGCTTCCAACGACGTACAAGGAAATCGTCTAGTCAATCGCTTTCATGCTCTTCAAGTTTAAGCTTGCTTGAAGCTGGACAAACTTTGTTTGAAAGTAATTGAATACCCGCGGGCGTCTACCAAACATAACCAAACAGTGACATTCATTCGCTTCTGCCAGCTAAAAAGCACTTCACGTCCTTGCTAGTGGAATGTTTTCAGTGATCGTGCGCAGCGCAGCTCAACGACGCGCTCTCCCAGCACTCCGTCACTTTTCAACACCACCTCCATCACCTCCTCAAAATCCCCCTCCTCCACCCCCAACGTCACTTCCAAGCCTTGACTTCCAACCCGCGGAACCAGAGCCAGAAAAGACTCAGCGCACCGGTGCAAAATCATCCAAGGACTCGCTCTCGAGTATAGAGCGAAAAAGACGGTTTTTAGGACGTCTATCTCTTGGTGTACTCGCAGTTGCTCTTGGTGTGCAAGTCGTGTATCTCGGTAGAGATTGGGAAACGGATGAGTTAAAAGAACGAAAACAGGTGTGTTCATAGTTGGAACCCTTGTTCAGCGCTTATCGATTTCAAAAAAGACGGTGGAGGAGGCTCCGTCAGGAAGGTGGGAACGAACGAAGTCGAGGTTTTGGGAGCTGTTCGATGTACGTGACACAGCTAATCCCGTGCACACCAGCTCATAAACTTATTAATCATGTCAACAGTACTTCAACAAACCCCAATGGCCAGAACTACTCCCGCCACCTCTCCCAGCTCCCCATCAAAAAACCGTACACCCTCTTGCTATCCATGGATGATCTCATTATCACGTCAACTTGGGATGTAGGTTGGCTCGTTCAAGTTATGAGCATCGCTGATGATATTTCTCTTCAGCGACAGCAAGGATGGCGGACAGCCAAACGCCCTGGCGTTGATTATTTCCTTGCCTACCTGTCTCAGTTCTATGAAATTGTGATATTTACAACCCAACACCATTATGTGCGTATTATCCCCATTACCACAAGAGTCGACGCTCAAAACCAACAGACCGCCATGCCCATAATTGAGAAACTCGACCCATATAATTTCTTCATCACCTATAAGCTTTTCCGCGAAGCCACACGATCAGTGGACGGTAAAATCGTCAAGGTAACTCTCATCATCCGTTAAACTTCCACCTTACCTCCATCGTCGACTATGCGTTAAAACCTTGTCTTCTCCCAGGACCTTTCTTATCTCAATCGTGACCTCTCGAAAGTCATCCTTCTTGATACGCATCCGGAACATGTAAGCTCACATCCCGAGAACGCCGTCATCGTCCCCAAATGGACCGGTGCACCCGGAGACAAGGGCTTGATTGCCATGATCCCCTTCTTGGAGTGTATGTTCACACCTTTGACTCTTCTCAGTTAACCTTAATCGAATTTTCTCGTATAGCCATTGCAATTTACAAATCTCCTGACGTACGTACCCATTCTCCAAGCGTATGCTGGAAAAGATATTCCTATCGAATACGCGGAGAAGGAGGCAGAAGCAAAGCAAAAGCATATCGAGGAGTGGAAGAGCAAGGCGCGTGGATTATCCAAAGGCGAGTTTACGCTGAGCGGCATGTTCGGTGGTCCGAGTGAAGTCAGTTTGTTCTCATCTTATTTACGTGCCATGACTGACTCTACTATTACGCAGTCCTCGCGCTCGCCTGTTCCTTTGACATACCTCGAGCAGAAACGCCTTGAGGCCCAGCGGCAATATAAAGAGGAGCAGCTGTACATTGCGACGCACAAGGATGAGTTTGAACGGCTGTTGGAGGAGGATAGGCAAGCGATGGCGCGGGAGATGAGCGGGAGTTTGTGGGGCGCGTTGGATGCGATGGCGGGGAAGAAGGCGGGTGCTGCGAAGGTGGACGCGGACGCGGATGCGAAGGGAACGAAGGTGCAGGTGCAATAGGCGGATTGTGATGCACACAACTAGACTGGAGTTATTTACATCTACGCACACATATTTGTTATTGTCATTATTGCTCTCCACTCTTGCACTGCAACGGTCACCCTTATAAGTCGTATTTCTCAGAATCCCTGCTCTCCGGCACGTGCCAGTCTTGAAGCTTGAAGCTTGTATTTGATGCCGGTGCTACTTGAATACTCGCTTGACTTCCTTCAAGGTTAAGATCAGCCAACTTGAGGCCAGTTTGTCGTCCAATGTTTGACTACGAAATTGACTGCAGTACGGGTGAGTAAACCGCACTTGGATGCATTTGTGTTCATACTCGACATGCATGACTCTAGTCCCCAGCTGCACGCGCACTATCACAATTTATGGTCATTCCTTACGAGTCCGGTACTGCTAGTACATGTTCAAGCAAGCTCGTGACGTGTCCGACCTTCTCCCGGACTCGGTCTCATTGAGGTGGAACATACATGACACAACAATACAATGTGCAGCTCGAAATTCCCTCGAATTCGTCCAGAACAGCTATCTTCTGTTTCCCAATCGGCAGGAGAGAGTTCGTAAAAGGTCCGCCGGCCATCGTCTTATTTCAAGATCGAAGAAGGAAGACAGTCTAAGAACCGCTGGATCTGCTGGCAGCTCACCACGATGTCCACGCAGTTTTGTTATCAACCTCTATCCACCATCGGCTCCATCAGGCTTCTCCGAATTGGCAAATTTGTTTCCACCTTACAATACGACCTCATCGAGGTCAACCTTGAAAATAACCCCGTTTACGATGCGCTGTCCTATACCTGGCATCTGGGAAAACAATCAAGCACGAGATCCGGAGTTGATTCAGAGTTTGGAGGATCGATCAACTGTAATGGGATGAAACTCGACGTGACTGCCAACCTTAGAGATGGCTTGCTTCGTCTAGAGCAGTTTCGCCAGGAAACGCTTATCTGGATCGATGCGATTTGCATCAATCAACAGGATCTGCAAGAACGCAGCGCCCAGGTCAATATGATGGGTCGCATCTTTCGCTCTGCACGCACGGTAGTAGTCTGGCTTGGAGAGCCACCTGCAGACTACGAATATGCCATTCGATTCATGGAGCGGCTGCCCTGCATTAAGGAGCAGCAGTCTGAAAGTCTGACAGACTATGAGAATGCTGCCATCGCTACACTGCGTGAGATGACCCCTCCCGCCCATAAAAGGTGAATGGCTTTCCATCGGTGATTTCTTCTGCCAAACATGGTTCCAACGGTGTTGGGTCATCCAGGAAACTGTTCTCGCTAGTACCATTGAGGTCTACAGTGGACCGACCCATATCCCCTGGAGTCTGCTGCAAAATGCTGCGCGGCTCCTCGACGTGGTCCGTCGCCGGTCCTTCTACTTCCAAATGTGGAAGAATAAATCCATGACCATCTTGGGCTCAATCCCCATGATACTGCTTGCACGCGAGCACTGTCACCGCGGCAAGCTGTGGCAGCTTGATACCCACCTTGCCCTGAGTCGCACCTACCAAGTCACCGACCAGCGTGACAAGATCTTTGCCCTACTTGGCATATCGGATAGATCGTCGCTGGAGTCCCCAGTGGTGGAACTCGGCGTGTTCAACGTGGATTACACTAAATCTGTCGAGCAAGTCTATGCCGAGTGCAGTGCGCATTTGGTCGAGGGTCTGGCAGGGTACTCTGTCCTCTCTATGGTGGAAGCCCGCTCATATCCTGCACCTCGCCCCATCCCCTCGTGGGTGCCGGATTTCAGCGTTCCACCGAGCCCTCCACCACTCGCAATCCGTGGACAGTGCCCTTTTTCTGCAGGTGTATTCACCAGTCCTCTACCTACCCGACCCACTATCTCCCCTAATAAGAAAGAGTTGTACCTCCCTGCGGCCGCACGACTGGGCCGCATTTCCCGTACGTCGGAGACAGGGGAAGAGATATATTCCCTTGAGCGCATGACACATTTCTTCCGCTTGCTCGCTGATCCAGCTCTACGTCTCGCCAAATCTGCGACCCCAGCAGCAGCAGCAGAAGCACTATGGCGCACCCTCATTGCCGACCTCGCTGAAGAGCAGCACCCCGCGCCTGCCTGCCTTGGCACTTCATTTAACCAATGGATTGCCTACCTCGTTGTCCGCGCTCTTGACACTGCTTCCCGTGCCTCTGCCCATGCTGCTGATCATTTCCCCGATGGGGAATCTCCACCTGAACCTACCCTTACATCCGATGCTGTGCGCGATTTTATGTTTTCCGCCGATCACATTATAGGCCTGCGATCTGCTCCACCAGAATACCGCTACTCCGACGTCCATGCTGCAGTGCTCGACTTCATAGCAGCATGGGATGGTGCAATGCCTTTGCGGGAGCTGCTGGACGCGACGAGGGTGGCTGTGGCGGCAGGAGATAAGGCCCCACTGGAGGCGACGCACAGGTTTGTGGGAGCGTTCTCGTGGATGTGTTCTGCGAGACGAGTGTTCAGCACAGAGGAGGGAGATCTTGGGATTGCACATCAAGGTGCGAGGGTTGGCGATGAGGTGGTGGTAGTGCCAGGGGCAGCGGTGCCGTTTGTGGTGAGGGAGGTTGAGGGTGGTGCGTATGCCTTGATTGGGGAGGCATTCGTGCATGGAGCCATGGACGGGGAGGCGCTGGAGGGGAAAGATCCATTGGCCTTGGAGGGTCTGCGCTTGGTGTGAGGACTGACCTTTGCATTGCACCTGATTATGATGGATATCAAGAACTCAGTGCCATGTATTTCTAGAGGTTATGGTCGTGCTGAATAGTTTGCACACAGGTTTGTTGACACCCCACAAGTTGGGATATATATACTCACCGCTCAGAGATCGTAGCTAGCGGCCGTTCCTACGAGCATATATAAATCGTGGCCCTGAAAAACCAAGATTATTGCCTTGCTTGCACGCTCCCCGATCACGAAGCCACATCAGGATGTAAATCACGTGGGGTTTCGGCACATCGAAACCACGAGCATTCTGGAATTTCTGCTGATGTATTCAATACTCTATGCATTCAGAATTTCACGCGTCCTGTCAGGCCTTCTTCGCAGTATTGCTCGTAGGGTCGTGATGTATTATGACGAGTCATAATTTTAATAAGGAACAATGCATTCCCAACTACATTAACTTAAACTTTCGGGACTAGTTTGGTGAAGATGGGTGCACTTGGTTTGAGGGAATCGGGTGGGTGTCGATAAAAAATCCTGGGAACACATTGGACTTGGGTGAAGAAGTCAGATATACTCATTTATCCACCGGGGGGCCTGTCGGGACTTAAACCATCCATGCTGCTAACTCAATGGTCAGACCGTGACTGTGGCTTAGTGCAAGGTCGTCGAGTGGTGGCAAGAGGCTAAAATGCGGGTGGGACACGTACATCCCTGCGATGCGGCAGTCATAACTTACAAAAATGTCAAAGAATACGACGTTGCGGGAACAATACGTGTAGGGTGGGAGGCCGCTAGGAGCGCAATAGAAGATACCATAAGCCAAGTGCGCTGACAGGCATCAACACTCAAAGCAGCAGTGTTCTTCTCATAGATGATGCCAGTCCAAGTCGCCGACAGATATATCGATACAGCCCTGTAAATGTTGTTGCCCAGGTATACAATAGTTCCGAGGACATCAGATTGTTTCGTGTCAATTCCCAGGCGGCAGTACATACACGTTCATTGTTGACGGAGATCTAGTTAATCGAATATCTTGTAGTATTCGTGGGACTCCTCCAAGGCAACTCTGTCATTCACAAAAAACAGGATGTTAACTTCTTGACTCAGCAGAAGGAAAAGTAGGTTGGTTGACGGTTGACGTGTCTCGACTTGAGACAGCAGGCAACCTATGTAAATGCTGATAGTGCAATCCCACGCGAAGCAATACGGACTCGGGGATAAAAGTTAGAAAGATAGTAGGGTGTAACAAAGGACTGACGAAGTTTGTAGCTTGTATCCCTACCGCCGTCGGAGTCCGGTCGCGTCACAGGCAGCGGTAAAATAGCCCGGGCCCATCAAAGCTCAACAGTGGATGGTGACATGCTGGAGAGCCCTGGTGAGAGTTTTTGTTGTAGGGGTTGACTGGCATAATAACCGTCCCGACACCCGTGCCTCGTGTCAGAAGTATGCATTCTGCGATAGTGAGGCGTTAATAGCATTGTCAACCTTGGACTTCGAAAGCATTGAGATTCGACTCGTAGCTGAGGCATCTCTGCAAATTATATGCTTGAATTCCTGATATTTTGCTGCGAAATATATCACGATTGTTGTTTGACTTCATGTTGAAACGATTGAAGCTTTAAGATTCAATTCATGATGTGGCTGTGTCGAAATTGCTTTCAAAATCTTACTATTAGCTATGACTAATTCAATAGATTGTCTCCTTTTGTCTTCGCTTCAGTTCAGACAATATGACGATCTCTGCTGCCGTAATGCCAACGAATGGTAACAATGGCAACATTCCCATTCATCTTTGTCCAGGTGGACTCCTTAAAGGAAAATAAAGAAGACAAAGTTGGATGCGTGACAGGTCGGTACATTCTACATCGTCACGAAATCAGACACTAATATCACCTTGTAGTATTGTTCCTGAAGTTCATACGGAGGAGCTGACGCAGTCCAACCCAGCAAGAATGTACCAGGTGATTAACGACCAATAGTAGCACGGAGGCATGACAGCCAGCCTGACTCGGACTGGAGAACTTTGACAGCTCTGACACCATAACCATTTAAGGTGATTGAAAGTTTTATGATGGAACGAACGCCCATTCCGCCCTGTAACAGCCTGTAACGATGGCCTACTAGGAGCCTATCGATTAAGATCTTGGCCAGGCATGCATACAAACATATTGCTCCATTATGTTTGAGATTGCATTGATGAATATGACGTAGTATAGCCTCCTGATGAGCTTCATCGCACTTTTATGTATGCTGCCACATGCATGCCACGACACAGTTCTGTGTACTACTACACATTTCAACCACATTGTGACACGTACCCTTGTTGTTTCTGGTCGCGGCACGCCGCAGCCTGGTGCGAGCAGTGATCACAATTCATCAGCTGCCATCTGCCACGTCGGATTTCAATAGCTCATCCCCGCATTTCCTTGGCTGGAGATCATGACCACCGCTGCTCACACGATGCGTCACCCGTTATTTTTCCTCGGCAACGTAATTTAGACCAGATATGTGCATGCAAGGTTACGCTGTGACTATAAATTAATCGTTGGGTTGTAGAGGAATAATATCCGTTCGTGGCTCTCCAGACAGTCAACTAAGTCTACCGTCACTCATTCGGCAAGATGGTACTGACGAGCATCATCAATGTGTCCAATGCTATCTTGAAAAAGAGTGCGTCCACAACGACAACTACTTAGCAGAGACACTGATATGGAACTCGTCATCTTGCACTACCTACAGGAAATGGTGACCCACCGTGAGGCCATAGTGATTCTGCCAACAAGTCTTCGAACCCAATATTTCTCTCATATCTCACAGGTTCGATGGTGGAGATGTCTCTTTCATTATTGTGGCATCTGCCATGGTATTTTTCATGATACCTGGTCTCGGTTCGCATATTTCTCTCTCTCTCTAACTTTTGGTTATATCCACTGACTTATGGTCACATTATTTCCAGCTTTTCTGTATTCTGGATTATCCAGAAGAAAGTCAGCATTGTCGCTTATCTGGGTAGTTTCTGCCAGCAATGCAGTCTGTATCTTCCAGTGGTACTTCTGGGGTTATTCTTTGGCATTTTCACCAACTGCAACCAATGGATTCATCGGCAACTTGGCAAACTTTGGCCTGATAAACGTCCTCAACGAACCTTCCCCTGGTTCCCCTCTAATTCCTGCGCTATTGTACGCACTATACCAAATGGAATTCGCATGCGTCACAGTAGGAATACTGGTGGGCGGGATCGCCGAGCGAGGTCGGGTACTCCCAGCCATGGTCATCACATTCTTTTGGATGACCTTGGTTTATTGCCCCCTTGCTTGCTGGGCGTGGAACATAAACGGCTGGGGTTATAAATTCGGTGTTCTTGATTTTGCAGGTTAATTAGTCCTTCCCTACTGCCGTCCAGATTTTCTGATATTCTGTGATCTACAAGGTGGGGGTCCCGTAGAAATTGGAAGCGGGGTAGGAGGTCTTGCCTATGCCTGGGTGCTTGGCCGCAGACAGGACAAGGAGCTCCAGAACTTCAGACCACACAATGTTTCCATGGTCAACTTGGGCACCTTTATCCTCTGGTTTGGCTGGCTAGGTTTTAACGGTGGGAGCGCTTTTGGTGCAAACATGCGCGCCGTCATGGCCATGTGGAACTCTATGATCGCTGCTGCGTTTGGCGGTATCGTTTGGTGCCTCATCGACTACCGCCTGGAGCGGAAGTACAGTATGGTCGGATTCTGTTCGGGAACCATTGCTGCTCTCGTTGCGGCCACGCCTGCTTCAGGATACATCAAGCCCTGGGCAGCAATCCTTATGGGCATTTTCACCGGCGCTCTGTGTAATTACGCAACTAAATGTGAGACTACTGAATCATTCTGGAGTGCGGATGCTGACGCAACCTTCAGTGAAATTTCTTCTCGCAATAGATGATTCACTTGATCTTTTCGCTGAGCATGCTATTGGCGGGATCCTGGGTCTCATGACGAACGCATTTTTTGCCACTGAGGTCGTTATCGGCTTAGACGGCGTCAACACGAATGTCATCGGCGGCTGGGTCGACCACAATTGGAAGCAGCTTTATATCCAGTTCGCCTATGTCCTCGCGACATGCTTATATACATTCGTCGTCACTGCCCTGATTGTCCATTATGTCGACACAGTCCCTGGCCTCCACATACGCGTAGCAGCTGGGAGCGAGACAGTCGGTCTCGACGAGGTCGAGGTAGGCATGGATATACTCTTGAATGTTCCCTCAGCCTAACAAGATAACCCAGATCGGTGAATACGCGAATGATTATATCGAAATATGGCGTGACGTTCTGGAGCCGAACCCCATGGCCAACACAGATGCACGTGATTCAACGCTCGACACGATCACCTGTGCCGCTGGACGCAGCCAACCAACCCTTTCGCAAGAAATTTCAACGCGCAATTTGCGGGTTCATGACAATTTTGACTCGGATAAGTTTGAAAAGCCCGTTGAGCTAGAAGTACTGTCAGGGCGGGGCGAGGCCAGAGTCTCTATAATTGCATGAGGATATGGGCTTGGTCTTGGATTATTCACTGGGTGAACATCCATGATTTACCTTCGCCTATCGTTTTTATCACAAGCATTGTATGCGCTCGCTTTATTTCTTTTGACAGCCACTAATTGCTGCATCTGGAGTCGTTGACCCTATGACGAACGAATCTCATGCCTCACGTCACCCCAAATAATTTGTACACGCCGTAGTAGTACACACTTGCAATTTGCGACTTCAAATAGTATTATTGTCTTTATCGTGCACCGTCTGCGAGGTCGAATGTCCCATTTCCCCTCAAGGTTCTTTAAAACCTCAGTCACGCGGCGGGCGGCAGCCAAGAGTCGACCTCCATGTGTAACGGCTTGTCAGTATTTACTAGGGCCAGTAATCTGGCTCAACAAGATAGCCATCATCTCAAAGGTCCGATTGCATCCGTCACGCGATGATGGGAATTGGGATATTGCTAACTTCCCTTCTGTACTCACTTGGCTATCAACACCCACAAGAAGAGGGAGTATCAAATGGGTAGTGTACAATTCCCTATAAATATATTGTGCAACAAGTTAAGTACGTCAGCTAGCACCTTACAACACTGGTGGGTCGAAATGTGGATATATCTCATCCTGGTAGCATATTCATCGGCGCTTGGACAATCTAACAATCCCAGCCGAGCACAAATTCAGCTGGCGCTGCGGTTTGGGTTGCATTTTCGGTTCCTGAGAGCAGAGCGCCACAAATGCCAGTTCCAAATTCTTCATGCAAGAGTAGATCGACGACGTTACGCGAGGCTAGGGTCTCGGTTTCCATAGTCGAGATGAACCTAGGCCAAGGTTGATGTCAGTATAAAAGCAAAAAGAAACAGTGTCATTCCAAACGTACGGCTCAAAAGCATTCACGTAGTAAAAGCCTTGATCGAGCTTGACAGGAGGAAATTCTGATGTAGGAAGCAACAAGGGGTATGCCTGCCACTGATGACGTCGTTAGCATCCCGCTTGCCCATGTAAACGGTAATGATTTACCAATTTCCTATATACCCAACTGACATTACCAAACACTGTCTCGAGCCATTCATCGGTGACACGATCTTTGGAGAAAATTTTCACGGTCGACTCAGGGTCTGTTACTGCGTCTCCTGCCGCTCCGTCCACCTTACGAACCTTCCCGTGGTAAGAAATTGAATTAAATTCGGGCTCCACCCCACCCGCTCGAGCACCCTCGTAGGTGGACAGAATTGTTGCTGGCACCTGAGCATTGGAGGCGAGGCCAAAGTACTCCGGCCTGGGGTGTTCGGAGCGTGTCGTTAGCAACGTGACGTGCAAATGCACATATGGCTGCGGAGGGATGAGTTCAGCCAGATCAGACGGCAGGATAATATCAGTCTGGTGGAAAGGTGCAGCAAGGATAACTCCCTGATACGTCTGGGAACCAGCCGATGTGTAGACAGTCCACAAAGAAGTGCCTGATTTCCGTTTGATCTCCTTGACCTAACATATTGTCAGTGGTCAAACACAAATCTAAGAGAAAGAGACTCCAACATTCGTGTTCAAAAAGACCTTCGCTGTCGAATTCTCGAGAAATTGCTCAAATATGCGGAAATTTCCTGCTACAACACCAGATGCACCACTTGCTGCCATTGAAGCTGCGCCTCCGAGGGCGTGGATCTTGTCCACGTTCTGATGTAACGTCAGTTGACTGATATTGCAGTAAACTATTTGGAAAGTATGACACACCTGCCCGTAGTTGACACGCGTCGCTGCCTCAACAAGCTCTCGTGTAAAGAGCGGAACAACGCCATTACCTTCCCAAAAATCCGAGGCGGTTTGGTTAGTCAGGGACGCCCACTGGAACCTCTTTGAGAACACTGATAGATCATCCCAGCGAGGAGAGTCGGGGGTGTAGAAGTCGAGGAAACGGTCGATCACTGACTGGACACTGTATTCCTAATGAGTCCCGAATATTAAACGAGCGAGAGAAACTTACATAGCTTTCGTTTTAGTGGGTGCGGTGTAGCCATACCTCCATAACACCTTCAAGGTTGCCCACCAGCTTTTCAAATAGCTGCCGCTTTCTATCTTCGATGCCGTATAAAGTTTTGTAGGCAAATTTGTATCAAAAGCAGCTCACCACAAGTACGAAATTCTGGCCATCCCAAATACCAGTGTTCGAATCATCATCTTCGAAGGCTGTCAGAGTCAAGTTGAATTCCTTGGAAGCTCTCATTAGATTCTTGTTTGCGTCGACGAATATAGAAGCTCCTAGTTCCAACGGAGCAAACGTAGTATCGTTGTAAGGATATACTACGGTGCTGCCTGCGGGAGAATTTGTCAATAAAGATGAGCACTGTTCGATAGACAGGAAACTAGAAACTTACGACCTCCGATATAATCTGAACGCTCATATACGTCAATTTCAACGTCAATTCCGAATCTTTCCTTCGCTTTAGATATCCAAAATGCAGCTGAGGAGCCTCCCGCGCCTGCACCAATGATGGCTACTCTTGGAGAAACATGAGCCTGTTCTATGTGGGCAGAGTCTTTTGACTTGAAAAGAGGAATGCTGAAGGGAAGTTGGAAAGCAAGGCTGGAGCAGACGAAAAGCGAGTATATGAGGAGACGGTGCATGACTTTCGATCTGAGTAGGAGTACATACAAACCAAGCATCTACTGCACAGCGAGGTCGTAAATATGTACAAACACAGTTTCACCAAAGCGTGTTTTCATACAATTAAAGTTTCATACGCGTATTTTCACTTAATTTATGATCGAGTGACTTTGTTCGACCAGGTACAAGGAGACTATTAGTACTACGTATACAACACCGTCGGGGGAGACGACAAAGAGTGTGTGGGCCGATTAACCACTTACTGCATACTTCAGGTGCGCGGAGTCGGAACTTCGAGCTTTATTGTCGGAAGAATTCCGTGAACAGCTGCAGTATACCATGCTAGTACTATATCATCGTAGTGCAACCTGCAGAGGCCTATAGTAGCTTGGGGTATCGATAAGGTACGTACGAGTGACTCACCCGCGAGCTCACAGCTTGGCCCCACGGGCCGAAACCACGTCTAGATTTCATAAATAAGCGTATATAGAAGGGCTGTAACTTGTACTGGTGTTCCCACTGGTACTACATCACTCTTCACCATCATATCAACGAGCAATTCGTGTCGACAATGGCAGCGACGACACCCCTGAATCACATTTTCAAAATACCGTCAGAGATAATCGAACATGCTCTTACACTTTGCCATCCTCGCGACGTTGCATCGTTCTCACAGACCTGCCAGAAAGCACTCCGCCTAGTTTATGGGAGCCCAGATCAATATCTCTGGCGTCAATTATTCCTTCTCTTTCCCTTCGACGACCCTCTGCGGATCTCATCCCCATTTCAGGAAGATGGTCAATTCAGCTGGAGGAAGGAGCTACACCGGCGAATGAAGGCGCAATCAATCGCCTGTCGCACAAGTTCAACGCTTGAGGACCTCTTGACGGCCATCGAAACCTTTATTTCTGTCGTGCGCAGCGCAGCTCCCGTCACATGGGGACATGAACGCGTTTCATCTCCCAATTTATTGTGGGTTGTTGAAGTGTTGCAGTCCACAAACATGCTTCGCTCTCCATTACTCTTCTCACAAGAGGGTAACCAACCGTTGGCTCGCCTGCGAGCATACCTTGCACTGACATTGGACGAGTACGATGATGATGACGTCGAAGGGAAGGAAAGATTGAAATCGATACGGATGAGGAGTCGCTCTCAGGTCTACGACCTACGGAATTACCATCAAGACAACGAATGGGGCCCATTCAACGTCACAACAGGAGAAGTAGATTGGACTCACATAGAGTCAATTATCAACGTTGTATCTATGAACCTTTCTGACCGTCCACATGATTGGCCGGATACAAGGCCGCGCTATGGGCTCGAAGCTACTCGAGCATACTCAGCACCCGGTACCACAACACCAGCAACAGGTGATTGGGCTGGTATTGAAGGTCACTGGAGGAGATATGTCTGCTTCATGGATTATCGGTATGACTTTTGTTTACCTTACTATTCGCCCAGCACTCAAGTATCTCACCAGAGACTTGTTTGGTGAGCATACTTGTAACCCGAATTCTTACATTCATTCATATGTTCATCAGCATTCAATGTAATGATTTCCTTTGTGAGACTTACCCTGATATTCAAACATTCTGCAGTATGAAAACAGAGGACGCGGACAACAAGATGGCACCTACTTTGACACTCCAAATTTTGAAGAAGTTGCGCGCCTTGTTGAGCTCAAGCTGAGGCTCATAGACGCTCAGGAAATACCTGAAGTCTACATACTCGACCGCTTCCCTGATTCCCCGTACAAGCACTACCCAACCTTGTATTTCACTGGATCATCTTGGGGCATACAGGGTAACGAGGCGACTGTCGTTGGCTCTGTAGCCATGTCGGAAGGTGGCGTAGTACGATGGCGATTTGTGAGCCCTGTTATTATTACTCATTAAATACGAAACCGAAATGGATTGAGCTATCCCAGGCATCTATTGCCAATTCGCACATTCAATGGAGGTAAGTCGTAGGATGTTGCAATGTCCAAATGCTTATAATACACATTTTACCATAACATTCAGTTCCGAAGGGGTGCAAATCGGCGGCATCGCCAGTGCGTTTGGAGTAATAGGAACATGGACAGGAATCCGTCATGATCACGGTAAGTACCTATTAGTTAGCTTTTAATTTGAGGCTAAACAAGTTCTACTTTCACAGGCGATCCTGTTGGTATGCAACATGTGTCCGTTATGTATCCTTATACTCATAAGCTCTTTTGCATCATAGGTCCCTTTTGGCTTTACAAAGTAGAGGATGATCATCCCATTTATATGCGAGCTTTCATGAACAATTGAGCCAATGCTGTCATGATCGTGACGTCGACCAACACAGATACTGTTTTCTTGTGGACAAGTGTTTTGAATATTGCTTTCGTTGTATATCGTTATATATATACCCCACAGAACATTGTTACCAGCACATTATTATTGCATTCATTGGCCTGCTCAACAGGTGTCCTGCCTGTGGGGAATTAGTACATACACGGGCAACTCTGTCGTAACGGACTAGATAGAAAATCGATGGGATGTAACTCATACAATGTCTGCAGTATTTTGCTGGTCGGAATTCGAGGCTGAAGGCCAGTTGACATGTTCACTAGCTGGTCTACTACCAGGACTTCGGGTAGTCGGAGTATTGACAGGAAATATCGTACTCAAGCGAGGCCGAGTAGCGGAGATTGATGGATTCACTGCGGAGGTGATAGTTCGCATAGAGATACGATAGAACTTACCGAGCCAGATCGCGCACAGCTGCTCGACTCGACGTCCACTGCGGAGGAGACAGAATGTGATCGCAATTGGCTGAGCACGACAACTCCTAGGGTGTACACATAGCATTATTGCGTGTGGACACCATAAACTCTCCGCTTGCAAATGGTGGGGACTAAGTCCATGAAACGCTTGCTGTTTGAGGTTCAGAGCAAACCTCCACATCATTGTGACCTTAAACCGTCGGTCTATGACGGATATGAACTTCAAGCCGGGCTCACAGTGAGGCTATGACGAAATCATCTGAGTCAATCGCTGTCATTGGTGGTTTACTAAGAAACACTCACAGAAGTTCAAGCCTGTGCACAGCGAGTAAATCAATAAATTTCTGAGAAAACACTGTAATGGAGATATGCATATTGTGCAGTGATGTTTTCACCCCCTGGTGAGCTCTGACAATCATGATTGCCAACATCAGATTTATGGTGCAGATGACGCTGTATGCCTAGTGAGCTCTGAGCTTGGTTTGCGCACCTGTGGTACAGTAGCCCGTCTGCGAAAAGAGTACAGAGAACATGCCCCGCTTCTTCACTGCGGATTGAAAGAAGCGTGCGGTTTCAACGACCTTATTCAAGCGCTCTCGATAAAGCCATTTATTCAATGTTATCGCCGACTCCTTCAACAAAGCTGGACAACGGCCCACAACGAGATCCCTATTGTGCGATTCTACCCATGCAAGAGCCAGGAGAGCATTGGCTACTGGGAAAGCTGCAGATGACGGCGCCCCAGACAGGAAGAACTCTAAAATGCGCATTTCACTGGCACGTTCCTCCATTTCGCCTGCCACTGGCTCGACAGCCTTCGAGAACTCCAAATCCAACGAAACTAAATCTAGCATACTTCCAAGAGTAGATTGTCGCGGAGCCTTGAAGATAGCCTTTCGAATCAGAGGGGTCGATGGCGGATCCTTGGGTTTAGGGATTGCCGGCGATATAACAGCAGGAGGAGTGATTAGTGCACCGCGTCGCAGGAATGTTTGATAATCCTGTCTAAGATGCAGGAGCGATTGATGGGCCAAGACATTCCACAAGCTCGGGCTATATTTTTGGTCACCAAATAGGGCTGTTCTGCGGGCGCTCCCGGGCCATGTCGAGGATTCGTCCGAAACCAGTTCCGCTATTAACTCAGAGTACGCGAACACCATGTCCCGAGTCGCAATCCCCGAGACAACCGTTACATTTGGATCTGGGGCAAAGGTGCTAACTTTGATCGGCTGAAAAAACCCTTGGAATGCAGATTTGCTGCTTCAAAGGACGATTACCTGAGGAATATACTCGTCAAATAATGACTCCGCGAACTCCCAACTCATCACAGCGGCGAGGCCTATCATAAATGATCGAACCAACAGCGACCACTGGTGTAATACGGGGTAGAGTTAGAGCCTGGCATATACCCTTTGCAAAATATGGTAAAAACGACCGGACAATAGTGCTCACCACTGGAAGCTCTAAGAGCACCGTGACTGTCGGTCCTTCATCCTACGGCGGCCCCACCCCTCTTTCGTATTTCCTTATCCTTCACTTGTAACAGCGCCTGGACGCGTTTACTTTTGATATCTCTCATTTTGCACTGGCTACTACCTTTTGCTTCTTAATGTCAAACGCACTGCAACACATTCATTCTATCCTGTATCGAAACAGGCGCTGGCTACCTGCTATTCATGCCATCATTGGCAAAAATTTTAGATTCAATCGGGACGCTCGTCACTTTATCGGCCACTGAGCCCACGTCTCAGGGGATATTTCTTATTGAACGTTCATCTGTACATGATCTGCTGTAAGTACCTTCATCTTCGTATGCATCACCCCTACTCCATTCCTTCAAACCTCCCAACACATTAGAAGAAGGAAGTTAAATGACCCGGGCCGGTATTGGCTCTGTCTAGCTAGCTATGGGGAGGCTACCATCGCCACGACGACGTCCAACCCACACCTTACTCCATTATTGGTTCCGAATCCACCATGACCTTACACTCAAATCCTCCTGGTTAGCTCTCAATCACCATCTATACATACGGCCCTCCCGATACCGCTACGAAATAACTAGCCATCAGGCTTAATATCGGATAGAAAGGGGCACACGGAAATTGTTAGACGGACCTCTTATCAACAAGAATTATTATGAGAGGCGCCAGCTCATGACAAGCGTGCGCAGGGCCTTCTCGAGCTCACCCTCTAATGACGTTCTCTGCATGGGATATAGCGCTGCTGATTCACCCGTACCTGACAGGCTCGCTCCTTTTAACTATTTCATCGACACCAGTTGCATAGTTTTCGCGTCACGCGCCGCTGCCGGTCAAGCCTTGTTTTTTCTGCATCATGTTCCCTCGTGGCATTACAGATTCCATCATTTCCGCTAACCACGTTCTAGGACCAGCAGGCTACAGACTAGACACTGGTTTCCATGCCGATCAGAAGATTATTATCAATCCCCGAAGCTCAGTCTTCCATTACACTCGCGCGTATATTTGATCGCCGCCTTGACCATCGCTCTTCCCAACACGAATTAATGACCTAAATGGCGCGGTTATGACTTTCCGAGTGCGACGAGTCTCTCAAAACACTTTCAGCCACATGCGCCGACGTTTCAGGGTGTATGCATCCAATCGGAAAGTCGAAACATCAACGCATAAAAGGAGGCGACTTTTGAAAGCAAACCTCACCTCGGGCCACAACTTTGAGCTCATTCGTTCCTCAGCTATACTATTATACTCCATACACCTCACAAGTAAAGTGCTTTGCATCATGAAATTTTCATCCGTCCTCTTCTCCTTCTCCATCGCCGTCTTTGTCCTTTCCTCTCTGGCGCAAACGACAGAAACCCTTTCATATGATACCACGTATGATGACGCCTCTCTCTCCCTTTCCAGCATCGCTTGTTCAGACGGCACCAACGGGCTTGAGACAATGGGATACACGACCCTTGGATCACTCCCCACATTCCCTAACGTTGGCGGTGTCTACACCGTGACGGGCTGGAATTCCGCTGCGTGCGGAAGCTGCTATAATGTCGCATACGGAAATAACGTCGTTGCTATCCTCGCGGTTGACATATCCAAAGCCGGCCTCACCATTTCAGAGACGGCGATGAATACCTTGACTGGTAATTCGGCCGTTGAGCTGGGAAGAGTGGACGTTACGGCAACCCAAGTGGATGCGTCAGTATGCGGCTTGTAGTTCCATTATGCCGGAGTGTCGAAACGGTATGTATGCTATTGCAGGTCTGTTACGCCTTCATTGAACATTTACTCCTTCTGCAACAGGTAGACAATGTTGGGACTTGGCACTTACAGTTTTGATGGACTTAAACCGCATATCAAAATTAGCTGAATAAACGAACGGCAGACTTTTACTTGGTGAAATTACTTCTATATGTAGTAAGCTACGGCTGTTTTGGATTCATCGATTTACAATTGTACATACCTGCATCGTCCATGGATTGTTCACGTACGGTGTCGTGGACTTGACAGTGTTGCGGACCAACTGTAACTAGATAATCATATCGCAGTATAGACATTCGGATTTAAATTGTATCACGAACGACTCGGTTAGGCATCGTCCAATCACAATCGCTTATGTCATCAATACGCGAGACATCCTTGTGAATGCATTTTTTTCTCTTCTTCATACTTAACAACCTTCAGCCAGCTTTGCCTTTGCAGAGTAACTCTTAGCCAGCCTGCCTTGGCTTTGGGTATTCGGATGGATGGGAGAAGAAAGGCATACTAGGAGTTCAATTAAGCCGGAGCGCCTCCCAGACTCTATGCCACTGCCTTTCGAGGCGGCTTGGGAAGTGCTTGACTATGCAACTCTGACATCTTCGACTCAGTGTAGCCACTAGAGCCTAGTAGTAGAAGAATCACTTCAATCAATCATTTCCTTGAAGAACCATACTTCTGGAAGATCGCTAGTCAAGGCATGTTATGGAGGATCCGACAGCCTGACCCGTTGGAGTTTTCTGTCCTACCAGTCTTCAGCAGCAAATGTTGGGAGCTGGTTCTCTTGATCGTTACGGTGTGCACAATCGACCAGGAACAACCTTGAACGCAAACTATGTCTGTCAGATCCTTGCCTCAATGAAGATTTGCTACGACCATCAACGCAGCGCCGCAAGCATGGCGCTACTTTTGCGTAACATCAATGTATCACCTTTGAACGCCTCGCTACTAGTCCAGAAGTGTAAGCCTACTAGCTTGAGCTGGAGATATTCCGATTCCGACTGACTGACACAAAAACACTCCCCATCCTCCCATTCCTCATGATCCTCCCCATCATCTAAGTAAGTATTTCATTCCGTCCTCGTCGTAATCATCATTACTATCTTCCTCGATCTCATCGAAGCGGATATACCCATATTCTGCTACTCGCAATCGGCTCAAAGACATGCTGTAATATAGGAAACACGCACCATCTGGAAAAAGTTAAATTTAGCAGCTCACCTGAAAAGATAATATCACATACCATGTGAAGATGAAAAGTGACTTGGTTGGGGGGATATCGTTGAGCCATGGCCAAGGAACCCATTCTGGTGGCGTCAAGTTCAATAAACAGTAAAACATTTCAACAGACGACATCACACACCCTATGAGAATAGACCGTTGCCGAAGCACCGCCAGCATTGAAATCACGCGCTTCCTCATTGATAGAGCGGGACTTCGTCGGGGCATCAGCGTCGGGTAAACACGTGTTACGCACTCGCTGAGAGCGGGACACAGCCAGATCACCATCAACGTCGGGTAAGCAGTGCGAAAGACGAGATCACGCACTAGCTGAGAGCGGGACACAGCCAGATGTCAGGTAAGCAGGTCAAAAGACGAGATCACGCACTCGCTGGGAGCAGGACATGGCCATGGCACCATCAGCGTCGGGTAAGCAGTTCAAAGAACGAGGTTACGCACTCGCTGAGGGCGGGACACAGCCAGAGCATCAGCATTGGGTAAGCAGATCAAAAGATGAGGTCACGCACTGTCTGAAAACGAGACACGTCCGTGGCACCATCAGCATCAGGTCAGCAACTCACAAGATGAGATCACGCACCAACTGAGAGTGGGACAGGGTCGTGGCACCATCAGCGTCAATACGCAGGTCAAAAGATGAGATCACGCACTGGCTGAGAGCAGGACATGGCCGCAGCACCATCAGCGTCGGGTAAGGAAATCAAAAGATGAGTTCACGCACTATCTAAGAGTGGGACATGGCCGCGACGCCATCAGCGTCGGATAACCAGGTCAAAAAACTTGAACACGCACAATCTGAGAATGGTACACGGCCGCAGCACCATCAGCGTCGAGTAAGCAGGTCAAAACACGAGGTCACGCACTGGCTGAGAGCGGGACATGGTCGCAGTATCATCAGCGCCAGGTAAGCAGGTCAAAACACGAGGTCACGCACTGGCTGAAAGCGGGACATGGTCACAGTATCATCAGCGCCAGGTAAGCAGGTCAAAAGATGGTATAACGCACTGCCTGAGAGTGGGCCATAGCCGCAGCACCATCAGCATCGGGTAAGCAGGTCAAAACACGAGGTCACGCACTCCCTGAAAGCGGGACATGATCGCAGTATCATCAGCGCCAGGTAAGCAGGTCAAAAGATGGTATCACGCACTGCCTGAGAGCGGGCCATGGCCGCAGTACCATCAGCGTCAGGTAAGCAGGTCAAAACACGAGGTCACGCACTGGCTGAGAGTGGGACATGGTCGCAGTATCATCAGCGCCAGGTAAGCAGGTCAAAAGATGGTATCACGCACTGCCTGAGAGCGGGCCATAGCCGCAGCACCATCAGCGTCGGGTAAGCAGGTCAAAAGACTTGAATACGCACAAGCTGAGAGCGGGACACGACCACAGCACCATCGGCATCGGGTAAGTAAGGTCAAAAGACTTGAACACGCACAAGCTAAGAGCACCATCAGCGTCGGGTAAACAGGTCAAAACACGAGGTCACGCACTTCCTGAGGGTGGGACACGGCCAAAGTACCATCAGCGTTGGGTAAGCAGATCAAAAGATGAGTTCACGCACTGGCTGAGAGTGGGACATGGCCGCAGTACCATCAGCATCGGGTAAGCAGGTCAAAAGACAAGAGCACGAACCACCTGAGAGCGGGACATGGCCGTAGCACCATAAGTGTCGGGTGAGCAGATCAAAAGATGAGATTACGTACATACTTAAAGCGGGACACGGCCACGGCACCATCAGCGTCGGGCAAGCGGGTCAGAAGACAAGATCACGCACCAACTGAGAGCGGGACACGGTCACAGCACCATCAGTGTCGGGTAAGCAAGTCAAAGAACGAGATCACGCACTCGCTGAGAGCACCATCAGCGTCAGATAAGGAGGTCAAAGAACGAGGTCACGTACTTGCTGAGAGCGGGACACGGCCGCAACACCATCAGCGTCAGGTAAACAGGTCAAAATACAAGATTACGCACTGGCTGAGAGCAGGACATGGCCGCGGCACCATCAGCGTCGGTAAGCAGATCAGAAGACGAGGTCACGCACTATCTGAGAGCGGGACACAGTCAGAGCATCAGCATTGGGTAAGCAGATCAAAAGACGAGGTCACGCACTGTCTGAAAACGAGACACGTCCGTGGCACCATCAGCATCAGGTCAGCAACTCACAAGATGAGATCACGCACCAACTGAGAGTGGGACACGGCCGTGGCACCATTAGCGTCAGGAAGCAACTCACAAGATGAGATCACGCACTGACTGAGAGCAGGACACAGCCGTGGCACCATTAGCGTCAGCAAGCAGGTCTATAGACGTGACCACGTACTGGCTGAGAGCGAGACATGACCATGGTACCATCAGCGTCGAGCAAGCAGCTCAGAAGACAAGATCACACACCAACTGAGAGCGGGACTGGGAACATCAGGTAAGCAGGCCAAAAAACGAGATCACGCGCATCATGATGGCGGGACAATGCCACGGTACCATCAGCGTCAATACGCAGGTCAAAAGACGAGATCACGCACAAGCTAGAAGCAGAAGACACATTGAGCCTTCAGTATAAGACTGCTAACGAAGTTTCATGGTAACGTACCATCTGCTGGATGTGAAAGTTGCGAATAAGATGCATTTCTGCTTCAGTTCTGGGAACGCAGTCAATGTTAGAGGATTGTGTGCTCCGCTTTGCACTGGAGCTTCCGCAGGAGATCTGAAATCGTCGTTTGCACACTCGACTTTCGGTTGTTAGGCGCCGTCAGCAGCCGGAAGACAAGCGTACTCACCAATTGATCGAGCAACCAGCCTGGCGCTGAAGCGAATGCATAATAGACCCAGTGCCAACGTCATTGACAGCGCCGCAAAAATGACAACGGTAGTCAACTCTAGAGGACTTCTTCTGTTCAAAGATGACCCTCATGACAATCGTCGTGCCTGCTGCAATGCTTGGCCATTCACAGCTTGTAAGTCGGGTTACTTGCTTGTCGTCGTCGATGCACAAATCGTACTGTTCTTCCTCCATATACTGTCTCTGAATTCGAGCCTCGACCGAGTTGTGTTTGAATAGAAGCTGGAGCTGCTCATTGAATCGCTAAAGAGAATTGGATGAGTAAGCTTCTCCAAGACAGAATTTACGGTGAGGCTTACCTCAAATGAGTCGCAAACGTCCATCGGTATCGGATGTGACCGGTCTGTTGCATCTACCAGCGTCACAAAGCCAAGTGTGACAATCCGCCCCACAGAGGACCGCCCAGGCAAGAACACGCTTTCAATTCTCATCAAGATTTCCTGCTGCCTCTCCAGAGTTTTCCGCACTTCGAGGATGTCATGATGACTTTGCATTTGAGATGACCACTAACCAAGCATAATAGTGAGTAAATGCAAACAATCCTGTGAGAGTAGAACACAACCGAATAATCAACTAGATAACGGTCAATTTCGCTGGAACATCCAATGATAGCTTGCGTAACAGATGTGTGTGCGAGACCACGGTTGTACAACTGTGCTACTTGGGCAGATATGTCTTGCAGCATCCTAAGTGTGACTCGATGTCGGGTAAATTCAAGAACATATCAAGACAGCGTATACCTAATTATGGCATCTCTCCGGTATTGTTCAAAGGGACCTTGAGGGGTCGGGACGTTGCACAGATGGGAACTTAGTTGATGAAGTCGTAAGGTCAGACGATCTAGGTCCGCCTTATTCTGACTGCGCCTCTGTGATGACCTTGGAATCAGGAAACATCCTGGTAACAAAATAAGCTCTCACATCTATGGCTTGAAGGATTGACAATAATCCACTAATAGTAGCTTGCATCGGAGGACCGGCAAGTGGAATTGCACCTGCAACGCTCTGGACGAAAGGCAAAAATGTTTGAGCCATGTCAGAAGCTTTATGGGCAGAGGATTCGCCACGGTGGGAGGATGTTGCGGAGGAAATATTAATGGAGACTTCGAGACCTGGATCCCTGGCTAGAGAACCAGGGTGCACTAGTAGCGATGAATTCGAATAGAGAGTGGATGAAGGAGCGGGAAATTCACTAGGGACATCTGCAGAGATGGAGTCATCGCCTTCATGGTCACGGGTGGTTGTTGAGTTGCGTCGTGTGCGTGCGTTCTTTGCGAAGCGCCTCAATCGAACTGCGATTACTTTGCCCGGATTGAAATTCTTGGCGAAATCTTTGACTCGCGAAGAGGGCATTTTGACCAGATGGGTCAGAGGGAATATGAGACGTAGGGGAGCGAAGAATGACTCGAGATACCGTGACAAGTTGAAAGCTCAGCCCCAGTGAGAACCGGACCTCACCATATCGACGGAAAACGACGGATATATTTACAAATATGCTCAAAGCTACGCAAATCGTGAATTTCACATATATTTAGAAAGATGACGTGCATTATGTTTGATCAACACAACGCAAACACACCATTTTGTCGATGTCTTGCACATTTGCAGACATATCAATCAATCAAGATGATGTGAATTACTCGTTCGCGCTGCTTTTGACTTGGTAAGCGTATACGAAATGATCGATTGCACGAACTTAAGCAAGACTCCGACATTCTCACTAGTCCACCATCTTTTCCCCTCAAACCATGACGATGTCTAGTCCAGGAGCCTCTCCCATTTCCTTACTTTCGGAAGCACCCTGGGGCCTGGCATATTCTCGTTTACAGTAGTCGTTGGACCAGACAGGCCTCAAATTGATGATGTTTTTGGATGAACAGTGGTAAAGCTCCCTGTGTGTATCTTCTCCGACTTTGATATTTTCGATAACCTAATTCGAGATGTTTTCTAGGACACTATCTATGCGGCCTGTTTCTCTGCACTGCCTGGCTCGCAAATCAGTAAGTGACTCGGATACGCCTAACTCGTTTCGAATGTTCGCTGAAACATCTGTTATAGCGCATATATGCGCCTGAATCTCTTATCTAAGTGCAAGACAGTGCTGACTTAGTACACGCAGCACAACGCTTTCTGAACGAACATGCATAACTGAGTATGAACCGAAGCCCCCAGTATTCACTGCCCCTGGTCTACCATGCCACCTTCAACACTGGGTCCTCGTTGTTCGTGCCTGTGCATCACCTAGATCTAGTATTTCGAACAAATAGGAGGTACGTCAATCTAGAAGACTAGAACTTCCAGCAACATCTGACTTTAGGCTTATATGAACTTGCGACACGATCAATATCATCAGCAAATTCTCATCCGACGCCTAATATATTGGTCGACATCTAGCGCAGTTGCAACGGAGCAGGTGGGTAGCAGGCAGTTATTATTTCACGGCATTGATTTATGTTTGCAGGCATATGAATCCGAATGGAATAGCAACGCAGTCGACATCCAGCGCAGGTGCAGAGGTTGACATCAGGCAGGCAACAGGCGAGGACCAGGTGGGCAGCATATGCCAGGGGCAGTATCAACCAGCTATCATTTTTGCGCTGTCATTTGCTTGTTCTTGCAATGTATATCAGCGTCGTTTTCGTGCGATTTCCGTAGTTTTATTGCCTGGTACAACTACAGTTGAGAATCTATGATCATCGACGGAAATATCATATGCTAGAATCAGCGCGAAATCGTGAGATCTCCGTCGAACAGCATCGCTAGAAAATCTCATATGTGTCCCATTCTCTACGGAAATCTACGGAAATCTTGTGTTCCTGGTTCACCAATATTTTGGCCGTTTTCCGTCGATACGGTGAGGTCCGGTTCTCACTGGGGCTCAGCGCTCAGTGACGGGCGGCTGTGTACAACACAGCCCAATCGTTCACGCATGCATGCACAATCATGATGTGACAAGCTTAACCTCGCGTACATATGTATGACATAATGTACGTACTTTTGCAATACACAGTATGAGTTCTGGAACGACTTGCTTGCGATCACAATGGTCATGCAATGAATCATAGGCTCGTGACCAGCCTGGCGTATACTACCACGGATACTCGAGTGGTGTACAGATCTCAGATCTATGACATCTATCTATCTATCTATCTATCTCACCTGTACTTGACCGGGTAATGCATAATCATAGCTTATTAGACACAGGCCATTATGCATGGTGATCTCTAACCTTTGAGGTGATGCATTATCCCCTCGACTGTATGTATAGTGGTGTTCTCACTGGTGTGCATAATGCATAATGCCCTCGACTCTCTTGTGCCTTGCTCCTAGTCATTTGCGGCTGTTCCTGACTGCATCCTTCTAAGATTGCGATCCCGGAGACCGATGCAATGTTTATATATATGGCTACCAACAAAAGAACTGACATTATCCTATTCAGGGCACCACCACTTCTGGCCCGGGTAAGCTTGCAGTAATCGGATGCCATTTCTTCAGACAGTTGTCCCGCATCATGACTTGAATGGCTGCCTGGCGCTTGGCATATGCCCCAATGCCTTCTGACTTGGCAACATCCAACCCAATCCTCCGGCTTGCCTGATCCTTCCACCATGCCGCATGCCAGTCGAAGAATGCACACACCCGGCGCATCTCCTCCTGGAGAAGTTCTACTTCCTCCATCCAACGGTATGCACGCGCCCGAGATTTACACCACTCCACGTGTAGCGCTATATAACACCCCTTTAGTTCATGTCAATCCAATGGACAATTTCTTACCATCAGCGAGAACGGTCTCTCCTTCACTGTCTCCAGTAGTGACTCCGCGTGCCTTCCAAATCCACGATAGAGTTCGGTTACCTTCAGATTGGCCTGTGTGACCATCAGACATTCCACGAACATGCTCAGTCCTCTAGCTTTGGTAGATCATTTCCCCAGCGATGTTCCTGCAAAATGTTGCCGAGGACAACTAGAGCAGTCCAGGCCCTACGGTACCGCTCTGCATCTGTCTTGATACTAAGCTCCACCTTGGTGAGAACTGCCGCTGCGCGTGTATTGGCCTGTTGACCACGCAATTGATTATCTTTGAACTTGCATAAGTGGCTGCGCAGTTGAAGATGTCGATGGAGGTCATCGAGGGCATCAAATGCTTGTGCCTGTCGCAGCTCCCATTCATATCTGCACACACGTTCCTCGCAAAATTTGTTTGAAGCCCCTTTGAGCTGGGATGGCAACCACAGTTTGACCTCGTGGGGTTTTTCTTCCCGTGAGCTGATGGTACTAGCTGTGTCGAATACGCGAACTCGGACAACCGTAGGCATGTATAACACCTGGACCTTGCACCATTGTTTGATTTTGCGCTGTAGAGCATTGCTCCGTTCTTGCAATTTCGTAAGCTGAAGATTGGTTGGATGAGCTCCCAAGGCACCATACTCTCTTTCCAGCCGGCATCTCAAAAACATTGAGCATAAGATACATAGAACAGAAATATGAACTTACTGCTGGTCCTCTATTTCAATACCTGATGATATCAGAACACTCGGTGATACCTCTGTATGCAGTGAGTAGTTAAGACCACGTTCTAGGTCTTCTGCTTCCTTCTGTGAGAGACGTAGTCGTACTGCTGTGAGAGACATGGCTGCAAAACAATGAGAAACATGAATACCATCGCCATAAGAAACAAACTCACTTGTAGTTGTAACCTTGAAGGGATTTGGCTGTAATATATCAGCCTCCCAGCCTTCAATAGCTAGCTTCCACCGAGTGACTTCCTCTGGTCGTTCTGCAACCAATGTCTCATTGAAATCATTAAAGTTGGCAAGGTGCTGATCACGCTGAGGTACGGCTGCCACGAGCTTTCGGAATAGACTGATGTCTTGACACCAAAATGTTAGTTAGGCGTTCCAAATGCACAATGTAGGTTCCACTCACGAAAGTTGGTTACCTTCTTCCAGTTGAAATCTCTGAAGTGATCATCGAGAGTGTCACAGCGTGAGCCGGGGCCCATCTCCCGAGTGCTTGTTGCTACAGGATTAATATTTGCCCACCCACGCTCCGGTGCCTCCCCATCAGTGCGTCCCATCCCTTTGATAAGGTTGTGTGAGTACGTGACTTGGCAGAATGCGACGTGTGCAGGAAGATGAATTTTGGAACAAGGAACACAAAATCTTTGGTACCGCGTTCAACATGCATTTGACATGGGTATGTAGCCATATGATCCCATATGTGTTTGCTCCATTGGCATGCAATATCATAGGACACGTTGAGCGCAACTACATCCTTCGAGTATTGTAAGGTGGAGAAGAATAAATAGTCCATATTGATGTACCTATGGAACACATTGAGTGATGCAATAACTAGTTAAGCTCTCGCTTACCTCTCGCCCTTCTGGAGATCTCCAACACCGCAACGACGCTTCATGTTGTGGCGTGAACAGTCGACAGTACCAGCCCCCATTGCAGCCAAACCACAAGAGTTTTTAGTTTTGGCCAAGTTTACAGTGTTGTGGCTTGCACAGTTGCTTTTCTATATGATGAGTAGGTGAGCGCTGTCATATACCATATTCCCGGGTACAGATCCGAAGATCCGGATCTCAGATCCGATGGACATATCTGTTGTCCGGTCCACAGATCCGATCTAATCCTTATTTCATGTCCTGTTCATATAACTCTAACTATCGTTCATCTCCTTTCGGCATTCCTGTACACCGGTATACTGGTTATCCTTTACTTCCGTTATGCTTACTGATCCGCTACACTTACTGATTCGCTTTAGCTTATACTTCATTCCTGGTTATGATTCGTTATCCATCCGACTTACCAATATGCTGTACACATACTTTGCTTATACTTCGTACATAGCCTCGCGTCCTTGCTTATTGATCATTCCGTTAGTTATCCGTAGTATATAAACCCTTGTACATACGCTGTAGTAGATCAGTTTGAGTATCATCTTGGATTGCACTCATTCTGTCTGGACTCTAAGTCCCTCCGTTATCCGTCCGGACTTGAGTACGATACTCTTGTCTACTCCAAGACTTAGGATTGATTCCTATAGTCTATATATCCGTCTCTGTCTTCGGACAGTCTTCACCCATTGGTTTCTAGTTCAGATCCGATCCGGATTAGCCGTTACTCTATACGTTCGATATCCGGAAGCCTTAACGGATCCGTTACAATACTTATCCGTCTCACTAGACGCGATACTCTAGCACTCTGAAATAAGGGGCAAGACTCGGGAAAGGGGCACAGCGCACGAGCTGAGGCCGAAGCCCTTCGGATCCGATACTTCTTGAGTACGGTCTTAACAAGCGTGTGCGATACGCCTAAGATAGATGATCCGCACCTCTTGTGGCTGCTTTCCAGTGTCATGGAGAAACTTCTTGAATGCTTTCTCTGCAACGAAGTATGCCCAGCCTTTGTTAAAACCAGGATCAACCTTGTCGGATGATACATTTTTGCGTGCCAGGCGGAAGTTAGCATCAATTGCGAGAAACAAAGAATATTTCCATCTAGATCATTCTGTGAGTGAATAAGTCACATAGAATGGACCAACACATGACATACCTATCCTCAGACGGTGTATCTTCCCAGCCATTTGGAAGGTTCTTGCCTGGTTGCGGGCAAGCAGGACACAGCACTGCACATGCACCATGTTGTGTTGCCTCAACCCCATCAGGGTCATGGCCGCGTCCTGAACGTTTGAGTAGGGTGAGGTTTCGCCATTCCTTAACCGTCCATAAGAGAGCATTATAGCGATCCTTTAGGCCATTATCAGAAATGAACGATTTAAATCAAATCAAGAACTTACTTTTGGTGGGTTAAGGCCTGTGTTATTGGTCAAGCGTGTGAGCATTTGCCAATACTCAAAAGTGGAGGCCTTCGATTCAAAAGAAAGAATATGGAAGTTGTGGAGAAGTCGAAATGTTGCAGCAGTCTTTGGTTCCAGTGTAGTAGCTGGGAACCAACACATGCGAAGGAGTTGTGTGGTGCGAGATTGAGCTGTTTGACACTCGCAGAAGCAGAGTACAACATTGTGCACTCCGTTGATATCAAGGAGAATGAAGTCGGTATGAATTAATGAAGGGTTAGAACAATGTTCACCAGGGGGGTGTCCAAGTTGAAGTTGCAGCCCAAGATCCCGCAGGTTAGTGTCTTCAAAATGTTGGCCATTCCAGTACTATGCAAGATAATCAGGGCAAAGTAGTGAGCACTGCTCATTCCCACCTACCTCGATTCTGTGAGTTGGATTTTCTATATGTCTTTCTACCGTGCATGCCTTGCAATAGAGCTCAGTACCAAGACAATCCTCACATTGAAATTCAGGGGCATTCGTGCATCCTGCAGAACCCTGACATGTTTCCTGGAGTGCGAAATCGCCATGACCCTCCATACGGACGAGTTCTAAAAGAAAATGATCCCGTTCCTCCATCCAAGTCAACAATGGGTAATCCTCAAAAGAACGTGTTAGTAAATTTATGTGAGATAAATTTTCACTCACTCCTAGATGTCGATTGCGCCAGTGAAGAAATCACTTCGAGTGATGTTTCAACCAAGTGGTCATTGTAGATAGCTGAGTCGTGGTCTTCGTCAGAGTCCAGAAGAGCCTCATAATTGAAGGTAACAGTATTGGAAGTATCAATGAAAGCAGTTGATTGTGATGGCACTGTAAGAGAGCCTCTTGGAGCACCAAAGTACTCCATTTGAGTCGAAACCTGTGCTGGTCCTTTCAGAGTGTAAGACTGATGTTTGTGAGCTGACTTGAGAGCTGCGTTTGGCAGTTGCTGCTGAGATACCCGATGTTTTGGATTGAGAATGTACCAGTCACACGAGAGCTTGTCGAGTTGCCGGCGTCTTTTGCCCATGAGGACTACAGTGTTGATGATATACAATATTGATTGTAACAGTACCTACACACCCAGTCCCCAACTCCGAGTCCATTTTTGCACGACACTCAAGACCGGGTTCAACACTGAGTAGATTAACACTGTTGTCCAGCTATGTGTGCATTGTAGTTAGTCAGTGACTTGATGAAGTGTCTTAGCAGTCAGAATGTTCAAGGTCTGAGCAAAGTGGGAACGTCTGATGGTAAAGTGTGTAGATACAAAGTGCTGGCCGGTGCGATAGAGTACTAATCATTTGCCAACGCTAATTGCCAATCCAGCATTCCTTCACGAAGAGCTTCAAAATAAGAGTTTGCGCATAAATCCATCTTATGTATCGTTTCTTCGGATGCCTGGATGTGAAACTGTAAAATGCGAGTCACTGAACATACCCCCACTTGTAGTTGCTCGGTATAAGGTCCCTCTAAGCTCCCAGCCGATGTGGATAAGCTGTGGGCTTTCTCCAAGAGATTCCGTGCTTCGTTGACTTCGTTCTCACAACCTGGCCTTAGTGAATGCCATCCTTCATGGTCAGCAGTACAGACAGTATTCAATCCTTCAGACTCCAATCGTTGCCGCAGATTTGAGCCTGGTTCATAACCAGCATTGAACCAGATATCATCCAGACGATTCAGGAATTCAAGCGTCTCCTACAAGCAATGGATTGAAATTTGATAAACCAATTTAACAATTTGACTCACATCTGAGGCTCCACCTCGGCGACGCCAGCGAGTGTGGGATTTGACTCGTTCTTGGTGCCGATTCCTGTTGATGTGAGTTCAATGTTGCATGCGCTAAGGATGGACCAAATTACTAGACTTGCCTGACATAGTGTTTTCTCTTGGAATTTAAATGAGCTTGATGACACTCCTCAGTTGTGTTGTACTTGCGTTTCCGAGTCATGTAAGGATGTGTGAACTTGAATGAAAAGGTATATATAGGTTACTGACAAGCCTTCCGCACTTGAGCGTAATGCATCAGCCACCACTTCGGGACACATTTCAATCATAGCGTGTAAGTCTCATTAATCATTTCATAGCTACAGATACAGTTTCAGCAGTCTGACTGATGTTTCATGCATTTATTTCATTATGTACAAAACGCTATACATAGATATAAAATATATCAATCCCTGCAGGTACACTGCACAACCACTGTCACAAGATCTGCTCCCTCTCTCCTGCGCAGCTTTGCCTTCTGTTGCAGATGTCGGTGCGACTGGTATAGTGAATATATTAAGTGAAGCTTAGGACCAAACACTTACTAGTACTAATGTCCGAGCCTGTCGCGATGCGGCTTGATGCAATTGCTGTCCCACAAATATAGCAATGGTTGCAGGTGTGCGCAGGAAAACACATGCTGGGCATTCTTCGGTCGCTGGGCTTGGCAACTCCTCCGAACCATGTCCCTTGTGCGCAGTAAATATTTCTATTAATCAAGAGTGCGATGAGTAATTGAGTTTCAAGATTGAAATAGTAAAACTGACCGTTTTGGTCACTAATCAATGTCAATGCTCCTCCCAGCTCATGCAATGTGAATGCTGCCGGGTCCTCATGATATCCCTGGTCTGCAGCACAAAGCCTGGTAAGCACTCAGATGAATTGTCTAGAAATAAAACTCACTGTTTTCATCCCTAACCAACATCAATGCTGCGGTCAACTCATTTATGGTGAATGTCAACAAACGGCGAGCCGTATTGTTGGTCCTTGGGCTCTGCATTTGAAACGGGATGGGTAAAGTGTGAGTAAAAGGCAGCAGATAGCAGTAGTTACTGGGTGATTTCAACTCCAATTTCATAGAACACGCTTGCTGATCGGTTGAAACGTGGGGTCCTTGAAATTTTCAGAGTTGGCTTGCGGCAATACTACTAGTTGGCCTGTACAAAACTTATTTTACCCTGGTATTTGAAAAAAAACATGTACCCCAGAAGGTAAGCGTTGATGATTGCAGTGTCCTGTCGCGTCATTATTAATCCAGCACCGGTAGCCAGATAAGATGGCAGGAACAGCCTGGACTACACCTGAGCAAAAGGAATTCCTAGAGACGTACTACAGCGGGTTTCTGTTAGCACAGCTACAGGCCAAGGTTTCACAGTATTGGGACCCAATATACCTTGAATGGTTCAAAAGGTGGCCTGAACAGAATGTAGGGATTGAAAATACCCTTGCTGGCGATCCCCATGCTGGTAGTGACGAGAATACAATTCTGCAGGAGGCACTTCAGAAGCGGAGACAGGTCAGCATGCCCTTGTAAATGGGGTCTCATTGATCATGACATGTACATACTGATATGTGCGAAACAGCAAATAAGGACTTGGTTTAATTATAGGTCCCAGCGCAGTGGCCGTTCAGCTGTGAACTCAATGACTAAAGTCATCCAGAAGACATTAACCAACAAAGCCAAAGGAACTCGAGTGCATACCCCTGCTGAGATCTTTTCGACTATTGCCTATAAGGAAGAGGTACAAGAACAGGTTCAAGATGCGATTAAGTCTGGCGAGCTCATGACTAAACAGGAAAAGTTGTCTGCTGTTTGTAAGCTTACACATGAAGCATACAAAGCTGCACCGCCAGAAGTCAAAGCTTTGTGTGAGGAGAAGGTCCAAGAAGAGCGCAATGTGAAAGTTGCCTGTAATGTGCAAGATGAAAAATTGACGCCTACCAATAAACAGTATGTGATGTAAGTTCAGCTTTTGCCTGTAAAACCAATTTCCCATTGCTTATACCTTATTACCAGGGCTCTCCAGGAATGTACCGCACCCATTGCACAGTTCTTGCAAGTCATCAAGGACATGACTGGGTGGGAATGGACTGTTATTGGTGCTGGACCTGACCCTGATCTCGGTGGCCAGCTAAATGCAATGAGGTGCATCTCAACTCACTCGTTTTCAAAACGCTTGGAAGCTCAAGCCCGAGAATTTCTAGTTACCATACAGGAGTGAATGGAGATGGTCTCAATTGGAAGCAAGCTACCCCAAAGTTCATTGAGAGGCATCTCAATCCATACTTGGAATTTGTTGGAACAGTGATCCGTAAGTGATGTTTTTCTCTTGATGGTTGGTCACGCATACTCATTGGATTCAACAGCAAAACATATCAGAAAGTCTTGTGCCATCGACTTTGTCGCCCCAATTGCAAACCACGTCCTACCCATGACTTCATCTCCCTCAGATGAAGGATTTAGTTCCCTGGAAGGTGCCTCATCAACTCTGGCATCCGAAACTGCCCTGTATGCCCCCCTTACACTCTCGGGTGCCTTGTCTCAGGTGCAGGTAATTTCGTCTTTCAATGAGACGCTACTAGGCACTGGCCATGCCTTTGACGACCTAGGCGCTGGCCTTACCTTCGATGATGAAATGACCACTGACTTCAGCACCGACATCTACTTGTCCCTCAATCCCTATGACAACAGTGTAACCAGCACACCAGCATCTAACTTTGATTTTGATTTACCTGGCTACTCTTTATCATCTGGGGCAACCACGCCAGCGTCCACTATGGGAGACTCATTGCCAGATCTCTCTTTGTCATCCGGACTGATGCCAGACACTCCAATCACATCATGGAGGAAAGATATGTACATTCAACCTGCCTTTGCAACACCCCCTCGCCTTTGCTTCCGCACTACACCCACTATCACTACCTCATCGCCATCTTATGCCCCCTTCCCAATATTATTAGAAGTCGAGCCTGACTTTCATTCTTCTACATATTCACCTGATCCTCCGGTGTTTGTTTTTCCAGCTGCCGGAGCAGCTCTGGATTTGGAGCCGCCAGTATTATCCTCTAGTGTTGGGGACTTGGATTCTTCCCCACCCTCTACTTTTGAGATTTCACAGGTTCTGGAACAGCCGGCACTCACGGTATCTTCTGCTAGTGATTCTGACGGTGTTGGAGACTTAGAGTCTGCTCAGCCGGCACTCACGGTATCTTCTGCTAGCGATTCTGATGGTGTTGGAGACTTAGAGCCTGCTCCTGTGCCCTCCATTGTTGAGGTCACCCAGGTTTTGGAGCCGCCGGTACTCCTCTCTTCTCTTAGTAGTGCATCAGGCTCCACTGACAGGCAAATTGCGTTGCACAATGACCATGCACTGGCATGTGGTCATTGTGTTACGAGTGTCAACGATGCAGTTATTCCTGCTGCCAGTATTAGGAAGATGAAGCGTGTGCACCAGCAGACAACACGTTTGGCACAGGCCGATAACATAGGTGACTCAATCGCTCCAAAGAGGTTTGTGATTGTGGGAGTTCCACTTAGTATTTGCAAGCACTCACTCTATTTCTAGGAAGAGAAAGGCTATGTGATGCTAGTGCTGTCGAGTTTGTCAAATGATGTCTACATGTCTTGCCTATTGTTGAATATATCGAGGATTTTGTGTTGAGACTTCGTGATTTGTGAAATGAAAGGCCGACTTTCAAGGCAGACAGGACATAGCGTGAAATTCTGCATACTTTGAGACTTCAGTGGTCTGTGAGATTTATGAATGAAAGGCTGGTACAACCAGGCATCCAGCTTTATCTATTGCAATGCAACGAGGTCAGACAAACAGTGGTTGGGCTGGGGCTGAGCGTTAGGTAGCTGAATGTGAACTACGAAAATATAGAGAATAGGTGATGAACATGACTTGATTGAATAATTTCTAGGGAGAGGAAGGTGGGTGAAAATGAGAGAGAGAGCGAGACTAAGGTGAAAACAAGCAAGTGAGTCATATGTGTAGCAATGAAGAAAAGAGGTCAAAAGGAAGGAGGCAGGCTTGCTGCTCAGCTGGATGTAAAAACACTGACTTGCCTGCCAGATTGAATAATTTTTGGGAGAGGAAGGTGGGTGAAATTGAGAAGAGTGAGCGAGACTAAGGTGAAAACGAGCGAGCAAGTCATATGTGTAGCAAAGAAGAAAAGAGGTTGAAAGGAAGGAGGCAGGCTTGCTGCTCAGCTGGATGTGTGGTGCCAGTTCCTTCCGGGGACTCAGGAACCAGCACCTTACACATTGATGCTGAGATCGACAAGGCCTAGCCCATCGAAAGTACAGTGAACTATAGAGAAACGTGGGATTAGAGCATAAGATCTCGATCTCCTGCCAATTCAGGGTGGGGGAACCAGGGGGTATATGGCATGTTCTGCCGAGGGCGTGCAGGAAGGGGATACAGTGGGATTAAGGCTAGGAACTGTGCAAACTGAGTACCCGAAATGAGAAATGGCGGAGCTGATCATTACCAGCAGTGTTATGCATGGTGGGAATCCATTATGCATAAGGACTCGCCCATCAAGGACTAGAGACCACCATGCATAACCATACAGTTTCTTACCAGATATGATTATGCATAATAAGGACAGTATAGCCTGTCTATCTATCTATCTATCTATCTACACATTGTAAGGACAGAACATTTGATCCTGCGGACAATCGCGTGACTCTCCTGTCTGTGCTCCACCTGAGCTCGTGCAGTGCTCCACCTCTCCTCCAAATTGGTCCAGCGCCATGTGCGCTTGCCGTCATCTGAGTATTTTCAGATCCATTGATCACTCATTCTCCTCCTAACTACAGACTCCTGTCAGTAGATCATCGATGTCCCCCTCCTATCCGAGTGCTGAGCTCCTATGTTTTGACCACCATGGCTTCAGCGTGCTCCTTTCATGGTATTGTGGGGATTCAAAATGCTACACCTTATAGCTTGGACTCAAAAAAGAGGTTCTGGAAGATGGAAGGTTTCATGCCTGTATCTCTTGATCTGGAAAACAGCATATCTTCGACATCATCTGCAACGGTATTCAGTCACGAGAAGATTGCATGTTCTTTGTTGAAGGCAGACCAGGAAGAGGGAAAACATTCATGGTGAACGCGCTCGCCTCCACACTACGCACTGCTGGACATGTCATCCTCATTGTGCGGAAGCAGTGCGTTGTGCGCAACAGCTTATAGACGTGGTCAGACAGCTCATTATATGTTCAGGATTTTCATAACCGAAGACAGCACAGATCTTCACTCCACCATACATCCCTTCTCTGCACGTGCCGATCTCATTTGCAATGCTACAGCAATCATATGGGATGAGTTGCCCATGGCAAACAAAGCAGCTTGGGAGTGTGTGGACAACTTATGCCATCGCATCATGAATGTCTACGACAAACCTTTTGGCGGGGTTCCAATGATCGGTTTGGGCGACTTTCATCAAGTAGCGCCTGTCATGAGCGGTGCTGGTGAGTTGGCTTCCTTGGCTGCAGAGCCCCTTCAGTGACAAATCCTGTATTATACAGGGTCACCCGACCTACATAATATCCCGTGTAATACGGGCCAGCGGATTATGGGCTGATGTTATGTATATTCCCGATGTTGACGGGTGGGCCGGGAGGCATATTATTTCCGATGGAGACGGGTGGGCCCATCTATGCTGATGTTATATATATCATCGACGATAGCGGATGGGCCGGGAGAAATATTATTATGGAGATGGGTGGGCCCATGTGGGTAATATGTAGAGTAGGATTGACATATATTATAGACCTGAGGAGAGATGTATAGCAAATAGTATTATATAGATGTGTGGGCCTGACGTATTAGTATTATTTTGTAGACAGATGGGCCTGAGGGAGCGGTGAAATATTTATTAGATAGACGGGTGGGCCGAGGGTGAGGGGAATTATTTATTACATAGACGGGTTGGGCTGAGGTTGAGGTGAGTTATTTATTAGATAGACGGGTGGGCCGACGTGGGGTAATATCAGATAGACGGTGGGCCGAGGGTGAGCGGAATTATTTATTACATAGACGGGTGGGCGACGTGGGGTCATATTAGATAGACAGGGTGGGCCGACGTGGGGAATTCTACATAGATGGGTGGGCCGACGTCGGGTAATATTAGATAGACGGGTGGGCCAAGGGTGAGGTGAATTATGTATTAGATAGACGGGTGGGCCCAGATACATATCATATAGACAGATAGGCCTAGGTATTGTACATTTTTACGAGTTTCGAGGCTCGAGTTAAGAAAATTCAAATTTAAGATGATATACATTTTTGTTGTCTTGAAATACCGAGACCCGAGACCCGAGATTCGGCACTCGGTAGTCGGTGAAATGAGTACAGAAATACATAAGATAATACACATTGTTCTCAGAAATCACAAGTTTCAAATGTCGATTTGTAAATCACGAGTCACAAGTCTCAAGACTCGAATCACCGAGTACCGAGTACTGAGAACCGAGTACTGACACCCGACACCCGGAATTCGGCACTCGGCATGCGAGACAAAAGATTGGAAACAAAACTCAAAATTCGAAACTCGAAAGTACTGACTACCGAATACCAAGACCGAGTACTGAATCTCGGGTCTCGGTACTCGGTATTGGTACTCGACACGATGCTCGAAACTCGTAAACTGTTTCGAATCACCGAGTACTGACTACCGAGTACCGAGTACTGAATCTCGGGTCTCGGCACTCGGTAGTCAGTACTCGGTGATTCGAAACAGTTTTACGAGTTTCGAGCATTGTGTCGAGTACCAAATACCGAGTACCGAGACCTGAGATTCGGTACTCGGTACTCGGTAGTCAGTACTCGGTGATTCGAAACAGTTTTATGAGTTTCGAGCATTGTGTCGAGTACCGAGTCCCGAGTACCGAATCTCGGGTCTCGGCACTCGGTAGTCAGTACTCGGTGATTCGAAACAGTTCTACGAGTTTCGAGCATCGTGTCGAGTACCGAATACCGAGTACCGAGACCCGAGATTCGAGTGCTTTCGAGTTTCAAGTTTCAAGTTTCAAATCTGTCGTCTCAAGTCCCGAGTGCCGAATTCCGGGTCTCGGGACTCGGAACTCAGTGACTCAATCAATGGACTGGCAGAGGTTACATTCATTGAAAACTTGTATATACATCTATCACTATGCAATTATGTAGCCATGTCAACCTCCACAGAAGACTCTTCAACCTTCACCTCCACCTCAACATCCATGTTGCTGGAAGAGTCATATTCTGGGACAAGGTTGCTTGGATCACCTGGGTCCACAATTTCGCCGGATGCATCTGGATCCTCTGGATGAACAACTTGGTTGTAGTCGAACAGGAGACCCTCGATGGCAGAGGCATCCGGGAATGTCGGGGCTGCGGGTGTGGGAGCCATTGTTTCCATACTGAGATCAATCAGAGGAGGGAGTGCGGATTCTGGGGGTGACATGGTGCGGGGGCCGGATTGATCAAGCAACAAGGATGTTGCAGGGGCAGGAGTGTCGGGAAGTGGGAATGAGGGGTGCCGGTCGATGATTTCGCGCCTAAGGCCTTCATGAAGGCGTTGCAGGGTGTCAATCTTACCATCCTGCTCTGCCACACGAGCCTCCAGAAGAGCGATTCGAGCTGCGCCATCTCGAATCGCAATGGACATGGCATGGAGATCTGGCATGGGCACCCCAAGTGCTGCAGCAGGGACTGCCGACCTGGAAGACGGAAGGGCTACAAGGGAAAATGAAGGTCAGACGGTGATGAAAAACTCGGGTGACTTACGAGCTGGTGCAGGTGCGGGTGCAGGTGCAGGTGCAGGTGCAGGTGCAGGTGCAGGTGCAGGTGCCTTGACGGCAGTGATAGTCTTGCTGCGACCACGCGTCTGGGTCTTGGGAGTGGTCACAGCAGTGACACCAGAAGTTCCGGCCCGGCCACGAGACTGACTGCGAGTTCGGGCCCTGGACTGGGAGGCAGGGGAAGCTTTGGAGGGGGCGGGAGTTTGGGATGCGGGGGGAGCCTTGGAGGGAGTCTTGGAGGAAGCCCTGGATGGTGTTCTGGACCTCGTCTTCCGGGTAGTAGAGGAAGAACGATCGCGAGGAGGCGGGGATCCCATAGTCGCGGGGGTGCACTTGATCTTCTTTGTTGTGCAGTAGACGCACGACATACATGGAGCCCCGGTCCTCTTGTCCGGCCGAGTTGCGCAAGGCCAGTTGTGCTTGTGGCAAGCATAGCATGGGTTGTTCTGTTGGTTGTATTTGTGTATGGACACTTGAGATATTTCAAAGTACTCACCGGTCCGGGAATGAGAATGTCAACTGCAGGGATGACTGGGGGTGCCTGCACCGGAGGTTCGGGAGTGGGCTGGGAGGGCTCCACAACTGCTGTGTGACTGCCGGCAATCACCTGGTATAATGTAAGCACACACCCGAGTCCCGGACGCATAAATGACACTTACTGTGGCAGGGCCAAAGGGCTTCTTCTTGGGTACCCGGGGCGAGCGAGGCGAATCAGGCGTCCTTGCGACAATTGTGGAGAGCCGGGGAAGGACGACCTCCGGCACTCCACCCAAAGGTGGCTACACGAAAATGAGAGACAATGAAAAAATGAACAAGACGACATACCTGCATAACCGAGTCTTCATCATCTTCCGACTCCACGATGGCCTTGGACTTCACAACGCGAGCAGACCTCTGACGCTTGTGACTCTTCATCGCGGATTTCGGGGGTTGGGAGGAGGGTCCAGAAATCAAGGGGGACTTCCTCTTCTTACTCCCTTCTGCCTCGGGGTCTGGGTCAGCGAAGACGGCCTTACCTTTCCCCTTGTCCCGGGACTCGGTGGTGGGGTTGGTGGAAGGGCCGGCGACATTGCCGGCAGGGATGGCTGGGGAGGGAAGGTTGACAGGAATCGGACCTGTGGATGGGGGGGCAGCAGTTGGGAGATCGAAGGTCTGGTCGCCTAAGGCGTTCCAGGCGAGGACCTTGGGGTACCAGGCGTGCCTCAGAATGCGAGGATCGTCATACCCGATGGAGTGCCAGTCTGGCCAGACCTTGGGAACCATGTTGCGGATGCGCTGGAGCTCTTTGGAGCACGAAATGATGAGGCCGGGAATAGGACCATCCCCGGACCCATACTCCTTGGCTACATCAGACTACCAAGATGTTAGAGAAGAAAAAGCACCCAAACAAAATACATACCACAAGTGTAGCAACCTGTTTTCCCAAAGCCGAGTGGCTGGGACCCGGGGGAATCTGCCGGGCGGCACTGATGATGGCCATGATCTGGGCAGCGGATGCCTTGAGATGGGTCAAAGAGTTGTCAACTGGAGTGGACATGATGAGTGGGTTGAGAGATTTAAAGATCTTGAAATCAGATTGAAATCAGTTATCAGAAAGATGAAGTTTCAAACAAACAAGACATTTGATGGGCGATCCACAAAATCGTTTATTGTTTGTGTTTGTTTGGTCGTGGTTCAACTTTCGGCAATTGCCGGCTTTGTGTTGAACTTCGAAGTTTTTTAGATCATCAGTCAATCAGTCCACCAATTCTCCACACATGAGTGCCCATCCAGCCGTTAGATTTAATGACCCACCGGTGACCGACTATAATTCTATGGATGTGGATGACTCATCTATGGGCCGGGCATCACTAGGTATGTTGTATTCTTATCATGCCTTATCTATTCACCGGGTATCCCTTAGATGACTTAGATGACTTATACCTCGGGCCGGATGATGACATAGAATATGATTCTATGTCATCCGGACCCCCGGATGCGTCGGCTGCAATACCCGGTATGACTATACATTACTGATGACCTGGGATCACCATGCATGCTAACTTCACCCTTGAAGATCAATCACATCCGGGTCAAGCTGATGATGCCAGCTGTCTCATTGATCCAGACTTGTACCTCGGGCCTGAGGATGATGTCATTGATGTTGATGAGTTGCTGGACTCTGCTGATCCTCCCACTTTTGCTCCGGCTACCTCAGAGGTGTCTATTTCATGTGGGTCCATTCATTCTGGACCATTATGGAGACTGATCTTATCTCCCAAGCCGACAAATCATCTACCGAACTCCCTGCAGACCAGCCGGAGCTCAATATCGAGGATGTACGGTTGATGGTCCGGGAGCTCCATCCTTTCGGAAAATACCAACACCCAGAATGTGAGTATCTGAAAGCAGAGCAGTTATCTTTGAGCTAATCTTTCTGGAAGACCAATCCGTCCAAGATCGACTCCATGATTACAAACGCCGTACTGGAGGTCTTCCTGACCCTTCCATCCAACAACTAATCGAGGCCGAGCGTCCATTCCGAACTGCTTGGGCAGAAACATCCGACAAACTGAAAAAAGCTGATGCAGACCTGCAGAGGTTGCAAAGAGTTGAACAGATGAGCATTGAAATGCTCAGGGTAGTAGATTCCATGATTGAACACTTTGAAGAACAACTGACCATGTAAATTACTGCATTGCAACCTGTGAATTTTCATTGACATCCCCACATCATGTACACTACCGAA